AAGGCTTCGTTCACATGGCATTGTCCTGCACGTTTTTTTGCAGTATACGTCTTAACGTATAAATAGTGACCATACAATGTACATAGATCCATTCACACGGCGATTGTACTGCAAAAAAACGTATACCGCTTATACGTTGGAACGCATACTCAACGGACTTGTCAAGCAAATCGAATGAACTTTAACGTATTCGGTTCGTAGTGGCATATGATATAGCTTTGTCTCCTTCACACGACACGATGTTGTACGTTTTTTATCGAATAGCAAACGAAGAAGCGTTTAGTGTACTGAGCGATCTTGGAGGGGTGGCACGTATTTTATGTTAATTTGTTTTGATAGGTATTCAAAATGGCTGAGGAGTCTTCTATAGATAACGAACTATTAATTTCTTTAGTGCAACAAAAGCCCGTTTTATGGGATAAAACTCTGGAACTATATAAAAATCGCGTCGCAACTCAAGCGGCTTGGAAGGAAATCATGGTAATAATTGATCCTAATTTCGAGACAAAGGAAGAAAAAACAAGACAAGCCATAGGTATGTATCTTTTATTATTAATAATAAAAATTGCGTTGCAACATACAATGTGTGATTTGCACCGCAGCGAGCGTCATGGAGTTAAGTGGTAAGGATATGCGTAAGTGGCTACGCTTCTTGCAGACTTTTGAGACTACTTTGATTGGGCGAGTCTCGAAGCAATTTTTTATATTTTTTTTGGTACCTTTTTTAAAACTTCTACATAGGATCTAAATCCTCCATAACGCTCGCTGCGGTACAAATCAACACACTGTATTTTACCTTACTCTGCTTAGTTCTAAATATATTCGTTTTGCCATGGTACTGATCCTTCGTCTGATAAAAAATATTGACTAAAAGTGGACCTTACGCTGTTTGCTTGAAAATTTCGAACTGATGTACTTTGAATATTTTCAAATAATGCAGGATTTGCCACATCTTCAAAATTGTGTCCATCATTTTCACGAACGTAATTGTGTAATACGATGCATGCTTTTATGATTTCGGTCAATAAACTTGGTGAAACATCAATAGCTCTATGTAGAATTCTCCATTTTCCTGCCAAGATACCAAAAGCACACTCCACGTATCTTCTTGCTCTGCTCAGGCGGTAATTAAAGATTTTTTTACGTAAATCTAAATGTGTTCCTCCAAAAGGGCGTAGCAAATTATTATGTAGAGCAAATCCCTCATCACCAATAAAAACGTAAGGCGTATTTTCTCCACCTTCTAATAATGGCATTGGTTTGGGTATATTCAGCGAACCATCATTAACTTTTTTCCATAAAATGGAATTTTTTAAAATAGATGAGTCACAATCTTTTCCGTATGATCCTATGTCTACATATATAAACCTGTATTCCGAATCAACTACCGCAAGTAGCACAATTGAAAAATAATCTTTATAATTAAAGTACATGGATCCACTATGCGGAGGCTTTAAGATTTTTATGTGTTTCCCGTCAATTGCACCTAAACAATGAGGGAAATTAGTCTTTCTTTCAAAACCTTCCACTATTTTCATCCATTCACTTTCTGTAGAAGGCGTTTGAAGATATTTTCCCTGAAGGACATGCCAGAGAGTCCAGCAAACATCCCAGATGATACCACTTACAGTCGATACTCCAACTTTGTATGAATAGTGTAAATCTTTCATGGAACATCCCGATGCCAAATACCTGAAAAAAGAAATATATATGTACATTATTACAACTATGTTTGTATTTTACAGCTAAAATGATTATTCAACGGTGGACTCATATAAGAGATAATTGTAATCGATCATGTAAAAAGATAAAAGATCAGAAGAGCTCAGGAAGTGGCGCCAAAACAGCGAAACCCTATGTATATAGTAAACAGTTATCTTTTCTGCAGAAAGTAATACAACCTAAGGAGACAATAAATAATGTTACTACCGAAAATAACAACATGGAATCCAATAAAAACATAGAATCCGAAATCCAGAACAATAATTCGGAGGGAGGAAATGAAACATTGGAAACAAACTCTATAGAGACACATGGCACAACGGCGGCAAAGAGCCCTATACCTAATCGTGTACCTAAAAGATCTCTAAAGAATATAATTAGTCCTGTCGATGCAAAGATGATGAAATTTATGGATTCTTTTTCAAATAACGAACCTAAAACAATGAATCGGCATCTTTCATTTTTTAATGGAATATTAGGTACCATCATTAGATAAGTATAACGATGATGAAGTCCTCGAATTTCAAATGGGTGTGCTACAATTAATGAAAAAAAGTAAAAACAGTCGCCAAATATGTGAACCGTCGTCATTCCATATCCCATCAGATCACAGAGGATATTTTACACAACAATATCAAAATAATATACAAGAAGCTACAAATTCTATCAGTACAAACATGACTACAATGACTTCTGTTCAAAGTCCATCCTCTGTAGAATTAACTACAGCAGCTTCTCTTCTAAATCCGTCCTCTGTCGAATCCTGCTATTCTAACTACACGGATGTGGATTACAATGACTTTTAATATGAAAAAATAATACTGATGCAAATTACTTACAATACAAATTGATCAATAAATATTTTTTTTTTTAATAAAACTTAAATAATCACTACCTGTGTATTTTTATTTGTGTACTCACCTTAAGCAGATGGCTAATTTCATTTTTGTTGTAATGCATTTCCGCATATTCGTATTACATTTTGGTAGGCTTGAATTTTCCAGTAAGTAGATTTAACAACTTTTCAAAACTTTCAATAGACATCCGAAAGTAATTAAAAAACATTTTCTCATCGTTTTTAAGATTTTCGAATAGTTTTTCAAATGTGCTTGAACGCACAGATTCTTGATTCATAGGATGTACCCAAAACCTTCTATTTCGTTGGCGGCGAGACCGTTGGCGCCTTCGATACCAATTTAAAAGTACAACCAAGCGTGGATCTATCACTGACGTCTACTCACTGTGACAACTGTGTGGAAACTGCAGCTAATCGTTCTTTACACGCTACGTGAAAAAAAAACGAATACAAAAAAACGTGCAGGACAATGCCGTGTGAACCTAGCCTGAAGTATTCGTTAAAAAAACGAATACAAAAAAACGTGCAGGACAATGCCGTGTGAACCTAGCCTAATAATACGATACCAATACAATGTAGGTTTCAGTGTTTAAAACCCAAGGACTCTCATTAATTATGGCCACTACTAAGTAAGCCTAGTCCAAATGGTTAACAGTGAGCTACTTGGATAAATATTTTAAAATTTTCGCGTAAACGTACCGGCTTATAACCAGATATACCTAAATAACAAAAAGATAAAACCCATATTGAAACAGAACCAAAAACCTGTTAAAGTGACGAATTATTCGGGTTATATAAAGAAAACATTTGTAAGACAGAATACAACAATATATATTATTTCGTCAATCCCTCATTATGTATCTATTTATAATACCTATCTATAAGTAGTCAAAACTTTTCTTCATAAAGTCTAAAATATATGTTTGTGTGCCATACATAAAAAAGAAAGTATTCGATAACTTAATCATTATTTACATAAGTGCATACATAGGTTTCTACTAATTTATTTAACTGTTTATCTTTTCTTGAAACAACAACTTAATGACTCATTAGTATTCCCTCATATTTGGTGTTAGTTATTCAATAAACAATGACAAATGGTAATTTAAACAATAAACAATATATCCCGCACTGCACTTTGTTCAGTGTTGCTATATACAAGGCCTTAAGATACCAAATTAAGCGCGCCAAATGTCACCCGGTCATGCATAATCAAATTATAGATCGACATTTGCCTGTAGATAAGTAGCACAGACCGGTCAGCTGGTTTATTTGGCAACTGTATATATAAATTGTAAATGAAATACGTGCCAACTTCCGTATTTTTGGGTCAAGTGTTGACAAATTACTTCTGTTTGTTTGCTTTGCTAATTAAGCGGCTACTAAATTTGTCCTTTCCAGCATAAACAATTAAATGGGCTGATTTGCAGCCAATAGTACAGTTCTGTAAAAACATAAAACAATTTTTTATTACTTTTTTGAGGGGAGGGGAGAGGCATCATGGAATGATTTCGCTCGCCCATGATGGGGAGAGAGAGACTATCGGACTCTTATAAAACTACACAATTCCTTTTCCTGAACCAGGGCAATGCTGCGAGCTGCGATGCATTACTAAGCGCGGCATGCTCCCGCAATCCTGGCTGTACATCAGCCCTGTTGGGACCCAATATAGTAATGCTATTTGCAATTGAATAATTATTTAGTAAAGAATAAGAAGACTATTTAATATTGAGTTAGCTAAGATTGATTACTATTCGAATACCACAATAATACGCAAAATATAATGAGTGAATTACTTACACATTTTACATTTGACTATCATTTTTTTGCGATTTTTATTAAATTATTATAACATTGAATAAATCGACTAACTGTATCAAATTGTCAAAAGTGACATTGAATACAAGATGGCTGACGTAAACATGGCGTCTTTGTAACTGAAAGTGACGCCTGTCCAAATAGAATTATTATATTGATTTCAGGTTATTGGAAGCCAATACACCGATTTAAATATCGAAAACAGCAGGTAAGTGGTCTAATGTTACTTAAAATTATCAAGAATTTGGTTACTGTATTGTGATACAACAGAAAATCTTGAATCGTAGCTGACCGGCAGTCGTCAGCGTTTTACGAAATTGTATGTCCTCGTTTTGTAGAATTGAACTGTTAAAGTTATATAAATATTCTGGTAGAGTCACAACAGCTTATAAGTTAAAGATTTACATCAATAACGGATAGTTTTCTTTCATTATTTTCAGTTTGTTAAGCAAGAATTGTGTATTGGAGCAGAACCAAGCATTTAGATGCTACATATTATTTTGTTTCAGGCAGAGCCCCTGCCATGGCTACACCAAACAGTTATAAACAGAACACATCAATGTCGATGCCAAGCCCACAAAGCAATCCGCGTTTGTATTCCATACACACATTATTAATATTAGATTGTAAAAACAAAATAGCAAAGCATAGATAACAGTTTGGCCCATCTCACTTACAGCATTCGAGACTTTTCTCTCTGGATGTTATTAATATTGTTTCTAGAATGTTGTTAGATACTAACTTTATAACCTGTATACCTGATTTCGATGCCTATGCAAGCTTAGCAGGGCTGAGAACCATTGTTGGTATTGCTGGTACCTAACTGCTGTTACGACCCTCGGCAGCATGACTCCAATTCTATGCTTGTTTATTTTCAAAGTATATGCATTAGTAACTTACTTTTTATTTTCTCTTTAATTTGTTCTTTACGCATTAGACTACATTTTACTCTTATGTTGGTTTTGTTTCATGTTTTGTTATGTTGAAACAGACTACATGATTGCGGGGCCCCCCATGAGTTTCGGTATGATGAAAGGTAATGCTACAATCTGAATTATTTTTATTTTCAAAATTGTTCTCACACCCTCATCTGTTTTGGAAATAGGTACTCTGTGGGGATTTAAAATTGTAATTGCACCAAAATTTTCATGTTTTCACATCACAAGTCATTGTTTCACACCGGTCTGTATATCTTGACTCTTGACTCTTGATACTTTCTGCTACTTAAGCCTACTTAATACAACTCGCTAGTACTGCTCGCTCTCACTAATAACTTCCACTTAACATTATGATTTGAATTTATTTAGATGTTGTGCATTTGATTATCTTTTATTTGCCTTGCCCTGTCCTATCCCATTCCCTTATGCTTTTTGTTTTTTTTTCTTTCATTGTATTGCCGCCCCGCTGCTTGGCTTGAAGGCGGTATGAATGCACCGCCGCCGCACCATAACCAATACCAGTACCACCACCCGCAATACCAAGGTGGTCCCTCGCTGGGCCACCCGGGGGGGTACGGCGGCTGGCCACACAGTCCACAGCAACAGCGTTTCGGTGCAGAGGGCGCGAGGCGCGCCGCCGGGGCCGCGGTCGGTGGCACCGCCGCCCAGGCCGCCAAGGACGATAAGACCAGTCCGTTTGTATCCACGGTACATTCACATCCTGGATTTCAGCCGCAGAAGATCGGCAAGGGTGCCGGCGCGGTGAGTCGCGTATATTGGGTAATATTTTGTGTGATTTTTTCGTAGAGATGTCAATTTTTAATAGTTATTTCCAGTGATACCTATGTATTATCTTAACAACCTTTAACTAAACAAATGTACCTTTTATTGCAGCAACCTCTTACCCCTCCGATCCCTAAAACATATACTTATATGTCTTCTACACATATTTCAGGGTGCCGGTCTGCCAAAACCCCCAAAGCCACCAGAAAAGCCCTTAATGCCCTACATGAGGTACTCCCGCCGTGTATGGGATACCGTAAAAGCGGCTCATCCCGATCTAAAACTATGGGAGATAGGCAGAATTATAGGGGGCATGTGGCGAGACCTACCTGAGACAGAAAAGGCTGGATATGTTGATGAGTATGAAGCCGAGAAGGTATGGATCCTCTTTCATTTTATTCTTATGATTATCTACAATCTTAATTATTTTTCAGGTTAATTTTGAGCTCCTACATACCATTTTATACTGATTTCAACTACAAGTAATTATAACTAAAGTCTATCAATACTTTTGTAATTCATATCTGTAAGGCACAAAATTACTGAAAAATACTTTATTGTTGTGTAACCAAATGTAAAACTGAACTAGAAAAGGTTATTTGAACCATTTTTTCATAATAGACTGAGCCCATAAAGCAGTAGTTCACTTTTAAAAACCATAGAGGTAAAATAGTTATAAAACCTCTTCCATTCAGGCGCAGTACACAGAAATGTTGAAAGCTTACCAATCCTCGCCCGCCTACTTACAGTGGCTGGCTCACAAGTCTAGAGGTACAATATGAACCCTATGACCCTATAAATTGGGTACAAATTTGTGCATAATCCACACCATCACGACAGTGCTTGTTTAACACTGGGTTTTTGAGGTTTAGCTCTTGCTGTTTTGTGTATTTGTTTGTTATTAGTAATTGAGTAAAAAATTAAGAGACACATTATATTAAACACTATTTTGTAATTAGTTTAAATCGTTTGATAACATTTGATTAGCTATCTTCAGTTTTAAGAACAGTCTAGCTATGATTTCCTACAATACAAGTAGTTCAATGGTCTTCTCAATTTGTGTAGTACCTGCACCTCCTTATAATTCATTATTTCAATTAGTAAATACATTTATTTCAATTAGTCAGTAATCACTGTTAAACATCAAAATAACGTTTATAATAAATAAAATCAATTTTAGGCATAATCCTGTACTTAGGATCACACCTCAGCAATAGGGTAGTTTCCACCTAGACATGTCGAAAACATTATACTTTGAATTTTGAAAGAAAAGGATGTTGTGATGTCTGATACCATACTTATTTGTCTCGATTTATTTAAAAAATTGCCAATATTTATAGTACCATATAAAAATTCGTTAATAAAATAATGAAATTTTTAAGGTTTTTTTATGGTTTTGTAAGTTAAAAATATTTCTTTTTGACCAAGGAAACTACCTAATTGTTTACCAATAGTTTAAGTAATAATTACCTGTCTCAATATATGGCAGTTAAAGACTCAAAAAAACAATTCTACGTAGAAACAGCAAAAGCTTAAAACATGAACACGGGTGACCATTGTGTGAACTCTGAACAGATCATTAAGTTCCACTGCTAGGTACCATTAGAGTCACTGTAAATTAATGCACAAGGGTACAACCATTATCCATTGCTAAAACAAATGTGGTCCGTTCCCCTTCCTGGTGGAAGATTTGTGTTTAGTTTTTATTTGTTCCTGATTTGAAATTGTGTGGACTTGTGGCTGTGTGACATTTAATAAGTAGAAATCTGATATTAAGATAATTCTATTGCAGTCTTAAATATTGGAGAACTTATGAGGGTAGATGCAAAACTACAGCTTTGATTTCTAATTATGTAGTCATTTAAATTTTTATTATATTATCTAAGTATGTTGAAGCTGACATGTGAATCCCTTTTCTACTAACTAAAATGGATTTTCTTCTATCTAAACCGACAAGGTTTCAAATGTGGTTCAAGAGGCATGAAAGTATCGTATTGTGTACCAAGTACCCAAGAAATGTATCCAAATACAGCTGTAATAGATAATATTAAAAAAAAATAATTAAATAATCTACACATGGCCAGAAAGACCGCTCACTTTCAAATCAGAAATGTGACTAACCCGCACACCGTTATAAGTAACGCTATTTTATCCTTCACATGCACGCCACCTCATATATTTGCACGCGGATTCATCTGACACCGACAGTTGGAGTATGAGAAAAGTCTGAAGGCATACCACAACTCGCCCGCGTATTTAGCATATATTGCGGCGAAAAATAAAGCTGTAGGTAAGGGACATGAAATAAGGTTGCATGCACATACGTTTGCACTATTTTGGTAGTTTTCATTTTTTGATGTTGGCAATGTTTGTTTAGTGTTGCCATGTTGTAAGGTATTTTTCTGCTAAATTTTAATAGGCATTTTCTTCTATTCAATTTTAGTTATGCTTCAGAATTAAAAAAGAAAATTTATTCTAATATTAGAAAGACTATGTATGTGTTCCATGTTGTCGTTGTTTTGTATAGCTTCAAATGCTTAATGTTTTGTAATGTCGCAATTATAAATGTCCATCTTTCATATGCAATTGTAATGTGTTAAAAAATCAAATGCATCCTGCACGTGTCTATGTCGGTCGCTTTTTTCTCTAATTGTTATTTGACGTCAAAGCAATGGGACAGAACAGACGAAAAACAACTGAATAATATTTTTAGTAATACATTAAAATATGTATAATTTAATAGTGTATGTGCATACATTTGCAATGATCAAATAATGTCAATATTTTTTAAATTATTTTGTATTGTTTAATAACTTACTTGAATTTACTTTTATGTTATTTTTATTTTTATTTTATTAAGTATTATAATTTTCCTAACCGATAAGTGTGTAGAGTAGCTTAGATTAAGTAGGTACCTATAAAATTGTCAATACACTATTGCATTAGGTTGCCCTGTAATAATAGTTGTATTTTGTGATAAATAAATAAATAAAAAAAAAACTTCACGAGAAAAAGCCTACCGTCTTAGTAAACCACAAACTTATATGGGTTTGTGCTAATGCAAACTGTAAAAGGCTTTCATAGGGTATGCACACACACACTTAGGCAGAAATAATGTTTTCGCCAAGTCGATAAGACTTACAGACCTATCCTATAATTTACAGCTACTTAATCAGCTCATAGCGGAATGTCCCATCACTTTGACGGTACCACTCATAAGGGTCAGGTTCTAAGACTTTCCTTGTGTCAGCAGTAGGTAACCTCGAGGAGGAGACCTCTAGCAAGAAGGGCAGCTCACAGAAGGAACAACAGCAGCAGGACAGAAGAATTGATATACAGCCTGCTGAGGATGAGGAGGGTAAGGGTTTTTCTGTTCCTTCTATACTAATACTAGCTTCCCGCCCACATAAATACACTTAAAAATCTCTCTCGCTCTCTCGTATCTTCTATCTTTTAAATAAAGTTGCATCAAAATCGGTCGCGCAGTTTTAAAGATCTCAGCATGCATAGAGACAAACAGACAGCAGGAAGCGTCTTTGTTTTATATATATACTAGCTCTTACCCGCGGCGTCGCTCCCGTCATTTGTCTACCTACCCTAGTCTACTTACCCTACCTACCCTACTTTACCTACCCTACTATAACTACCCTTCTCTACCTACCCTACTATAACTACCCTTCTCTACCTACCCTACTCTTCCTACCCTACTCTACCTACCCTAGTCTACCTACCCTACTCTACCTACCCTACTCTACCTACCCTACTCTACCTACCCTACTCTTCCTACCCTACTGTACCTACCCTACTCTACCTACCCTACTCTACATACCCTGCTCTACCTACCCTACTCTACCTACCCTACTCTACCTACTCTACCTACCCTACCTACCCTACTGTACCTACCCTACTCTACCTACCCTACTCTACATACCGTGCTCTACCTACCCTACTCTACCTACCCTACTCTACCTACCCTACTCTACCTACCCTACTCTACCTACCCTACTCTACCTACCCTACTCTACCTAACCTACTCTACCTACCCTACTCTACCTTCCCTACTCTACCTAACCTACTCTATCCTATGTCCTTCTCCTGGCTCTAAACTACCTCCCTGCCAATTTTCAGCTAAATCGGTTCAGCCGTTCTCGAGTTATAAGTGGTGTAACTAACACGACTTTCTTTTATATATATATATATACCATGTAGTGATTTCATTCATCAAACTCCAAGCGAACGCGCACGCATTTGGCGCAGCTATTGTCTTCTACTGTCTCATATTACCAAGATTGAAATGTTAAGAAACTTTTTATACATAGGCTTAGTTATCTGCCAGTTAACGTCTGCTAAGTACAGATTAATAGTAGATAGAAATCTACTATCACTTTAGTAATTAACTTTACCTGTATAAATATGTAGTGCCAACCTCTTCAAGAATCAATAGGTTTATGCCCTGTTCTTATCAATTTTCAGACCAAGACGAAGGCCTCTCAGTGAAACACGTGGCGTACGCCCGGTATCTGCGCAACCATCGCCTGATCAACGAGATATTCTCCGACACTGTCGTGCCGGACGTACGATCCGTCGTCACCACGGCAAGGATGCAGGTATGCTGTGAACTTAGATTAAATTTAAAAGCTTTACTTATAAAGCTAATTATTTAAATTCACAACTTTTAAGAACCACAGCATAAGTGCATGCGAATTATGGTGGCAAGAGGAGCAAGAAAATATACACTTTGTTTATTGGTTTACTTTAAATTAAACTATACTAAATTAATTAGGGTATGATGAGACGAAGTGTCAGACTGTTACTGACTAAGAAACCTCCGGAAAAAAACACGTTCCTTCTCCTGTCCCAGACTGAAGCCGCGGTACCTTATTGCGTTAAGCTCTCGCCATGTTGGGCTGAATCTGTTTTGAACTATTGGCTATTGTCTAACAAAAATACCCTATCACTTTAATCAGAGCTATAGTGGCCAATTTATCCATCAAAGAGCCAATGAATGTTTTTGTATTTTGTGATCTATGAAGTGTTCCCTGGTGGATCATTCAGGAACTTTAGGACATGATCACAGTAATCCATCTTGTTTTAATTTAATCAATACACAAGTATTTGTAAAAAAAAACCTTAATTCATTTTGTGTCACCAGATCTTGAAGAAGCAAGTGCAGTCTCTAACGATGCACCAGAAGAAGCTGGAAGATGAACTGCAGCAGATAGAAGAGAAATTCGAAGCTAAGAAGCGCAAGTTTATTGAGAGCAGTGAAGCCTTCCAGGAGGAACTTAAAAAGGTATATTTTTTCTTCTGGGACACTTTAGTGCTTGATTTCTTTTCACCAATGCATGACGAATATGGGAAATGCCTTAGTTAGGACATTAATTCCGCCATTCAAAGAGTATTGTGTAAAAAATAAATAAATATTTGCTTACTAAGTTATGTAGACTATGAAAGTTCTTAACTCAATAAAAGTGGCGACCTTTGTTTATCTTTCGTCTGATGATGACGATGTACTTGCTTTACTGCTTTTTTAGTCTGTGGGTTCCAATCCCGAATGTGTGTAATGAGCACTGTATCCCGATTACCTGGTCGGGCACAAATTTACTAGGTTTTATCATTTTATAAAAGTTTGGTAATAATATTAAATCTACACCCATGTCGTGTGGTAAAAGGTTATTTTCCTTTTAAATTGTATCCATAAATATGTTATTCTATTTCACCAAAAACAAAATAAAATCACTCACTCACTCATTTACTTTGTAAACGATTAAAAGTTTGATACGATTGGAGTATTAGACTCCATGGTTGAAATAATGGCTGGACAACCCGCAGTCGTGCAACGTGTCGTAAGTTCGTATGATCCATAAATTGTTGTTCTGGGTCTGGGAGTAATGTGTATATTGTATATTTTTTAATGTACCCATAACCCAGGAGAATATCCTAGTGTTGTAGAGTTACAAAAAAATGTGTGGGAGAGGGATGCAAATTTGTTTCTGTTTATATTATTATTGATACATATTTTATTTTTATTCCCAGCACTGCAAACCGGCAGTTGACGAGGAGACGTTCTCCCGTATGGTGGAGCGAGCTATGGAGCAGATGCGGCGTGGTATTACCTCCACTCAACCACTTGTTCCACTAAATTCTGTGCCTCAAGAAAGAAAGGATGAAGTGAGTATACAACATATTAACTAACCCAATTTTATCGTCGTGGTGGCCCAGAGGTTAAGGAGCCCGCTTCTCATGCATGAGGGCATTGATTCGAAACCTAGCAAGTACCAATGTGACTTTTTCCGAGTTATATGTACTTTCTTTGATTATTTAGACACCACTGACATATGGTGAAGGTAAATGTCGTGAGGAATCCTGGACTTTATAATTATAAGTTTGAAATCGCCAACCCGCATTGAGCAAGAGTGGTAATTAATGCTCAAACCTTCTCCGTGTGAAAGACTGTGTGTTTGATTTGACTGTTTGCTAAGCAGTAAACACTTGTAGGCTGTTGATGATGAATACATCAAGTTTGTACATATAATATTCTCTACAGCCAATGGATCAAGACCAGCCCCAAGTGAAGCCAGAAACGAACGGCCCCAACCTCCCCACCCAAGTGGATAAGGTGTCCACTACCGAAGTGAAACCAGATAGTGTCACAACTGAACTGAAGAACGAGCCAGAAGCTAAGGAGAAGGAACCAGAAGAACCAGCTACTAACGGCGGACCTGAGAGTGAAGGTATGACATTGAAAAATGTACTTTCTTAGCTATGATCATAAGTTATACTCTTGCTTGAAACAATTCCTGGTGAAGGCCTATTCAAAATAAGGTTTGTTCTTAATTATCTCACACTAGAATTTTCTCCTTTCTCGTGGGTACACAACAAACATACTTATTCACATACACAAACCTTCCAGACCCGAAACAAAAATTTAAAGGTCACACAAAGGTTGGTTTCGTGCGGGAATTGAACCGGCGACACGATGCACAGCAGCCATTTGCCCAGCCACAGCGCCAACCGTTCAGTTGTCAGTTTTGTTTGTGGTCTATTAAAAATAGGTTTCTTTCTTTATTTTTTTTAAAAAGCAACATATTTTTAGGTTATTTTGGTAATTAAGTTTAAGATAAGTATAAGAGATTTATTTTATTTACCTCGAATGTGTAGTAGGACTGATTGAATTATTTCTTTTTTGTTGTATTAATCGTATTACTAAAGCAGTTCTCCATTTGACTATGAATACCTTTTTAATGCTTCAGGTGAACGCAAAGAAGAGAAACCTGCACCTAAGTTGGATAATAAAGAAGTAGCTCCTCCCGTCGGCCCCGTAATCCCTGGCGCCCCTGGTGCTCCCGTAGCTCCTGGAGGTCCTGTCGCTCCTGGAGGCCCTGGAGCCCCTGGAGCTCCTGGAGTCCCTGGGGCCCCTGGAGCCCCCGGAGGCCCTGGAGCCCCTGCGACCCCTGGCACCCCGGGAGCACCCGGCGCTCCGCCCGCCCAGCAACCCGCGCACCCACCGCACATGACATCCCCGCCGCATCACCGTGAGTTTTACTGTAAAATATCGTCATTCATCTAAAATCTTACATAACGTAGATGATAAAGATGGTCTATGTAACTTCGACCCCAAAATTGTGGATGAAAACAAAGCATAAAGCTTTATCTACCAGCTCCGAATGGCACTTCAGTTCTTTCTTTTTACTGGACTCTCGGAAACTGGAACTGGATTGGCACATTAAAGAGATTCGTGCATCGTAATACGGACATAAAATATGTAATCTAAACGAAAGATTGCTGTAAAACATTCCCGAATTAAAATTATGTGTAAAACATTAATTATTTTTATCCACAGCTATGATGATGCCGCCAAACCCTAACGCGCCCGCCCATCCTGGCCCACCACCTCATGGCGGACCACCACCACCTCCAGGTACACAGCTTAAAATGTTTAAAAATATATTAATAGAACATATGACGCGTATTATGACAATATATTTATGTTACTGCTTTTGTATATATTCTTATTTATGTAGCTGTTTAGCTATCGGATTTACTTTAAGTATTTTTAGGTATAAGTTATCATGCTATGATTCTTTAAAATTAAGAAGAATTCTAAGTCAATTCATATATAAATTAGATTACATTATAAGAAAGAGTGAATTAATGTAAGTGATTGTACCTATTCCTCACTCACTTGTGTTTATATTTGTACTAGGAGCTTATGGCGGTGCATACGGCGGCCGTTACTACGGAGGTTACGCAGGAGCGTTCGGCGGGGCGTACGGGCACGGCGCGTACTACGCGGGCGGCGCGGGGCACGGCACGCACCCCGCGCCCGACCACTACGCGCCGCACCACGCCATGCACCACCACGCACAGACACACCACGCACACGACGCCAAACGTCAGTAATGTACCGATACCACATACATAATCTTGTTATTTATAAAAATGGATCGCAAAATGTTTTGGTAAGCACATAACTCAACAACACCTGGACCAATTATTTTTTTGTTGTGTTTGCTATTGTCAGGAGAAGGTTCTTATCAAAGATAAATATTATATTAGAAAAGTAGAGGGTAAGATTAGCAACTGCAACCACTAAAGTAATCTGACTAAATTCCATAAAATTATGGTTTGAACTCTCACTTGTTGGCGCTACTGATGCAAATAGCCTCATTAACATTTATCATCATCAAGCTACCAATAACACAAATGGTTTTTTCGTATGAAGTCCTTTCCTTAACTTTTTCCTGAAAATTATGAATTTTCTATTTCAGAGGAAGAACCACAACCAAAAAAAGAAGGTGAATGATCGTCACCAAAACGCGTCGTCAAGAGACGGCGCAAGTCCTCGCCGAAGGACACGCAGTGAATCGCTCTCGTGTAACGAGACGTCACTGCTTAGAACAACATTCTATGGACTCAAAATGAACCTACAGATAATTGACTGTTATCCAAGTGTAATGTGTATTTTAAAGGGTTTATTTTCCATACTTTAAGTGCATAATCAAGCAAAATTCACCCTTACGACTTAGGTCACTTGACATGGTATAATAGTTTTCCAAATAGCCTAAAATTTACTGTCGCCCAACTTAAAATAGTTATAAAAGCAAGGTTCAAATGAAATTGAACCTTACTAACTTAAATTTGCAAACCTATATAGAAAAACTTGGTTAAAACTAGTAGAATCTTGTACTACATACTTTGTAATAGTTTACTTATTTAAAGTTGTAAGTTTTAAGACATGAATAATTGTTAAAGGCAGATGTTTTATATGCAGTTAGGTATGTATATTTGTAATAACTAGGTACTATTATTACGCGCTATAAGGCAATGGGTAGGTTATCCAGTGATCCAGAATAGTTAGGCAGTGCTGAAACTTCTGATATTTTGAGAATGCTCAGCGCTGACTCCAATATATAAACATGGGAATGATGTCAGCTTATAATTTCTGCACATCAAAAAAAGAAAACAAAATTACACTGTTTTGTGACATAAATGATTATATTGTAATGTTAGTGAAATTGGATGCTAGTGTCTTTTTGTAGCAATTTTTCAAGATATAATAACGCAATTTAAACCAATAATCTTGATGTGTGAACACACAAACTTCATGTAAAAACTGACGATAGTGAGTGACCTTAGATCTTTTAATAAATATGTGGAGTAAGAGAAATACACATTTTAGACTAAAACTAAATATTATAAGTAAAAGTTAGATCCTTCCATATAAAAATGCACAGTGCTTTTATTGGTACCTAATATCGCATTGTAAGCTATTCATAATTATTGTAATAAGTAAATAAATAATTGCAATAATTTTTAATCGCTGTTTTTTTACCTTTTTACCGCCACGGACGGCTATAGCCGACAAACGAAATGGTACTAAACACACCACCAGCCTTTATAGCCATCAAGAAAACGTGTTTTTTTTTAATCTAAGGAATAGTTCAGAAATCTTCCAACAATCTATGCAGTATAATATAACGTTCGAAAGTAACTTAGCAGTGTGTATGTCTGTCTCTTCGCTCCTAAACCACTAAATCAATTTGGATGAAATTTATTACGCATATACGTTTTTTTAGTTTAGTTTGAGACTCGAAAAAGGACATCATAGTTTCTATCTCTAAGTGTCCACGGGAGGGGGGATGGAGGAGTTACTAATACTCCTAGTGTACACCCAACTTGAGTTCTGATGTTACGAACAGATGACAGCACTGGTAACATTTCGTACGTACCCAATACGGTAGTTTCCAAGTATTCAAATTCAATACTTTTATCCAAATGTCAAAAACGACACTTTTCTATGTAAATTGTATGAAAAACTGAGTTATGACGTCATAGTATTTTTGCGTCAAATAGCGTACTTATTTCTTAAAAATTAGCTGAAAAGTATTTAAATTTAGTGTATCCATCGATCGATGAATAAAAGTATAGTTATTTTTCGATATTTCATGAAACTACCCAATTTAACACCAAGAAAACCCATCGCACGTTCACCGGTAAGAAATCTATTGTGGCCCCACAGTTCTAGAACAACTCCTCCTGGACTAGAGTCGAGACAAACACTAAGAGTATAGGTATAGAGGATTTATTTCAATCCTTTGAGTCTCTCCAGCGACTCATAAGTTTCGCAGTTATTTGGATAGAAATATCTAGGTATCTATACCTTCGAACTTACAGTTGACTATCATGCGACTAGTAGACTGCCGAGGTTGGCACAGACCAAGTCGTATATTGTCTACTTATCCCATCTAGGTAAATCCATTTTGAATAGACTCTAAGGCGTTTGAATATCTATGGTGAGAATAATATTTTCCTATGCGTTCTACTATGTCGTGTCGGCCCAGAGGTTAAGGCGCCTCTTCTCAGACATGAGGGTGCGGGTTCGAAACCTAGCAAGCACCAATGTGACTTCCCCGAGTTCTATATCTATACTATTATTATAAAGAGGTAAAATACGTAAATTTGTATGTAGGGGGTAATCTTTAGAACCGCTGGTCGGATTTCCAAAATTCTTTCACTGATAGATAACTACAATATTCCTGAGGGCTATAGGCTATAAAACATCACGCTACGAATAAATGGGCCAGCGGGTGAGACCGCGCGAGAGGTGCTAGTGTAATATACTTCCTAAGATCATTTAGACTACTGGTACACGGCGACGGAAAACATCTGTAATAGCCAATCCGCCTTGAGCAAGCGTAGTGATTAATGCTCAAACCTGCGTGGAAGAGGCTTTGCTCAGCAGTGGGCTTATCTCAGGCTGATGATGTTATGCGTTCTACTCGGTTCGGAGTAACTGGAAAGTCGGATGGCTGTCGTACTTATATCCGATCATCAGGAACAATGCGATTAACCGCGCGGATATTAAGTAGGTATAATAAAAATAATTAAACACTCAGATAATTTTAAATGATATTTTTTTTATTTAATACAAATCACTTTTAAATTACATTACATTCTTACATGTCATGGAATAGGTGTAGGTATTATTTATGTAGGTATCTACATGTTTCACATAAAAAACTCTTATGAAGGTAAATTCATATCCTACACAATGTTTCACAAAATCATAATGCAAAATAAGCACAGGTTTCAAATTTCAAATGAATTTAGGTACTTACAAAACAAAAAAGCTATTATTCACATTTGAAAAAAAAATACCTCTTTAATGAAATGCTTCGTGTACTTAGCGATCGCAAAAACGATCGCTAGAACGGAGTCTTGTCGACCTAGGTATCCTAGGATACATTTGCCCAAATCGAGTTTAATAATTCTTCAATGACAATAGGCTGTCTACCTATTACATGAGACCAACAACTCAAAAAACTTAATAACTAAATATCCTTATTATCATCAATGTCAATATCCCGGACTAGGTTGTTTCTATCAAGATCATTTTTAGCATTAGCCGTGCCAGGTACTTAATATGTAGGTAATCAAAAATACGATACAATACAATACTTTAGTAAATATCTATCCACTTATAAAATGACAGAGCTAGCGCGATATATGTACCTATAGGGTGGCATTTTGATCGAGGGATATACATATTAAATATATTCAGGAGATTTGTGTTCAATTACAACAACTTTTTCCATAGGACCAATATCGAAATCTCAAAAATAAATTTATTTCCCCATTCAAATCGCAACAGCTGATCGATCATTTTGCATGGAGAAGTAACAATTTTTTTTAGATTTCCTTATTTTTTTTTATAGCCCCACACTAGGATTTTCTCCTGTGTCATGGGTGCGTTTACAAACATACAATTTCACATACACATCACACCCAGACCCGGAACAAAAATCTATGGATCACACAAACAGTTGTTCCGTGCGGTAATCGAACCCGCGACATGTTGCGTGGCAGCCAGTTGCCCAGCCACCGCGCTAACCGTGCAGACAAAAATTATTATATTGGTCTGACGTTATCCGCAGGGTGGCCGGCAGTGGTTGGATGAGAAGAGCTGAACATCGAGCACAGTGGCGTGCAATTGGGGAGGCCTATGTCCAGCAGTGGACAGAATCAGGATGATGATGATATTGATCTTATGGAAAAAGTTGTTTTATTTGAGCACCAGAATCGGATCCTTGAATATGTCCCTCGTTCAAAATGCCACCCAATATAATTCATATTACCTGTAGGCTAAAATTAAGTAGCTTTTCAGTATCCGGGCGTCAGCTGGGTAGTTGGTGTAAAGCCGATAGCATGGTAAGAGGTAAAATTATTGAAATAATTGGAGCCAAGCTGGATGCACTTGAGTAGGGTCTATCAGTATTAATGACAGGGGGCCGGCCAGTAATTGTAGGTAATGTACTAGATATTGTTGAAGTTATATTATAGTTCGGGGCCCGGGTTGTTGTATATGTGGTCGTTTCATTCGTTGTCGTCGTTGGAGATTTTATTGTGGTCCTTTTGGTAGTTGTGGTCCTTCGGGTTGTCCTTCGAGTTGTCCTTCGAGTAGTCCGCGTGGTCTTTTTACGCGAGATACTATCCGTGTTTACGTTGTTCAAAGGAGTTAAGACGTTCTTCGGATCTTGACAGTAATTGTCGTCTACGTTAGGTGGTGTGTATCGGAAAGCGTCTACAAGTACGATGGATTCCTCAGCTGCTTTTCCTACTATGGATATCTGAAACAAATAAATAGATAGGCGTTTAGTGTACCTATAAAAAATATTGGTTGGTGTCTATATCTCCCATATTAAAACATTTTAAATGTTATATTTTTAAGTCCATCTTTTTTTATTTATCAATATGAATAGACGAATTCCTAGTCTAAAGGCATCGTGGTAGGTAGGTAGGTAGGAAGGTATATAATATAGGTGTTCTAAAATTAAATTTATAAGTGCAGACAATGGAAAGATAAAAATCTGCAAAATATAAAAATTGCACAAATAATGTACTTAGATAATTAAATTGACGTGGATTTGAATGTTTTTGTGATATCTATCTACAATAGATTATTATAATTAACCTTTTATCGTCTGAGTTGGAAGTTGTACCTACCTATTATCAGAGTTTATCTTAAAGTAACAAAGTACGTAGGTACCTATCTACGTAATCATAAATTAATCATGACGACGGTCAAATATTTATATCGCTGACACAATAAATAAGTACTTAGATAGGTACCTCAATCGAATGATAAATAATAATCGGACTAAATCTGATTAACGATTTGTTTTTGCAATAGAGTGTTAAGTTTGGTAGACAGATACCTACCAACATACAGGGTGTAAGAGACAGCAGCCCTCCACAAATTAACAGGCTGCAATCAGCTCCTTATTCTGAATCATATTCCAGTAAAAATTCTCTCAGGAAAATTTCCAAGATTTTTTATCGTTTTTCTAATTCCTATAGCTCTATTTCGATGTATAATTACATTCTCTATATGAAGAAATACATTAATGTAAATAACACAGCTAAAATTAAAAAATCGCAATGGATGTTACCTAAAGAACTACGCATGAAATGAGCTGTTCAATTTCTACCTAGCCAGAGTTTTTTGAACTCATCCCGCCGCGGGCGCAGCGCGCGCCGCGCCGTATACCTACGACTTACGACCCCTTCCAACGTACAGAATAGCCGCGTCCCTTTCTGTCAGATCATAGGCCCCGCCCCGCCTCCGCGTTTGCACGATTTTTGGACAATTTTGTGTTGCCAACTTTTAACTTTTGAGACCTCTATTAGTAAACGAAAATCTTAGAACTAGCTTGATTCGTCTTAAACTCAAGAACTATATATTTTTTAACCGTGTAATTTGGCCCCCTGACGCATTCTGGACTCCTCCAGACCTCCTCCGACCTAATCCGACCCTGTACAACATTCGGTCAAAAAGCAAAATAATAAATACATTAATACCTAACTACTCATATTAAGGCATTTAAAAAATTGTAGGTAGTACCTAAGTATACTTAATAAGAATTTTGGATTAAAACTAAGTATCTTAAAATAAGCGAACAAAGGAAGTTCTTTAGTCTGCTCTAAGATCATTTTCCGTCAATAAATAAAATTATTAAAAATAAATACTCACAAATCCATCATAAGCATCTGTGCCAGGTAAGGTGAGTTTCAGAGTTTGCCATCCATTCGCGGAGTATCCGGAAACCTCACTTCCCACTTTTGCTCTAACCACGGATTCACCACTAGGTAGCATTTGACTGACAAAGACCCCAATCTGATCATTGATATCAGACCGCTCCATATAAATGTCCACTTCGATAAGACCTCCGGATTTTATTGGAAAAACAAATGATGACGCACAACTAGCAGCCCATTGAGAACTAGGGGTGATAAAAGTTGTACTACCGTTCTGTCCTATAATATTTAAGTCCTCATATTTACCGACAAACCAGACCGGGAAAGTATCACAAACGCCATCACCGCTAAACAATTCGTAGAAGCCTTTCTCAAAGTCGTAGTTCACACACAATTCGCCAATTGCGTACGACACGAGAATTATAAATGTAAATGCTTTCACAATCATCACATGCACTTAGTCGATTACTCGGTCTGATACGAATGCTGTAGCTAAACGCCAAAGTAATGTATATATACGTCAATTATTTTCTGATCTAGCAGTGACGAAGCAACTAAACCTTTGATAAGGCTCCGATAGATAAATGCTTTCGCTTTTTTATCAGAGATTTATCGAGCGACCGCGCATAAATGCTAAATATTTATCATACAGTTTCCTCATGTTATCACGGCACCACATAAGTACAACCAAAGGATTTGAGGATTTAAATGAGTAATTAGTCGATAAGGCAGACAGTTCCGTGTCACTGTTATCAATGTTTTTTAAACATAGGAATGTAAGTCGGGGTTGCGACTGTGAGCGCAACAATGGACAGCATGTCCGGTCCGAAGTGACGTGTCGGTGTTTAGTCAGTGGGAGTCTGACACTCTCTCTCTCGCCCTACCCAGGGCGGGTCTAACACACATTTTAGATTTATTTTACACATTAAATGAACACAATAAACAAAAAACATGTTGCTAAAAACCAAGATATACAAATACGTTTTGCACTCATGGGGCATTGGCAATGACGATGTAACTACTTTCTGTATCCTCTTTGGGCATTGGGACCTTCTTACCAAGTCCGAACCTCATATACTTACCTATTGTAATATTTTATGTTGCTTTAACCACAGAACTAAACAGCCGTATCTAGAACGACAAGACAAATTAGTGAAAACAAATAACTTATTACAGAAATCTGGCGATATGAGTAAATCACACCACTCGGCTCTGAACGGAACGGAGTAGTTTGAAGTCTTTTTTTTATGAAATAGGAAGCGGAGGAGCGATCCGCGCCACCCATGGACACCCGCAACACCAGAGGAGTAACAGGTGCGTTGCCGGCCTTTTAAGAAGGAGTACGCACGTTTCTTGAACGTTTGAAGGTCGTATCGGTTCAGAAATACCACTACCGGAAGATCATTCCAAAGCTTTGCTGTGCGGGGTAGAAAATTACCTACGCGAAAATCGCACAGTTGTTGACTGCCAACCATCTATGTGATGGGGATAAAAAATTTTTCGCGTGGAACGATAGCGAAAAGATGCGGCGGGAATCAAACCGAACAATACCTCAGAACACTCCCCGTGATAAAGGCAATAGACAATACATAGCGAGGCTACATCGCTACGCAGTGCCAAAGAGTCCAGCCGATCCGAGACAACAGGGCAGTCAACGATTCGAACAGCACGTCGTTGAATGCGGTCCAGAGGGAGAAGCTGGTACTGGGGTGCCCCCGCCCAAAGATGAGAACAGTATTCCATATGGGGCCGAACCTGCGCCTTGAAAAGGAGCAGGCGATGCCTCGGGGTGAAATATTTTTATATACTTGTATTTGTGTGCCTATTTGTCGAATAAATGTGTTTTCTTTCTTTCTTTCTTTCTTCAAATACCGCCTCGATCTATTGAGCACACCAAGCTTCTTCGAGGCTAACTTGGCCTTACCCTCTAGATGACCGCGGAACTGGACTTCGCTTGATATGTCGACGCCAAGTATCCCAATACCGGCCGAGGCTGTGAGGGGGTGCTCTGAAATTGAGGAGATAGGTACGACCAACGGTAGTTTTTTAGCTGTGAACACGCAGACCTGTGTCTTTGTGAACTAAATTGGACTAAGTTAAGTCTACCCCAATCTGAGATTCTTTCTAAAGAACTCTCGATTTCAGACACAAGCCAGTTTCGACTCTCTATGACGTTTTCCCGAGAAATGTTAGCACGACCGGCGTATAAGGCATCGCCCGTGCTGTCATCCGCATAACAATGAATGCCACTAATTTGCAACATGTCATTGATATGGAGGAGGAACAGAGTGGGCGATAGTACGCAGCCTCGAGGCACGCCAGCGTTCACAGGCAAGCAATCAGAGCATTCACCGTCGACCGCGACCTTTATGCTTCTGTCTGGAGCTGGATACTAGGAGTCTCGTTGTCATCAGAACATTTTAAAGTTAAATCACTTTTTTGTCTGTCATAGTTCGGCAAAAGAGCAGTCGTATTACCTGATGGTACCTAAGCAGTGAGGGCCGCCCATGGATACTTGTAGTACCAAAGGCGTTACTACAATTGCGTTGCCGGCCTCTTGTCTGTATCCTTTGAAGATTGAGGATGGAAGGGGAAGGATTGGGCCTCCGATAACCTCACTCACACAGCTAAGCACAACGTAAGTCTTGTTACACGTCAGTTTTCTGTGAGGCCTTGGTATCACTCCGGTCGAGCTGACCCATTCGTGCCAAAGTATAGCTCTCCCACACGAGTCGTTTTTTTCAATAGTCTCCCGATAGTAACAGATGATTTCAGCCTTAAAAAAGGGTCAAAAAGTAAATAAAACACTTAAGTCCACGTATTAAGATTTAATTTCAATGAATATCAGATAAATGGTTACATATCTAGATGTAATGTCATGTTATATATTGAATAAAGTGGCTGCGACTAAATCTAAGCTTCTCCAGTGACATTCAAACTACATAGTTTTGATATAAATTTAAAATACATGATATTGCACCGAGTGACTAATTCTCTACATCTAGGGCTTAAATTATGGCTACGGTCTTGACGCCTGTTGCATTTTTGTCTGGATCTTTCATTAGAACTAGGTTATAGAAAAAAAATGTTACTAAGCTACACGAAATTATTAATCCCTTACTTCGAAAAAAGCCTGAAATTTTTTTATGTTTTAGCACGACAAACGACCTGACGTATCGCCTGATGGTAAGCAATCAGTGCCGCCCTATTAGGTATTTGGAGATTTTGGAATTAGGTGATAAATTTTAGTTTCCCTATAACTTGTACCAAATATGACAAAAACCTACAATAAATGATATCATATAAAGTCGTGGTGGTGGAGGTTAAAGTAAGGCGAAACATGGCAAGTACCAATATATGTACTTTCTATGGTTATTTAGACACCTCTGACAACAGGTGAAGGAAAACCTGCACTTATAATTTCTAATTATAAGTTTTAAAATCGCCAAGCCGCCTTGAGCAAGCGTGATGATTAATGCTCAAACCAAGCAGTGGACACTTATAGGCTGATGATACGATGGAAAATGATATCATTTAAAGGTCATAATGAACGCTCCAGACTCAATTAACTACCGTAGCCAACAACATCTAATATTGATACGAAGTAACAGCAAATAATACTTTTATATCTCTCATGTTTTACACAAGAACATTCCACATATTCATTTCGTATCAAAATTGTTAATTACACATTTATTTATACATTTTAATAAATGTTATACATAATAGAGTATGTATGTATATAATAAATGTATATTTAATACATATAAGTATGTATATGTATACAAATTGTTATTGAATTCGTGAGCAAACAAAAAGTTTTAAATTGAAAACTAACTATGCCCTACGGTTTTTAGTCTATGTTTATCGAGGTTCTGCTTTCCAATTGTAAAAAATATTCCAAATCGGTCAATTGGTATAAGAGCCTTTTGAAACGTCAATAGGTACTTTTGAAACGTCAAAATAGAATACTAGTCTGTCAGTCTGTTCGTCAGAGAAGCTAGGTGCTCATTCCAAATTGTAGATTCGAATGGAGAAGAATGAGCAAAAAACTCCATCGTAACTCTTTTAAAAAAAAGAAAAATCTAACATTAAAAAATTAACATTACCACCCTAAACTTATGATCCACGAATTCATTAACTCTTTGTATAAAAGAAAAAAATATCATTTGTTACATAATTCATACCTTTTTGCAATACAATATTTATCAGGATACCTAGTGCATACATTAGTTACATCTATGATGTATTTTTAAACCAAAATATTCGAAAAGTACAGTACATTCACAAAGAAAAGAAACGTTTCGCTTCAAAAAAATTGAAAAACGAAAAATTATATTTCCTTAGTAAGTATATTCGAAAAATTACATTACCACGCTCTTGTAATTACTCCAATAAGCACAGACGCATGTGAATAATTATGCAGAACAATACATATATTATATTTTAACATACCTAACAGTTATACCCTAAGTCGGTCCTCCCAAGCAGTGATTAAAGGGTTACACACTTAAATGATAAATTTAAATTATAATAAATATCACATTTTCTAAAATAAAATATAGGGTGACTGGTATATTTTTACATACAACTAACACTACACATAACTATAGTATTTTATAGAAGAAATAACATGTTACATTAAAATATCTACAATAATACATTCTAATTTACATTTCATTTTTATCGAAGGCTCTGCTGAGTCAGCCCACCAACATGCTGGGTGAGCCGGCCTGTTCCAGCAATCAACCATCCGATTAACCACTTTGGCAGCCGAACAACTCAGCCCCGCCGACTATATGTCATTTTAAAGCTTGTAATGACGCGCTATGAGTGTTATGTAACGTTAAACAGTAGGCGTAGACGCTTCGTGCTGGTCCACAGCACGGGCGATGATCGGCTTAACTTCTGCGGTTTGGCATTAAATAGTGCTACACTTTATAGAAACCGGGACCCTGCAGAGACCTACAAGGGGGGTAGAGTGGCAATTTTCAGAGCAGCCCTAAACGGCGGAGAGGCGGATCTCGAAAGCAACGGCTCTGATTACTACTACCATGATACAGCGGTGACCTCCACCGACAACAACTTCTTTAGTAAGGTCGAGGCTGATATATTCCCTGCGTTGCGGGTGTGAGAATGGAGTAATGAGGTGGATTGGCACTTTTCCTTTCCGGCCCATACATAATCTACAGGAGCAGGCCGCCCCCTTCGGCTGAGAAGGTAAGATAATTTAGGGTCATAAGCATGACTTAAAGTTTGGTGGTAAACTTGGAATCTGCTCTCAGGGTACAAGGAAAGGGTTGGCACGCGCGATTGCGGGCCACGACGTCAGCCGGGACCTCGAATGACTACCTCTTCAGTTCCTTTTCGATGGAAGCCCTTCCAGGCAGATTTGGGAGAACTATGGTTACGGCAGGGGGGAGGGTTCGGACCGCGGCGCCCAAATCATCGGACGATGCAGCACCTGCCACTGGATGGCACGAGGTGGCAGACGTAAACCTGGACCACAGGGAGGGGCAGGACGTCCATTAAGGCCCCCCAAAAAGATGATACCTGATTGGGAGTGGACTCCCTCCCTTTATCGTGCCAAGCAGAGGGAGCTCATCTCGAAAATGGACCCTTGTTGTGGTGAGAGAGGATAGGATGCACCCAAAAGCAAATTCAACTCATCCGAAGTAGAGGAGACTCGCATGTACATCAAGGAGGAGTGGGTTAGGCCAGCGTCACTTCCTACACTGAACGAATGGATAGGCAGTGGGGTGTGGATGCGGGGTAAGGCGGGCACGGGTGACCCGACCGAAATAGCTGTGGAGGGAAAGAGGAAGAAGACGCGGAGGTACAAGGGGGTAGACGCTGCCCTCAAGAGTGATCAGCAGCTCTACCATGAGTTGCTAACCCTCACGAGCGAGAAGATGCAACAATCAGAGAGGGGTAAAGTGCGCCCCCGGTGGTGGTAAGTGGCAACGAGCTCTCTCTACGAGCTCTGCGAAACTCTCAACAATTCGATTTCAAATATGTTGACATGAATATTTTTGTTAAATAAAGTTCACTATTTAAACGTGGTCCAAGACTATAGTTCTTATTATGTGTTACATGTAAATAAACATATAATATACAAATATCAATATTACAAATATTAATTTGAGAAGAAATACATAATTCTGATAAATGTAATTATATATTATTAGTGAAGACAACACCATCGTATTTTGTTATTTAGGTAATGTGTACATATTATTTATATTTTTATTCTAGTGATTCAAGTATTATATCGTGAATTAACATTTTCAGCTGCATTGCACATTTTTATGGTGAACGAAAACATCGTGAGAAAACCTGGTATTAAGTTTAAAATCCAATCCGCCTTAAGCTAGTGTGGTGATTAATGGTCAAACAAATAAAAATAATCCTGCAATCCTGCAAATGAATTGACGAAAACCGATTGTCTATTTTTTTTAATGTAAACATCATATTACGAGCGTAATTTACAAACACAGCATATAATTATAGATTGTTACATAAGCCATACAAAAATTACATTGTATTTCTTCAGTTCAAATGAAATCTATGCAGACCTATCAGGCTATCCTCAAAGAGTAGCAAGCTATAATTTCCTTCGCACATTTATGTATATTTGGTAATATTACTGCGGCTAAAACACTTTTATAATAAGCTTACTATATTTAATATTAACAACTTTAACTTTGAAACACTCGCATGAAAAATTAGCGTACAGTGCGTGGAATGAAATGAATCATAAATACTAAAGCGCTTTTTTGCCATTAGCTACAGTGGCGCCACTTACCTAAAACTATTAAAGACCAATTCATTAACATTAGAGCACTATTTACTGTACTTGATACACTCCATGATAACACCATTGAACTTGCAACATAAAAGTGTTGCATTACCCAACTAACCACGCCATTAATTCCAAAAAGGGAACACAGAAAACATAGTTCTTAATTTTAAAAGTTTGACGTCTTCTAAAAAAGCGCGCCATTTTTTTCTTTGTTTCTGTCACAGATTATGTAGGGACGAATAAATGAACAGACTTCTAAGAAATTCGTGTTCATACGCTAGAGGTTGTATAGCTGTGAAGTACTATGCTCTTACGATTAATTTATCTGAAGTCGTCCTGGATGCTGTTGGTATTTCTCCCAAATTCTGCGATCACTGGTCTTCCGCTCAGTATAGTTCCGTGGACCTCTTCTAAGGCCTGAATAGCTATTTCTTCCGCTGCAGACAAAAGACATTATGTAAATAGGATATGTAAATACCTTTTCTTGCGAGAATAAATATCAAACGACTGCTCTCGCCCATGGTGAGGCGAGAGAGATCTCTTATTGAATAAATCCCGCGAAGACTTATTGGGCTTGCCCCGCAACCCCCGCTGAATATCAGCTCTAATAGGTGGTGCCCCGTGTGTGCTGGTCTATTGGCTCTTTGAGGCGCGCGCGATATGTAAATACCTAACTATACACTTGTAACTCCTAGGTGCTATGGTCGTATCAAGTGCTCTGACAGCCCTTTTGATGCCCTATCTCATAAAAATACGCTTTTAAGATTTCATAATGACAAATTATGAAAATGCCCAAGCTTCTAATTCAAATACTTATTATCATGAGGTGGGCAAGGGCAATAAGGAGCCGCGGCTTCTGCCTGGAGCAGGAGAAGGGACGGGGTGAGGAATAAGTCGAAAAGAGTCTAACTCTCACTCTCGCCTTACCCTGAATGAGAGAGGACCTGATGATTTTCCTCTTACAAAAAAATCATCATGTAATTGGGTAGTTTCCTATGTCAAAAATAAATTAATTCGACGTTTCAATACAATAAAATATTGAAAAATAACGAATCGATACACAACGTTTTAGATTTTTTTAGCTTATTATTAAGAAATAAGTAAGCTATTTGACGCAAAAATGTTCTGACGTCATAACTCAGTTTTTCATAAAAATTTCATAGAAAAGTTTCGTTTTTGGCGTTTGGATAAAAGTATTGAATTTGACTAGTTGAAAACTACCGTATTATTAATGTACTTACATTGGAAGGACACGAACGCCTGTCCTCGCATGCGGCCGGTCATCAGCCTGACGTCCACGGGGCCACCGTTAGCCAGCACAAACTGGTTGAACAGCAGAGACAGCTGCTCGTGGCTCACTGTCGGAGCTATGTTCTTCAAGTACAGCACCTATAATTATAGTTTTAAACTATAACATTTAATAAAAAGATTAATTGTTAAGTTGACTGCATGGTTGGTGTGGTGGCTGGGCAACTGGCTGCCGTGTAACGTGTTTCGGGTTCGATTACCACACGGAATAACTCTTTGTGTGATCTACAAATTGTTGTCCCGGGTCTCGGTGTCATGACTTGTATGTCGAATTGTATGTTTGTAACTACACCCACAACACAGGAGAAAATCTACGTGTGGGGCAATTTTTATAAAAATAGAAAAAGAAATTTGTTGCTTGGTTGAATTTATTCAAATTCTACCTTTCGAAATTACCTCGAGAAATGCGGGATGACAACATTTGAATTGCCATAAATTATGTTTTTTTTCAATTGGTAAATATTAAGCACAGCACTGTTGTGGGAATTATTATTTGACTCTTCTTGGAATTATTTAAACATATCAATAATATTGATTGAATGACCATATATTAGTAAAGGCTAATGATAATTGTGTTTTTATCACTACAACTAATAGAGCCAGCTACTAGAAAATTATTAGCATTCAGCTATTAAAAATATACATATAAAACACGCAAAACAAAACTAGATTATAAATATAGGAACATGACACAGGAAAAAAAGAGTGAACCAAAGATCTCAATATCAATCGCAAAAGCAAAGAGATTATATTATAAAGAAACATACCTTTGACGGAGTACCAGGTGTCCAATCCTTGAATCGGTCTATCTTCCTGATGTCATCCACAGTCATCTTCGTCCCTTCCAACAAATTTGCTTCAGCGTCATTGATCGGCATCACAATGTCCACAGCCCTATACTCCTCCTGCTCACGCTGCACAGGCTCCAGCCTTAGAATTTTGTTGTTCCTTACAGTATACATAGCTCGGAAATGCGGACCCATTGCGTTAGCCTCCTGGTCTTTGCTAGTGATTGTGTGCGGAATCAAACGAGGCATCTCCCTCATATCCCAAAGACTACCAGGTCGGTCTACTCTGGATGTGCTTGGTATCGCAGCAATGTTGAAAGGATTGTCATGCTGCAGTCTCTCTTTCTTCCTCTGCAAGCGACGTAGGAGTTTACGTCTCTTAGTAAGTGGCATTATATCATTTTTCATATGTCCAAAGAGGTTTCCCTCAAGCTGTTTCAACTCATTCATTGGATGACCTTCCGGATAGAATGTGATTGGCTTCTGTTGAAGTCTTTCTATGAGATTTTCAGGAGTGGATGATGTGCTTGGCTGTTCAGTTTGCGATGTTACTGTATGGCTGGAAATAATTTGATAGTAAGTAAAATAATGAGAAAATATTTTTACATACTTATCATATGACATAAGAATTATTAAATATAAAAATCGCCACAAATCCTTTTAAACCGTCGCAAATGCCAAGTTTTAAACATTTATTTGTGACAGTATAAATTATAACTAAGTAAGTAAAATAAAAACCTTTTTGTTTCATTGTGAGTATTATTGATTTTATTGTATATTTCTTCGAGTTTATCCTTCAGCACTCCAGACTCGATCTTTTTACGCTGGTCTAGAAGCCCCGCCTCATTCTCTTGGTACAGCTTTATTTCTTCACTGGTGAGACCAGCTTTCTTCAGCCATTCGTGGTGGTGGACCTCCTCCTCAGCCTTCCGGAACTCTTCCATCGATGATAGCCCATATTTCGGGAAGGGTAAGACCTCTGTGGTCTTTTCAAACTCCTTCGGTAAAGACTCCGAACTAAAACAATCATATTATTTTTAACACTGGACTTATACAGGTAATTGAAGTGATACAATTTTTTTTTAATTTACCACATCGTTTTCACCGATGTAAAACTTCACACACAATTTATTAGACACATTAATATTATTTAATTTCACGAATCACGAATAAAAAGCAATAACAAAAAGACAAAGATAGCTATTTTCCCGCTGTGACAGTTTGAACGCTAAATTGACACAATCGATCTGAAAATCTAAATTCGGACCGTAGGCTTTTGAGCCAGCTTTGAGAATTAGATTTTCTTAGCACGAGCACCATAACCAAACATAGACTGAAAATTGTAAAACCAATACACACATATGAGAAATAGCTTAAAACAATTGCTAGTAGAAGAATAAACATTTTTATTACAGCCTCTAAATATAAAAAATATAATTATATTCAATAATTATGTGTATGATCTATGTGATTGGATTGGAAACAAAAACATCAAAACAAATGAGTGTTAGGTACACTCATTTGTTTTTGTTGTTTGTTGTTTGTTTTCCGATCATCGTTTATATTTTCATGAATTAGTTTTCTATAATTAATTTTGGCATAGGTATATGTTTTCTTTCCTTCGGTAGGATTCTACTTTTAATTTTTAAGAAAAAGTTATGTCAATATTAACATATTGCTTGTAGATTTATCATACCTACAGGTAATTATATAGTTCTATGAAGTTGGAATTTTCAAAATAAATGAATGATGAATGAATTGACAATGTGGCTTCTGGCAACTTTATTGGCACGCTTTGCATGATTGTATACAAAGACATATTGTACGAGTATGATTTTACATGAATATTTGTTAAAACCACCATCATTTACTACGCAATTTAGAAAAGTGTAAAATTACCTTTTTTATATGATAGGTCGGCAAACTAGCAAGCGGATTATCTGATGGTAAGCAATCAGCGCCGCCCATGGACACCCGCAACAACAGAAGAGTTACGAGTGCGATGCAAGTGCATTGCCGACCTTTTGGGGATTTGGAAATTTAAGGGGAGGGGAAGGATTGGGCTTCCGGTAACCTCACTTTCACGCGGGCCGGTTTTCTGTGAGGCCGTGGATTTTGCTAAAGTACAAGGCTGTACATCTTTTATTTATATACTAACTCACCCGGTAGACTTTGTTCCACCCAGGGGCAACAAATGATCATATTTATAGGTACTTTTTAAGTTCATTAAGATAATTGTTAATTTTAAGTGTGGGAGAGCCAAGCTTCGGCACGAATGAGTGGGCTCGATCAGAGTGATACCACGGTTTTGCAGTAAAACAACCACAGCGTTGTTTTTCGCTGTATGAGTGATCGTTATCGGAGTTATCCTTATATCCTTCGCCAATCCCTAAATCTACGACCCTAAACCCTAATCCCCAAAAGTCCGGCAACACATTCGTAACTGGAAATGGACAAATGGTCCATTGGACCATGGTACCTATTATTTCAACTTTTCTGGTATTACGAGTGTCTATGGGCGGCACCGGTTGCTTACCATCAGGTGAGACGTCCTCTCGTTTGCCGACCTACATAAAATTTTTATGTTTGTATTATCGAGGTTGATGTTTCAAAAAGCATGTGTGTAAACATAAGAACTCGGTAGCAATTAGAAAATAATTAATTTACTTGCAGCTGCAAGTTGCAAAAAAATTAGGAAAATCTTAACTTACAATTTTATTAATTTCTTACTTATGGAAATCGCAAAAATCACAGCAGTTGCCCTTGACTATTACGACTTGATAACGACTTAATAAATAAATTATTAAACCTACCTACCTATATATGATCGAATTATTCTTCAGAGCTTGCCAGATTGAGGGTAGTGCTAATTTTATTCACAATTGACAATGAGTGGGTAGATTTATTTTATTTGCTGGATTCGTTGGTGATCTTAAAATACTTTTTCTTTTTCACTTGACCTTTGCTTGACTGATGTTAACTTCACAAAAAATATTTAAATAAAATCAACAAAATGGATTACAAAAGGAATTAAAACGTATTTTAAATTAATCAGATCTTAGACCAAAATTATATGAAGCATCCATATAATTAAATTAAAGCAGAAAAAAGTTGCAGTGATTTTCTAAAACGTGTTATTGTGTGCATATCTACAATGAATACGTGGGGAGGAGAGCAAGTTGCCGTGCAAAATGGGATGCATGGTAAACCTCCAATGATGCAAAATATGATGCCACCTCCACTCGTACCTGGGGCACAGATGCAGTTTACACCACCAGTTGGCAACATATCCCAGCCCCAGTTCATAGGTTCTGCACAATGTGGCAATATTACTGCCGAAATAATAGCCATTGAGGGCAGTCCGCCGAAAAAAAAGAGCAATGGGCAGGCATCAAGTGAAGAAAAAAAACAAAGCCAAGATAGAAATGAGCGGAGGGACAGAGAACGCAAAATAGGCAAGTATTGTATTCTATTGTAGGTATTGTATAGTATACTACTGACAAATGTGATTTTCTTTAGGTTTTGACTATTGAATACTATTGAATTTTGGCTTCCCACTATATATATATTTTAACTTTTGTGGGCTTCTGCGATTATTGGCTTTTAATAAGTTGCGTGTTGGTTCTTAAACTGTAGCCAAATTAATACATATTATACAGCCTTGATAGCCAAAGGATTATCACTGAACAAGTTTTAAAACCCTCTCATTCTTGTTATTGTAGCGAAGTACCACGAACCAAGAATTCATCCGCACAACCACTCCACACCACCACGTGACAGAGATCACAGAAACTGGAACAACCGGGACAGGCAAACAAATTGGGAAAACAATAATGGGATGAAGCCTCAACCAGTCTTACAAACTCATAATAATATCATGATGCCAGGTAAAAAGTGTCGTTTTATCAATGATAGGTGTTATAAGTAAAGTAGTGTAGATTGGTTACATAAACAACATTCGGTTTTCAAAAACGGCACACTAATGCACACATGAATAAAGCGTAGGTATGATACACGTTAAAGTGGGATGGCATGATTCAATAATCGCGAGTAAAAAGAGACAAAATTAAATATGATAAAGTGTGGCTAATTAGCCACATTTTAATGTATCACTTGCTGAGAGCGTGTAACCTATCTACATCTTTTTACTTATATTATCATTGCCTTTTATAATATGTTTAAACAACAGTAGGTTATTTTTGCGTGTACCCTTTCTCATACGATGTTATTTTTCTAGGCTTATTGTTGCCAATCAGCAATATAATACCGCCATTGCAGACTCCACTTATGAATCAGCAGATAGACATGACTAAGATGCAGCAAATGATACCAGGCTTGGTGCCAAAAATGCTACTAATAAACCAAAAAATGCAGATGAACAATCAGCGAATTTGCTTTAATAAAGGGGCTATCCTTCCCCCTCCGCCTAATATTGTGATGCCACAGAAACGAGAAAGACCTCCTGGATGCCGTACACTCATTGTGGGAGGCTTACCTACGGGGATCACAAATGATTCAGTCACTGAGATATTCCAACTTTTCGGCACAGTCGAGGAAGTGAAACCTGTCGGGCAAGAAATCTGGCAGGTGCGGTTCGATAATCCTGATAGTATAGAACCGTCTTTCATATTGTCCGGGTGCCGCATTAAATTGCATGGCCAAATGGATTGTGAAGCGCTGAGTCTTTTCATTGATTATGCTGTTGTAAGTTGAAACCTTATTTTTGTGCTGTAATTTTTATACAGAATATAGTATAGTATATAATATTTACATAATTTTATACCTTACTTGCTATTGTCGCGCGGATTCACCCGCTGCTCGACTCCATTTAATCGTAGCGTGATATTTTATAGCTTATAGCACTCAGGAACAGTGTAGCTATCTATCAGTGAAAGAATTTTGGAAACCCGACAAGCGGTTTCAAAGATTACCCCCTACATACAAACTTACAAATTTTACCTCTTTATAATATTAGTATAGATAACTTCAACTTACATCACTACATAGTACCTATAAAACAAAGTGGCTTTCTCGGTACCTATATCCCTATGTCATTGTATGTTTTAACGTTTAAAACTACACAACGAATTTTCATGCAGTTTTTTCATAGACATGTATAGAGTAAATTGAGGAGATTGACCCATTATTTAGCAGGGAGATTTTGTATCATCATTGCATCCGTAATTAGCCTTATCTTGCATTGTTTTAGGGCTGCTTTTTCAATGGTTAGATAAAAGTTCGAATAATAATATGATGCTGTCACGTCAGAATGTTTGCATAAGACAGTGACAGCAACAATTTTATTCCTCATATAAAATTTATCTGACTATTGAAAAATCAGTCCTTTATGTATTTAACTAAATCCATTTTTTATATGTTTTTAGAACCGTGACGATCAAATTGAGTATGAGAAGAACACAGGTAATCATAATTATCTGCCCAGCCCTACTGTAGAGCCATTTAATGACAATACATTGAGTATTGTTACAGGACATATCAAAAGTGACGCCAGGTTTTCCGAGGCCGCTCCAGTAAGTTGTGTTTAGCGTTATTTTGGAATGTTTACATTAAGATATAACGGTTTCTTATTCTTTCTTGACCAGCGTTGTATCCTTAACTTATTAAACTAATGCTCTGACGCGATCAGACTTAAAAGCGATGGCAAAATCACTACATAGGTAGTATAAAAACAAAGGCAATTTTTCTGTCCCTATTTTCCGCTAAAAGTACCTACGCTTTAAAGTACGCTTTAATTTTTTAAACTACGCAACGGATTTCGATGCGGCCTTTTTAATTGATAGAGAGTAGTCATTAAATAGTGGAAAAAGTAAAAATATAACAGAAAAAAACTAATAAAAGTGTAGGTACATTCAAATTAGGAATAATTTTTTTTTTCAAAATTATTAACTATCTGATTTTCGGTTGAAAAATGTATACCTAATAAACTTACTTTTAGGTTCTGGTAGCTTGGCTGGAGCATGGTGAATGTAACAAGAAAAATTCAAACACGTTTTATGCTTTAATACAAGCAAGTAACGATCAGCTCCGACGCCTATTCACGGAGAAGACGCAGCTAGATGAAGAGTACGAAAACTTAAAGTCTGAAATCAAGGACAAATTCGGACATATTATTATGCAATGTAAGTACCTACATGTGGTAAAACGGGGTGAATAAAATTTGTAGGGTTAATAGATACACGAAAGGTGTGAGTAGATGTTGGCGAATTTTCCTAGTAAGTACCTATATACCTAATCACCGTTCTTCTGTGCCTATCCACCCCTTTTAACTGTATCTATACAAAATAAAGATTTAAAATTTTTAAGTTTGTATTTAGGGTGTAGGTAATCTTTAGAACAGCTATTCAGATTTCGAATTTTTTTCACGGATAGCTACAATGTGGATTGCTACTTATAGGCTATAATGGAAATGTTGCGAACAAATGTACTTAGTCAAGTGTCATGAAAAACCGCGCGAGAGTAACTAGTTAACAAATAAAATTGCTTTTGTGTTGGCACAGGTTTTTAAAACAACAATTTGACTTTATTGGCTGTTACTCGGTTCAAAACTCTATAATGACTAAATCACGGAATAGAAAATACAGGACTAAATGGTGAAAGGTGAAATATCTGGCTATAACCACAAATAATGGCAATTTTAACTTATCTATAATGAAAATTTGTGTGATTTAGGCCGAATATCTCATTTCTACCAATATCGAGCCAAAATTTCTTTAGAATTATGAATATTAATCGTCGCAGCGTCCAAACGATTTTTAGTAACTACTGGATATCGTACCTATGGGTATCCATAATTCTTTCGAGATAAAAATAAAACACTTTTTCTGAAACGAGAGTAGCTTAAATTACTCCTTATTACATCAGCTACCAACGAAAAAAAGTCAAGTCAAAATTGGTCCAGCCTTTCCAAAAACTGGCAAACAAAAGGATAGACAGGTAAATGGTTAAAAGTTATAAGTTACGTATAGGGAGATGTAGGTACCTATAAATATAATGCACTGAGCACATAATTTTTATATTTTGGTCAAATTGAACTTTTTTCTATTCTATATAATATTATAAAGAAGTAAAATCTGTTAGTTTGTAGATATGTAGGGGGTAATCTTTGGAACCACTGGTCGGATTGCCAAAATTTTTTTTACTCATATGTGGCTACAATATTCCTGAGTGCTATAGGCTATAAAATATCACGCTACGATCCAATAGAGCCGAGTAGGCAGCGGGTGAAACCGCGCGAGAGTAGCTAGTTATTATAGAAAATAATTAAGAAAAAAATCTTCGTTAAAGATGTAAGGATATTGATTAATGAAATTATGTAGGTACCTAATATCAATTTATTTAAAAACATTTTCGTTCCAGTCGAGCAGGTAGCGAAAATTCTGGCGACTGCAAGACTTCCGCGGGTCATTGAGCATTTTTCCAAGCAGCAACGCAAGAACATCGACATGTGGCTCAAGATGACAGAGGTACGTTTACAAATAAAAGTATGTATTAGCGTCGATATATCGTTTCTAGTAAAATATAGTTCATCTCCTAGTAGAATCTGTATTAATATTATAAAGAAGTAAAATTTTAAGTTTTTATGTAGGGGTAATCTTTGGAACAGCTGGTCGGATTGCCAAATTCTTTCAATGTTACATAGCTTCAATGTTCCTGAGTGCTATAAGCTATATTTAGGGTACTTATTGTCCGTACCTACATACTAATTGTGTTCACAGGATATTGACAACATTCGGGAAGAGTTCAATGTTCTATTTGAAGAAGATGAAAAAACTACGGTCTCTATGGACAAATATAGAAAAGTGAAAGTAAGCTGTCTTTTGTTTTTTTTGGTTTCTCTAACTTTTTGATTCCTGTCTGGGTGGGCGGATGTGTAATAATAAGTATACACAATAATGTATGTGCAATTATGGACGAAGTTATCCTCACGAATAACTACCGGAAATATATTATGAAGGATGGGACGGTTGACATATGTCGGGCATATCATAGCCCCGGTGAATCCATCAGACATATATACACAATAAAACACCAGGAGTATTTACAAAATTCGTACCCTTACTAAGAAATATTCAATAGCCAATAAAACTGCGAGACCTACGCAGGTACTTCTCCATGTGGGCGATAGGATAACGGAGGCCCAATCCTTCCACCCCGCCATCCTCAATCCTCAAATGTTCTATCCTTTAATCCATAATGACCTATGAGAGGTCGGCAACGCACTTGTTATAACTCCTTTGGCATTACGAGTGCCCATGGGCGGCGCTGATTGCTTACCATCAAGTCCAAAAACTATCAACAAAGCAGTCATTTGTTTATGCTTTATCTTTTATTGCTGTTGAGAATGAATAATAGGTATTCTTTTTATAATCCATCTTCTTTATTTTAAGGCTGAAAATGACAAACTTCAAATAGAGCTAGAGGGTTACAAGAACGAAGCTCAGTTGGCGAAAACCGAAGCGGAACATAGGCTCGAGAAGTTCAAAGCGTGCTTCATTGCCGAACAAGCCCTGCAGTTGAGCAAAAAGGTACCATGATAATAAAAAATGTTTAAAAAAGCGTAAATAATAAAAATGGCTATTTAGGGATTAGGGCAACAAAGGGCCTATAGCCACACGCAACACCTGAGATCCGGGTGTTCGAATGAGTGAGCGGGTTTGAAACCTGGCAAATACCAACGTGACTTTTTCAGAGTTATATTTACTTTCTATGATTATTTAGACACCATTGACATACGGTGAAGGAAACATCGTGAGGAAACCTGAACTTATAATTCCTAATTATAAGTTTGAAATCGCCAATCGGCTTTAAGCAAGCGTGGTAATGCTCAAACTTTCTCCGAGTGAGAAGAGGCTTCTACTCAGCAGTGGGCACTTATAGGCTGCTGCTGATGATGATGATGATGAACACCAAAGATTGTAAGGTACAAATCCTTTGCCGATTAGGTATAAATATGGGGATACGTATATGGATAAATTGGGGAACGGGGAAGGAGACGATTGGGCCGCAATACATTGCTAGTGTTGTTTTTCACTAGTTATCTGTGACGGTGTGGTATCAGCTTTTTTATAACTAAAACTAAAAGCATATGAAAATGAGTGGTAGGAGGGCAGAGAGGTCTTTGCACAGAATTTAATTCTATAAAATAAGACTAATAAAGAGACAACAGCAAAATATTATTTCTTAAAAACGCCATTCTTATTGTGCCTGCAGCTCAGTAGCTTGCCGCTCCCATCGCCATCGATACCGGACGTCAATCTAGATTCGTCCAAGCCACAGACACCGACACCGAATGACGTCACTTCCTCTGCAACTGTTAACGCCTCAGAAGCCAAGCTTATCAGTCTACTGTCAGCTTTCCTGGTAGTGCATCCTCTAGGCGCCACCCTGGACTACCTAGTTTCTTATATTAAGTCTATGCACTCAAATGTAACTCAAGTATCAGTTCTGGATGTCCTACAAAAATATACTGATGTCTTCCGATGCAAAACCAACGGCGTCAACACGAGTATTGAACCTGTGTGGTTTTTTAAGATTTATGATAGTGTTAAAATGACGTAGGTAAACATGACACATGACTAATATAAGATATTGCAGTTTAAGATTTTAATTGAATAAATGAATTTGATAATTTGTCTTGTTTTGTTTCTGAAATACTTACCTATTAAAACAGAATTTATTAAACATTCCAAATATTTCTACTTACCCAATTAAAAATGCTTACAGTTAGATGTTACGTATTAATGAAAATTTACGCTATAACAAAAAAATATATAAATGTTACAGAATGATACTATGTTATAATAATTCACACTCCATAATTTTAACAATAAAATCAGTTATTGTAAACGGGCTTCGGTACCAACGAGCGCTTGATCCGCAATTCCGGCTGAACACTATTAGGCCCCATCTGATGGTCTACGAAATAGAAATAATTTATTTGCAGAAAATGTATGTTGCAGATATGGTGACATGTTAATTTATATTGTCTCAATACATTTCGCCTTACGGCATGCAAAGTATTTGTTAGATAACGACTAAGTAGTTGACATTGACAACTAATTTAACTTAATTATCTTAGAACTTATAATATTAAACATTTTTACATTAAAACTCTACATAAAAATAAAAACACGACTAAACTATAATGAAAGAAAAATGCTAAATAGAAAAAAAAATACACAATAAAAAATAATAATAATAATACTTACAGTAACAATTTTTAATCTAATATTCATCATTTAGGAAATCGTTAATGTTGTAGTAGCATCTGTCCTGTAAAATTTTAACTAAAGACTTTTTAAATAATTTTGTCGGTAAATCTTTTAATTTTTATGAAGTTTGTTGTATATCTGAGGGCCCATATGTACGACGCCTGACGGCTAACACCACGACACCGTCGGAAACTCACAAAAGACTTCTTTATAACATTAGCGTAGAATGGAATTAGAGAAAAATCAAAGCATATATGTTTCAGTAGTTGGCAACACAAAAAAATAATGTCATTGAAATAAATAGAATATCTGGGCAACACCGATAGTCCTTGTCATTACTGTCAAAACAAAAAAAACAAATTAGTTTTCAAAGTTTGGAGCAGTGGAGTGGTTGTCGCGTGTGATTGGTAAAAATAATTTCGTTAAAATGAATAAATGGTGGAATTGGGTGCTGGGGTTCGCGTTATTCTGCCTATTATTTGTCGCAATACCTATTTCATTATCGCGGCAGAAATCTGTGGAAGAACTTAAGCCTATGTTCGATGATTACATTGCAAAGTTCAATAAAACTTATGCGACTCCCGAAGAATACTCAGCGAGGTTTCAACATTTTGTAGTAAGTTCTTTTTTTGAATTTATTAACATAAAGTTTTTTTTTAAGTTTTAAGGGCAATATTATTTATTATTATAAGGGCAATGGTATTACCTATTTTTGCTCCTGCACTAATTATGAACTTTTTTATTTTATTTACCTTTTTGCTTTATCTTGTTTGTTCCTGTACCTATCAGAAAGTCTACATTTTCATTTATCTCAATGCAAAACAAGGACAAGCATTAAAGTACCTACATTATGAATGATTCAACTTTGAAGCCCCAACAGCAATATAATTTGTTTTTTTATGAACTTGTCAGTTAACAGTTGATTTGCCCACCTATTATGGCTATTCCAATAAAAAAACTTGATTGTTTCTAATTTTAGGTTCTAAGATATTTGCTTTGCTTTGGATTTTTTCAACTTGCTAAAATAAAGAAGCCTTATTTAAAAAATGTAAAAAAATGTGGGTATTCATAAAAATTGAAGTTCATTTGTTTTTTGTCTTAAGTTTTAAAACCTTGTTTGGTGTCATCAATTAACTATTAATTTCTTATCTTCTGACGTGGGAAGCTCTCTGAAATCCTGAATAAAAATGAGACAGTAATAATTGATACCTATGTGGCAATAGTTTATTTTTAATCAATAACTTCATAAGTAATTATCTCTAACATGACCACATTATAGGCATCATAGTATTATAATGAATTTAATCATTTGTTTAACATATGTTTTATAAGTAAGAGTGCATTATCTAAAAAGTTGTTCATAATCTTAGGAAAGTATAATAACTATTTGACAAGGTATTGTTAAGGCAATAAAATAAATTTAATGGTACCAATTGTTATTAAGAAAACACATAAAGACACATACTTTATTGTGATAATCATACAAATATATACATAGAGTACCATTCATTGTAAAAAATTTAAAAGTATAAAAAATACAGACCTATTATTGTTGCTGAAGAACAAGAAGGCAAGATAAAAATACAATTAAGATAATTGCAATTTCAATTAAAATATTTGTGGTATCTAAGTAAATTAAGTAACTGTTATTATTACATATTTGGTATGAATAATTGAATAATGTGGTGATTTGTTTGTGAAAACAGATTCCATAAGTATTTGGAGAGTTTCAAACAAACAACAGACAATGGTGTGACCCTTATTCATAATTGGAATTACAAGTAACTTTAGATATATATTAGATTTGTAAAAATGTTGCTAAATTTTCTCCTATGTTATAAGTGCATTTACAAACATACAAATTCACATACACATATGATCCAGATCCATCCATGCAGCCATACCTAACTATATTTGATTCATTAAATTGTAATATTTCTTAAAGTATTAAGATGATTCATAAGTCTTGTCAGATAAGAGTCTAATTTATTTTCAATGTATGTTACTATTAACATAGGTCCACTGTAATTTGTTTTTACTCTTTAACCAAAAACTTAATACTACTACAGTTTTTAACATCTTTTATTGTAAAATGTAGACTTCTCTATTATAATTATAAAGAGGAAAGATGTGATAGTTTGTTTGTTTGGATGGAATAGGCTCTGAAATTACTTGACCGATGATGTGATAAATTGTTTCTATGTTGGATTCTTCTCTTTCCCCTGTGAACTGTTGCTATATTAAATTGTCTTAAACTAGGGATCCTTATTAAAACTCTTATAATGTAAAACAAGGTGTGAAAAAATTACTTACCAAAATCTTCCTAAAATTAACAAAAAGGAAAAAATTAAAATCATAAATATTGATATCATCTATCCTAAATTCTGTCTTTTGTATTCTTGACTTTGAGTTAAATAAGTAATAAATAATCAAAGTTATTAAAACATAAATACGAAAAATATGGAGAAGGTCCAACTGCAACTATAACAATACAAATATATCAATATTGCTAGAACACAAAATAATATTTTTTTTTATTTACAAAAGGTATTGACCCTCAACCTTATTTTCTAGGCGTCAGTACAAGAAATAGAGCTACTAAACGCAGCTTCAAGAGGACCAGACCATTGCAAAGCTAAATATGGACTTACAAAGCTATCAGACATGTCCAAGACAGAATTTAAGGAACAACATTTAGCCGATGAGAAACTCACGAAGCCACCTAAAGCATACGGCAGGAGACGAGCTCGTGATGGCAAGTCTAGGAACAATGATGATGATGACAAACCCTGCTCCAATAGTCCTCATGACAATATTTATGTGATAATCAGGAAGAAACGAGCTGCTCTACCACTGCAGGTCGATTGGTAAGTCTGTTTTTTTGTTGAAACCTTTATCGCCCATGGTATGGCGAGAGGGAGTGCCAGACTCTTAACTTTTTTTGTAATAGGTCTGCAAACGAGCAGACTGGTTACCTGATGGTAAGCAATCAGAGTGCGTTGCCGACCTTTTAGGGTTTAGGGTTTTGGAGATTAAGGGATTGGGGGTGGGATCGGGGGAGGGGAAAGATTGGGCCTCCGGTAACCTCACTCACACGGCGAAACACAACGCTGTGGTTGTTTCACGCCAGTTTTCTGTGAGGCCGTGGTATCACTTCCGTCCAGCCGACCCATTCGTTCCGAAGCTTGGCTCTCCCACACTTTAAACTTACTTACTGTCTAAAACCTCCCGGTTCCATCTCCTGCTCTAGGCTGAGGCTGCAGTACCTTACTCCAATTGCTTCACCACCCCCGGCTGAAGGTCCGGGATCCTGAAGTTCATTGAATGGAACTGAACATACCAATACTGAATATTTATTATAATGTAACGATTTTAATTTCACTCCGAGTTACTCATGTTGCTTGACCTTGATTGCATCGAGTCAATAAACAGCAAAAGCGTAATCTAATAGTAGATATGTAGCTATATATGTAGGTACGTATGTTCATTATGCACGTAAGATAAAATGTCGACGCACTCCAACTGTTAATAGTAATCTTATACATATATAAAAATGAATTGCTATTCGTAAGTCTCGCTAGAACTCGCGAACGGCTTGACCCATTTGAGTAATTTTGGTCTTAAAATGTTCGTTGAAGTCTAAAAAGGTTTAAGGTCAAAATATTTGAGGCGGGTACTGAGCTTTGCCGGCTCAGCTAGTCTATAATATTAAAGTGAAGCGCTAAATATGTATATTGGTAAGTGCAAATCTCGAGAACGGCTAAACCGATTCCACCGTTTTTTTTCTGATGATTTTATATTAGCAGGAAAAGGTTTTTATGAAGGAAAAGTTAAATTGGTGTTTTATGTTCATGTAAAGGGTTTTACGAGAAGCTTCCTAAAGTCCTACGTTCTCTAGATAACACAGAGGTGGTCCACAGAAGTCCTTGTGACCAGCGCTATTGGCCTTAAGTCTAAAACTTAAGTCTAAAAAATCTGTTTAGGTATTCCGCAGGTAAATGTTAAATACTAATGTTTTTCTAAATTATCATCTACCGAGGCATATTCTATATATTTTCTTAATTACTGATATTAAATATTAGGTAGGTGGTAGGTACATTCAATACCTGACTATATGTAGTATTGAGTGGTGGAGCTAGTACGTAATTTTGGATTTGAAGGATCTTTTATTATTATCATCAGAAAACTGGTTTTGGATCTACATTTTTGATTATAGGTTTCAACGTTTTGAGAGCTTGTAGGACAATTTTGAATGCTATTAAAATCAAGACTTTTTGGTGAAAAACAGCCAAGATTTTTTTCTTTAACGTTGCCTCATATAGGATTATCTTCTGACTCCGCGTTTGAGTGCGTTTACTAACATACAATTTCACATACACATCAAAATCCGAAACAACAATTCGTGGATCACACATAATTGTTTCCTGCAGGATTGGACCCGTGACACCTTACACGGCATCCGATTGCCCAGCCAACGCGTCAATCGGGTAGTCTAGTAAAAGACAGCTCATTTCTTTCATCGTTAAAAGCCGTAAAACCCGTGTTGTGCCAATCGGTTAGTTTCAAAACCGAAGATCTCTTTATCCCTTCAGGGTAATTTTATTATTTTGCTTTGAATTCTTATACTTATACTTTTATGTTTTAGTACATAAATACAAGATGTATCTATTGTCAAAAGTGGGTATTAAAAATACCTTTCAATAAAAAATAATTTCAAATTTAGAAAAGCCATATTTTGGCACGAACGCATTACTGGCTCTGGTCGGTACAACCAGTTCGGTATCTACCACATAACACGCAGTAGGACCACGGCTTCATAGATAACCGGCGTGAACCAACAACCTGTATTAAGTCGTCTAACAAACCCCAAAGGGGGTAACGCATCATTTAAACTTCTCTATTTTTATGGCTGTCTATTGGCACCTTTACGAATTCGTTATGAATGGCAGACCTACATCAAGCTATTATTAAATTAGTTTCATATTTATAAATTATTCAGTTACTAATTCAATAATTTATAACTTTGCTTTATTTTGACGTGCTTTATAATAAAAGCCGAATTTCTTTTTAAATCTATTTAATTATAGAACTGGCTTTTAATTACTCAAACGTATTTTAATGACGTAAGAAGTTATTTACAATTCAAAATCTATTTTAAAATTTCATACCTAATTAAAATAATTTCTTTGTTTCAATGATAAGATCATACGTCAGTGCAAAATATAAATGATCTAATATTTTTTATTAAATTTCAAATGACGTAAATACGATCTATGAGAGCACAATGATTGATTGTCTAAATTTAGCAGCAAATAAAAAAAAAATAACGTCAGCGGAAATGCATAGATAAAAATACCTAGTTCACAGATTATAATTATTATAATTAAAAAATAAATATTTTTCTTAAATGGAATTGACGTTCTGCCTTTTACGTCATTTGATGTTCGACCTCAGCTATAGCTACCTACTTGCGTAGGTAACATGTCTTCCTAAATTATTTATAACTTTTTTATTACTTCTACATTTTTAAATATAACTTAATGCATTCCCTATACGGCGAGGCTGTGTGTAAATTAAATTAATTTAGTATCTACATTTGTGTCATTATATCTGCCTGACTGTTCAAACTGAAACACTTACCTAGTAGATGCAATTAAGTATATTTGTCTCCAATTTGTTAGTAAGTGAGATATATGCGTGTGAATGTAAGGCCTGGTGTTGTAATTCGTTTTTTTATGTCATCGGTCAGCAGCCGGATTACCCGATGGTAAGCAATCACTGCCAACCGTAAACACCCGTAACACAAGAGTTGCGAGTGCGTTGTCGCCCTTTTAAGAATTAGGATTTTAGAGACAATTGGACCCATCGCACCCTCGCATAAGGCTGTGGTAGTTTCACGCCGGTTTTCTGTAAGGTCGTGATATCACTCCGGTCGAGCTGACCCAGTCGTGCCGCAGCTTGTCTCTCCTACACATAAGTATTATGTAAAAAAAACCAAATAAAGGTAATGCTACTAATACTTTTTTGTTTCACCTTTTTTCGGTCAATCAGTGCGGCAACGAAGGTTATTCTAACGTGTTTGGTTTTCGAAAACCGGTTTCAAAATGTATAATTATGTTGTATTCAATGGCTTGGTTGGTTATCTATGGAATTTATGCGTAATATGTGAACGAATTTAGGGTTTTTCTTGTAGGTTAGTGTGATTTTTGTGTTGTTTGACACATTGAAAAGGGATTGTAGGTAACTAGGAAAATCTTAGAGCGATTTTAAGATGGATACTTAAATACTTATCTATCACAGTTTTGCTTGAATTTGAGGAATTTAACTTAAAAAAAGTATTTCATGGAATCAAAAAGATTTTAAATAAAAATCTGGACAAAATCGCCACGTTTTTTAAGGTAAAAATACTCGAGAACTTTTATAATACTAAATTCATGCTAAAAACTGTTAATAACATCGCTGTCAAGATAAGTTTCCTTAATTAAATACCTAGCTAGTTAGTTGAAAAAATAAAAAAAATAAGCCGGTTACATATTATTAATACTAAAAGAAAAAATAAGAATAAAACGTTCGTACCCGTAAAAGCAATCATGTTAAATTCAAGTTAGAATATCGACTAAAAGTTAAATTTTTAAAATCGAATTTAGAGTTGCAAATCGAGAGTTTTGTATGGTTGTTTTTTTGTACCATATTTTTTTAGTATTGATATTTATCCAATGATTTCTCCCTCTGTCTACACTTAACCTACACAGGGACTGTAAGACTCTTACACCCGGTTTCTGAAAGGCTTGTCAACGCTAAAATTAACTAATCTCCTGTTAAATCTCTTGTCAAGTCATCTGGTTGGTGGTTGATAATTCAGTCAATCAATCAGATGACTTGACAAGAGATTAAATTGATTTTAATATTGATCGGCCTTTCGAAAACCGGGTGTTACTGACTTAAAACTACCCTCTTCCTAGAAAATTTTATTTACGTTTGAAATAGTATAAGGACATATGACAGGACAAAAAAAAAACTGTCAATTGAGTTGGCGGTAAAAATTTCGCTAGGCAAGCTATTATTATTTTATTTTATTTTATTGCATTGTAAAATTTAAATAATTTCTTTTTGACATAACTGAGTTACCTACCTAAATCGTGATTTTTTTTTAAATATTTGTTCAATAAGATTTATACATTTTTCATTGGGCAAGTTCAGTCCAGTCTGCCTACAAAAATGCACGTGGTCGATGGAATGTGGATAAGACTAGGTATGTCTAGGTAACTATTTTTAACATTGAACATATTGCTATTAATTTTCTACGTATGGCATTTAAATAAAACCTCATATTATTAACATGAATGAATCTTCTCAACTATAGCGGATTTTATTTTTATAGTTCACTTGAACGGATAATATTGCCTACCTATATTCTTTTTTTAAGGGATAGTCATGCTTAATGTAGGATTGATACAAACTATTTTGTCTCGACCGACTTCTGTAGATGCCAAAAAATTATGTCGTTTAATTTCCATCCTTCAAGAATGACTTCCTTAATTATACTTAGTAGATTTATATAATATGTAGCATAGTGGATAATAATTATAAAATATTCGATGGGACTGACATATCTATAAGGATAAAAGTCCCTATATAAATAAGGGATAGTCATCATTTTTTTTCTAATCCTGAGTGGGGCGAGTGGGAGTGTCAGACTTTTATTGACTACCAGCGACCTGCCCCGGCTTCGCACGTGTGTTATGCTGATACTAAATTTCTCCACTATTTTATGGATGTTATTATACTTTTAGTTACGTTTGTGCATGTAGCGTGGACCACCTGTAAAAGGAGAGGGTAAAATAACTGAACGGCTCATATTCACAGTATTATTATCTCTTAATATTTTTAAGCATGGCGTCGCAATGATAAAAATGTTAACTTTTTAAATTATGGATAAGTGGGAGTGTTATAAACGTAAGATATAGGTAATCAAAATGCTCTGAACTGCTAAGCTCGCAGCCAAGCTTTAAACAAAAAAAAAAATGTTATCTAATGCAACGTTTATAAACTCAAGAATATTAAGAAAACAATGCTTAATATACTTCCTTCCCTAGTAACCAAGTATGATTGAAACTGTCGCCTTCCTACGCATTAAGAGAACCAGTTTCTATCAAAATGTATACAAGATACCATAGTTTAAACTAAATTGAATCACGTTGTGTAATATACAGATAAAACCAATATTTTTAACCGTTAATTGAGTGCCTATTTAGAAGAATAGATTATATTTACTCATCAACCCTCCTCTTCCCTCGGGTACGCATTTCTATGGTCATTAAAACTAAAGATTCATACAACATTTTAGCTTTCTTTATTTTATAGCACGGCAAGCGAGCAGGCAGACGTATTACCTGATGGTAAGCAAGCGCCGCTCATAGCCACTCGTAATACAAAAGGAGTTAATTACTACAAGTGCGTTGCCGACCTCTTGTGGGTTATCAGGGATTTGAGGATTGAAGATGGAAGGGTAGGGGGAGGATTTGGCTTCCGGTAAACTCATTCACACGGCTAAACAGAACGATGTAGTTGTTTCACTCCGGTTTTCTGTGAGGCCGTGTACTTGTAGCTGAAGACCAGCGTCAGGCCCAAGTGGTCTGGCATTTATGCTGAACTGGGCCTGTTTGGCGCAGCCGTGAGGCACACAGTTATGTAGTTTTCTTTATTTTTTCTTTTATATTAAATAACCTTTTTGTTACAATATCTGTGTGCACATGGTTTGTGTCAATAAACTTTTTCTTTCTTTCTTTCTTTCACTTCGTTCTAGCTGACCCATTCGTGCCGAAGCACAATTTGCTAGCATAGCTAAATGGATTTCATATCTACAGACAAACAGACATAGAAGACTTATAGTTATTTACATTATTATGATTCGTTATTTATGCATTCCTATTATCTAAACACACAGCACAGGTGTGCTATTATTTTTAAATTTATTTTAATTCGTAGGTATTGTAGTCAGTAAATATTCAAAAATGACCAGATCAAGAGATTGATAAAAATTTTGCATATTTATAGATTTGCACCGGATTTCGATGAGTTTTGTTTATTTATATATTTGTATTTATTATCGATAGCTACCTACTGTTGCTTTGCAAATGATCTTGGGTTCAATATCCGTTTTGAAATAGTACCTATTGTTGTAGGGCACATTGTCAAAAGACTTCTCTTGCCTTGGGTGGGGTCTGGGGTGACATGAGCGCTTCTGATTAAATATCACCCCGATTTTTATCCGGTCTAGTCCAAAGCCTGCGGTAAATTATTGCGCTTGATCCTGAGTCCTGAACATCAGCCCTGTTGGGCTCCGTCTGTGATGGTATAAGGCAAGCGCGAAACGCGAGGTTTTGGTTCTGGTCGGACTTCCAGCTACCGTTGCTTGACATTCTCAGACGAAAATATTATTGTAATATCTAATAATTTATCCTGACAGCTAGTGAATTTCGCGTTATTACTAAAAATGAGATTCGAAAAGATTAAAATATATTATCTATGTACCTAAATATAAAAAAAAATGTGAGGTAAAATTATCAAATGATTTTTCTCGCCCAAGGTGAAGCGATATGAGTGTCAGATTCTTACTGACTAAAGTCCACCCCGTTCCTACCCCTGCTTCAGGCCATAGCCGTGGTACCTTATTGCGCTTACTACGCGAATATTAAATATACAACGATAATTAGGAATAGCACAGCATGTTGGATACTTTCTATATTAAAATATATAAAAGAAACCTAAAACCACCATAGTTAAAAAACCAGACCATTTTTTTTTTTAAGTTGGGTTGGAAAATCTTCATGGAGACCCACTGCCCTGTCACTATCAACCCGGTGTTCCTCCAATTACCCATGTGTCGGAGGGGTGGGTATCGCCGAAGCATTCGTCCCACCTCCCGACGGGTATTGGCCCACCAGATGCCAGATGGGCGACGGGGCCCGCCAAATGGTTAGGCAGGCCCCGTCAGCCACTGCGGTCGTCACCCCGACAGCAGGACTCAACAAGAGTCGCGCGCGGAACACGGCGCCGCCTCGAGGCCCGCTGCTGGTCGGACAACTAGACGATAATTCCAGACCATTATCTATATCTCTTTTTACTCTGTTTTACGTGAAAGAGTAACAAACATTCACCCATCCATCCACACTTACAAAATTTCGTATTTATAATATTAGGACGATGTCACAGATTGAATTTCATCTGAAAATCAGTGGTGTGCATTAGCACAGCTTATTTTGAGACGAACCCCTTGCCACTCCGTATTTTTTTGTAAGCGGAAGTTTTAATATTTTATACCAGCTTCCGCCCGCGGCTCCACCCCCGTAGTATATTGATAAAAAGTAGCCTAAGTCCCATTCCGGAGTGTATCCTATGCCTGTGCCCAATTTCATCCTGATCCGTCCAACCGTTTTGGCGTGATTGAGTAACAAACATCCAAACATCGTAACATTATACATAGTAAGATAAGATGTTCAGTTTATGTATGTGTAACAAAAATAATGGTTTCCATACTGACGTGTCTTTTTCGTCTTCCAGGAGAACTAAAGGCGTGATAGGTCCAGTCCAGGACCAGGGTCTGTGCGGAGCCTGCTGGGCGTTCAGCACAGTCGGCACCATCGAAGCTATGGCTGCTATTAAAACGGGCAAGCTGGACAAGCTAAGTGTGCAAGTATGTTTTCATTTTATTAGAACTTAGTATCAGTACTTGCAAATGAGCTGACGGATTAGCTGATGGTAAGCAATCGGCGTCGACCATGAACATAGGATATTTGTTGAACATAGAAGGATTGGGCCTCCGGTAACCTCACTCACACGGCGAAACACAACGCTGTGGTTGTTTCATGCCGGTTTTCTAGGAGGCCCTGGTATCAGTCCGGTCGAGCCGAACCATGCTGTCAAACCATGGGTCTCCCACACTTGTAAGGGTTAATGATCATCGTTTCTTCTTTCACCTAATATCTATTAGCCTAACTGACGCAAAAATATTGTGGACTGTCTTTGTACACTGGTCAGCATCCAGTTCCCAAATCACCCAGGAAGCCATTAATTTGTTATCTGGCTGTACTATATGTGTCTGTGAACCTATAAATCTACACTAAATGTCATCCTAAATTTATTTATTGGATTTATTTTTAAGAGCGATCATGTTGATAACGTGTAGCCAAAAGTTCTTTTATTACTTATTTATTTGTTTATTTATTGACTTCATAGAAAACAAATTATTTGCCGGCTCGACTTGAGTGATTCCACTGTCTCACAGAAGCTGGCGTGAAACAACCACAGCGTTGTGTTTCACCGTGTTAATAACGAATAAAAAAAAATAAAAGTAAAATAAAATTTAATGATAACTTTGTACAAAAGATTGTTTATAAGAAACCACAGTAATTTCAATAGTTAACTTTTAGATATTTATATAATGCAAGGTAATTACAACTTATACTATTGGGAGGTAAATGAGGTCCAATCACTCCCAAGGCCCTCTCATCACCCCAATCCTAGAATTTCGGTAACCCCTTATGACTGTAATGCCGGCAACGCACTTTCAATTACTTTGGTGTTCCGGGTCTGCATGGATAGCGTTGATTGCTTAACAGCAGCTATTGTTGGCATATCATATAAAAAAATAACGCTTAACTTATTACAGGAAGTAATAGACTGTGCCGGTTTGGGCAACAGTGGGTGCGCAGGCGGCGATATCTGTCTTCTTCTTGATTGGCTGGTGATGACTGACGCTGTCGTCGAGAAAGAGACGGAATATCCGCTCCGTCTCACAGATGGCGCTTGCAAAGCCAAGAAAAATACCACAGGAGTCAAAGTCAAGACTTTTACTTGTGATGAGTGAGTTTCTACCTTTTTTCTTAAGCCATATAGTTCTTTCTGGATTGGTGTTTTGTTAAGAGATGTTTTTTGAGTCTAGTTTTATGTGTGTGTCATCATCATCATCGTCAGCCTATAAGTGCTTACTGCTGAGCAAAGGCCTCTTCTCACACGGAGAAGGCTAGAGCATTAATCACCACGCTTGCTCAATGCGGGTTGGCGATTTCAGACTTATAATTATAAATTATAAGTCCAGGTTTCCTCACGATTTTTACTTTCACCGTATGTCAGTGGTGTCTAAATAATCATAGAAAGTACATATAACTCGGAAAAAGCCACATTGGTACTTTGTTTGTGTCTGTGTGTACTATGTGTGTGTAATAAATTAAAAGCTTTTTGAGTATTAAAATTAAATTTGAAATAAAGATAAAGGTTGTATATAATTTTTGTGTTCTTATTATTATATTATTTCTGTCTGGTTTAAGATCTATTCAGAATTCAATAAGTCATAAGTGATTAAATAATGGCCCTTAAAATACAAACTAATTTATTTCAAACTGTATATTTTAAATATAAGGATCTGTGTCAATAAGAGCCATTTTTGAGCATTTTTACGGTTCAAGAGTTAAGTAATTTATTTCACTTTAGGAATACACTGATCATATGATCAAATTGAAATAAATCACTTTGACTAAAACCTTTTGTGGACAAATTGACAAAATTTTCTTGAAATTTGTTTCAGTTTCGTGGGCGCTGAAGACCAGATCCTGAGCGCGCTGGCGACGCATGGACCCGTCACGGTGGCCGTGAACGCGCTCACCTGGCAACACTACCTCGGCGGAGTCATACAGTTCCATTGCGGGTGAGTTTCATATATTATTCTGATCTATACTAATATTATATAAAGCTGAAGAGTTTATTTGAAAGTGCTAATTTTAGGTATTACTAGCCCGACTTGAAAAATTCTTTCAATTTTAGATAGCTCATTTATCGACGAAGGCTATAGGCTATATACCATCACGCTACAACCCACAGGAGCGGAGCACTAACCGAAAAACGTGATCGAAACCGTGTGGGGCAGCTAGTCTAGTTATACTTAATAAAAAATGACATATTTTTATTTAAGTACTTTTTTTTTAAACGATAACAATATTTTTTTCCTTCACTTTTATAATATGAAATGGTGCCAAACGAGCAGACTTATTACCTGATGGTAAGCAATCAGCGCTACTCGTGGATATCCGCAACATTCGTGGGAGTAAGGAATTTGGGTATTGGAGATTTGGGGATAAGGAGGATGATCCCTACTCCCCAACCTCCAGATGCAGACAAATTCCAAAGTTGATAAAATGTTGTATCGGCATTACATTCGTGCGAAGCTGGGGTTGCTAGTATTCCACAAAAATGCTACTAACACTCCGATTTCTTTAATTTTCTTCACACCTAAAATGTAGTAACTTATTTTTTTTTCATTCCAGTGGCTCACCGATGGAGTTGAATCACGCAGTTGAATTAGTTGGCTACGACTTATCAGCTGACGTTCCCTATTATATAGCGAAAAACTCCTGGGGAAAAGATTTTGGGAACGCCGGCTACTTAAACCTAGCCATTGGCTCTAACATTTGCGGACTGGCCAACGAAGTTGCCACGGTGGACGTTCAATAACAGTGAGATACTTTAAGACATTATTTTGTTTAATTATTTTTATCTATGTTGTTAAATACGGTAGTTTCCAACTAGTCAAATTCAATAATTTTCTTCCTAATGTCAAAAACTATAGTTTTTTATATGAAATTTGTATGAAACTCGGAATTATGACGTCATAGTATTATTGCGTCAAATAACTTATTTATTTCTTAAAAAAATCACATGATCAGCCTAGAAGAAGGTTTGTGTATTATTAATCACCACGCTTGCTCTAAGCGAATTGGTGATTTCAAACTTATAAGTCCAGTCCATATTTAAAAAATAATCACAGAAAGTACATATAACTAGGAAAAAGTTAAATTGGTACTTGCCAGGTTTCGAAACCGCACCAATCCCACCACGACATTAAAAATTTGCTTACTAAAAATATCAAAAATTTTGCATATCGACAGACCGATGAATAAAAGTATACACAATACATAGTTATTTTCAATACTTTTTTGTGGTATTAAAACGTCGAATTAATTTATTGTTGACGTAGGAAACTACCTAATTATTTGTAAAAAGTTTTATGTGTATGTGAATGTGTGTTGAATGTGGCCTTAACAATAACATAGACAATATGATACGGCAGCCATTATAAAATACTAGCCTTAATAAGTTATAAAATCCTAGCGGCTTCGCCCGCACGAACAAGGTACAATTAGCCTATTTGTTATTCCATCCAGTCTATCTCTGTGCCAAATTATATTCAGACCCGTTCCAATTTTTTACAAATTTTCGCCTTTATAATAATAATAGTACATAGGATAAACGTTTTTAAAATATTAAAATATTGTTATTCTCGTGAAAAATAAAATTAATTTTGTTTTACAGTTTACAGTATGACTTGAAATTAGTCGGGTTGACTCGTCAAAGAGTTACTTATGAAAACTGTATTAGTATAATTTTATTTTTAAATACGTATAGTGCAAAATAGAATTTGTAATATAAGTTTTGAAGTTATTATTTAGTTTTATAAGTAAATTTAGGTATTAATAAATATAATTAGTGTATTTAGTAATAAGTAGTTTTTAATGATATTATTACGAATTTCAGTGTAAACTCTTATCAGCAATATTAGCAATAAGATGTATTAGCAATAAATTAATTAAAGTGTTTTCGTTATGTAGAGGTATTTTGGTAAATTTTCTCTCAGTTCCAAACAACTTTATAGGAGAATTAATTTCGAATAATATGTGTTTTTGTGATAAAGATTTGCCAGTACATGTAACTTAGATTAACTCACAATGCATGAGAAACGGGCGCCTTATATTAAGAAACTCTTTGTAATATTAGTATAGAATACGGTAGTTTCCAACTAGTCAAATTCAATACTTTTATCCAAATGTAAAAAACTATACTTTTTCTATGTAATTTGTATGAAAAACTGAGTTATGACGTCATAGTTTTTTTTGCGTCAAATAGTTAAAAAATATCTAAAATTGCGTTAAAACGTCGAATTAATTTAGTTTTTGGCATAGGAAACTACCCAATTTATAGATACATAATTAGTCATAAGTTTTTACTATAAAAATATACATATTTACATAACATGAGCCATTTAACACAGGGTATGTAAAAGGGCATTCTATGTCGAATTTAGTAATAATTTTAAAGTGTTCACATTGCCTTATTACTAGCGTAGATGAAATAAATGTATGTATCGAGGCCTCGGCCCAGAGCAGGAGAAGGAATTGGGGGGTTTAGTCAGTAAGAGTCTGACACTCCCTCTTCTCTTCCCCAAGGCGTGATGATGTTATCAAAATACTCAATTTGAACTCTTGGTCCAATGTGGATTTAATTTCCACTTAAGGCTGATTTTTCAATAGTCAGATAAACGTTATCTTAGGAATAAAATTGTTGCTGTCGCTGTCTTATACAAACATTCTGACGCGACAGCATCATAATTATTTCCCGGGTAACTTTTATGTAACCATTGAAAAATCAGCCCTAAGTATTATTTTTGTTTACTATTTTGTCTCTATTTGGTACTACTATTATTTCATAGATTCAGATAGGTATTAGATGTTTTTTGTCTATACATGTAAGTATATATATTTTTTGTTAAACATATTTTATTGCTGTTGTTTTTTTTTGATAAGTTTTTATTTTTAAGTGCATTAGTACATATGTGTAACATTATAATTATGTTTACCGTAAGTTTTAACTAAACAGATATTTACAACAAAATGTCAATATTTTTTTGAATTAAGAATGTTAACGCTTAAAAGTAACTGTCGAATATATTCGAATATTAAAATTTAAGTTAGTTTTAAAAAAAAACGGCTCGACCAAAAGAGCGAGAGGGGTGTGCTAAATGCAAAAAAAGATTATTATTAGTAAAAAAGTTTCTATATAATGTTATTATTATAAATATTTGAACATGTCATGTTTGAATTGATTTGTCAACAAATGAGTATGCATATGAGCGGACGTGTTTCCTGATGGTAAGCAAAACCAGGGAAATCATAAGTACGTTATTGCTATCTTAAGGAGTACGTCGTCAATTCAAGGATTGAAGTTTATATTGGTAAAGAAAGAGATACCTATATATTTGTATCACTTTCTTCTACTAGTCTATGTATGCTTCTTTGGACGAGCCGCCATTTTTGTTTTTTATCATTTTATTGTATTATCTCGTAGTTGCCATTATTTTATTTTGTAGTTGACGACTAGTCGATACCAATATTAAATAAACCCGCATTATTTGTTGTATATCTATAAGTATGTATATCTTTGTAATCTCAATATCGAAAACTGCATTACCGATTTCGATGTAACGTATGTACCAGCAAGGGTAACCATTGTTTCGCTCACTAAATGCTGTTATTTTATGCCAATTAGTTTTCTTTATTATGTTTTCACAATAATCAGGCTATTATTGAAAACCTCTTTTCCCACGGAGAAGGTTTGAGCATTATTCGCCTACGTTTGCTCAAGGCGAATTAGCGATTCCAAACCTATGTATATATGTACCTATATTTAAAAATGAAAGTCTAGGATTTGTCGCATTTTCCTTCACTGTTTGTCTGTAATGCCTAAATAAATGCAAGATACATATAACTCGGAAAAAGTCACATTGGCTTAAATTTGCCAGGTTTCGAACCTAATTTTCCACTGTGCTAATAGGACCTTAGTCTACAATAGCGCCCTCTGGTGAACGAAAACGGTGCCCTTCATTATGACTTTACTGATTAAAAGAAAAGAGGTTGAAATAATATTTTAAAGCGTAGTCCAAAATGGACTTTAAAGTCAGTGGAACAAATAATGCTTTAAATTGTCGCATGTTGTTACTTTTGATGTTTTAACATGGGTACTTTGAAATACTCATTACATTAAAAAAATAAACGGTGTTGGGTTATGTTTGTGTTTTATTTTTCCATTTGATACTATGGCAAGATGTTTTCGAAATATTTAACGTTACTTAAATATCATCGTCATAATCATCATCAGCCTATAAGTACCCACTGCTGAGAAAAGGCCTCATCTCATACGGAGAAGGTAAGAGCGGGTACCTACTCATTGCGGGTTGGCGATTTCAAACTTATAATTAGAAATTATAAGTCCAGGTTTCCTTACGATGTTTACCTTCACCGTATGTCAGTGATGTGTAAATAATCATAGAAAGTACGTATAACTCGGAAAAAGTCACATTGGTACGTGCCAGGTTTCGAACCCACACCCTCATGCATGAGAAGCGGGCTCCTTAACCTCCGGGCCACCACAATTACTTAATTAATAACGCTTAATAGGACGTCAAGCCTTTTTTTTATTTAATTTCAAAAAATCATAATATTTTGACTGCAAGGTTGGCGCGGTGGCTGGGAAACTGGCTGCCGTGCACCGTGTCGCGGGTTCGATTCCCGCCCGGAACAACTCTTTGTGTGATCTACAAATTGTTGTTCAATCTCACAGTCCTCTAAACAGCTGGCAACGTCATAAGATGAAACGTCTATATAAAAACAGAAACAGTGGACCACTTTTGACGTTTGATTAAAAAAAACAGAAACAGACAACCTCTTTTGATGTTTAATTAAAAAAAACAGAAACAGAGAACCTCTTTTGATGTTTGATTTAAAAAAAAAACAGAAACAGAGAACCTCTTTTGATGTTAGTTTAAAATTAACCTGGACTCTCTTATATTTAAGAAACGAAGCAAAATTTTGTCCAGCTGCACAGTTATTGTGGATCAGTTAAATGGGTGTTGAGGAAATACATACAAAACAATCATTTTGATACAAACACCATAATACCTACTTTTAAAACCATCCTCACAGGAAAAATGTTTATTATATAAAGTAGGTAATGTTAGTTACATTATAATTCTGGTGTAAACGTTCGTATCTCGGAAACTGCTAAAGAGTTTTTGATATTTATAATTAAATTACAGAAATGAATAATAACATCATATTGTTTGTTTTATTCTTATTTTCTTCTCTATTTTTATTCGAAATATGGTGTTTTGTGAACTCTTATAACAGTTTTAAAGTGAATTGGAAAGAAGGAATCCAAGTTTTAGATCTAAGAAGGCTGAAATTTGAAAAATATTTAAAAGATTTCAAGAAAAATTATGAAGCTGATGAGTATGAACGACGGTTTGAGAATTTTAAGGTAAGTTGGTTGCTTGGAAGAGCCGGACCTAAAGAAAAAACGGCAAAGAACGCGTAACTCCTTTGGTGTTGCGGGTGTCCATGGGCGGAGCCGATTACGTATAATCAAATAATCCATAAGCATATATGAGCACCTAGCTTTCGTGACGAACAGACTGACAGACTACTATTCTATTGTGACGGTTCAAAAATACCTAGGCTTTGACTGTGAATTTAGCTCGTATCTGCACATAAAAACCAAATGTCTTTTAATTACAGGCCTCCTTAGAAGAGATAGCGAGGTTGAACAAATTAGAAGGACGAAGAGTGTTTGGTTTGACGAAATTCTCTGATATGTCGAAACAGGAGTTTGCTGAGCGAAAGCTTTTAAAGCCAGTGAAGCAATCTCCCTGCGTTAGTGAAAAAATTGATTGTATCAAGAACGAACGACGGTCATTAAAAAAAGATGGTTTACTAATTGCTGATCAAGATGCCCCTGAGAATTTTGACTGGTGAGTGTAAAGATATTTAGGTAATTTGTGCTAGTAGGTTCAACTGCTAGCGGCTTCACACACATTACCCCGGTGAACCAGATTTAGGTTAGATTTTTTTATATAAAGTTGAGTACTAATATAGAGTGGTTGATACTTATATACTTGCAAAAATAAATTCATTTCATTTCATTGTTTGTTTCATTTTAGTGTCATTATAAGTACCTACACAATATTACATACATTGCAGCTTACTTGCTGTACGACTGATTTATTTTTATATTTTCCTTATAGGAAAACAAAAGTATTAATAGTAGGCATTAGTAGACGACTGTATTGCACTTGACATCACTATACTATACTGCACTACACTACACTATACTATACTAAATTGGACTACACTGCACTCCGCTAAACTACATTGCACTACACTACACTACACTTTGTTAAACTACATTGAACTACACTACGCTATACATACTACACCACAACACACAACATTTTTCATCTGTAGAGGTAAAAAAATTGTAAGTTTGTAAGTTTATAAGTTTGTATGTTTGTAAGTTTTTATGTAGGGGGTAATCTTTGGAACAGCTGGTCGGATTTCCAAAATTCTTTCACTGATAGATAGCTACAATGTTCCTGAGTGCTATAGGCTATAAAACATCACGCTACAATCAAATGTAGCCGAGAAGCGAGTTAAACCGCGCGAGAGTAGCTAGTTTCATATAATTTCATTCAACACTTCATTGCACTACACTACACTTTTATATATTTCAGTATTTTCCCAACTTACCATTTGAAATTATTGTTAGTGTAAGGACCGTGTGGAAAGCGCTTTTCGACTATTAATTAATTATGTTCAGACAGTATTTATGCGAATTACCTAAATAAAATTCTTTTAGTCGGTATTATTTTTCTGAGGGCTCGTTACTGGTTTGCAACCGCAATCTCTACTTGATATTGGCCTCATTCCGTGGCCTCATTGAACACCATCTGTGGTAGTCTAATGGCTCTTTGAGGCGCACGAGATACCCTTGCCCGTCGTTTGCAGACTTGCGCTTACGGTCGCCGAAGATCCTCACGCGAAAGATATGTCGTGGACACTCATTTCTTTTAATGCAGGTGTTGTAAAAATCGCCTTAGGAACTACCTACATTATACGTATTCAGCTCAGCATATATTGGACAACTTCGCTGTCTGGTTAACTAGATCCTTTTAAACCGGTCTCTAACCCGTAAAAGAAAAGGAAGGTAGGAAATTGTCTAGGAGTTGCGTGGTCGTGTAGTGGGCTCTCATCGCGTTCAGGAGCTGCTGCGGCTGATGCACTAGGTCATGGCATATTAAGATAAGGTTAAATACAATTTTTTAATGGTACCTATACAAAGGTATTTAAGTTACAATAGATCATCATACTTTGCTTAATACATAAAGGATCAGCAGCAGTCTATACCTACTAATAAGTATTAGAAAGAGGTAAAATTTGTAAGTTTGTATGTAGGGGGTATTCTTTGGAACCAGTAGTCGGATTTCCAAAATTCTTTCATTGATAGATAGCTACAATGTGCCTGAGTGCCATAAGCTATGAAACATCACGCTACGATCAAATGGAGCCGAGCAGACGTTAAAACCGCGCGAGAGTAGCTAGTCATAATATAAAAACTAATTTTAACTTGTAACGTAACTTAAGTGTGTTAGAGCCATGCTTCGGCACGAATGGGTCGGCTCGACCGGAGTGATACCACGGCCTCACAAAAAACCGACGTGAAATTACCACACAGTTGTGTTTCGCCGTGTGAGTGAGGTTACCGGAAGCCCAATCCTTCCACTCCCCCAATCCCTCCTCAATCCCTAAATCTCCAAATCCCTAATCCCTAAAAGAGGTCGGCAACGCACTCGTAAGTCCTCCGTTGCGAGTATCCATGGGCGGCGCTGATTGCTTTCCATCAGGTAATCCGTATGCTCGTTTGCCGACCTATTACATAAAAAAAAACATACGTTCTATAGTTTTAGGTTTTGTATAATTCATGTTCAAGAAAACTTATTTATTATTGAAAATATATTTGATAATGTCGTTTCAGGCGAAATACAAAGGATGTGATCAAAGAAGTAATGAATCAGAGACTCTGTATGGGTTGCTGGGCCTTCTCTATCGTTGGGGCTATAGAGTCTATGTCTGTCATACAAAAAATTGATAACGAGCACCGAAGCATACAGGTATAATACAATTATTTTTAATATCATTTACGTATTTAAAATTAAACCGATTCTAAGTGTGGGAGACCTATACTTCGGCACGATTGGGTCGGTTCGACCGGTGATACCACAGCGTCTAAGAAAACCGGCGTGAAAGAGCCACAATGTTGTGTTTCCCCGTGTGAGTGAGGTTACCGGAGACCCAAACCTTCCCCTCCCCTTGTCCCAAAAACTCTGCCGTAACTCCTTCGTTGTTGCGGGTGTCCATGGGCGGAACTAGTTACTTAGTACAGGTAATCCGTCTGCTCCGAAAAGACCAAGAAGACACAATTTTTTTATGTGACAGGGCTAGCAAGCAATTCGGCGAATCTTCTGACGGTAAACGATTGTGACAGTGCCTCAAACACAGTTGTTTCACATCGGATTTCTGCAGCCGTGGTTGACACACACATAGGTCCACCAGCGCTGCTATCTTCAAATCAAACACATCATCACTGCTGAGCAAAGGTCCATGGAGAAGGTTTGAGCATGAATAATCACCACGCTTGCTCAAGGCGGATTGGAGATTTCAAACTTATAGTTAGACATAATGTTAAGGTTTTCTTTTGTTTTTTTTTTTACTTGCAATAAATTAGTGCTTGACTGCGATCCCACCTGATGGTAAGCAGTGATGCAATCGTTGATGGTAAGGCACACTAGTTTATTAAGATGTTTATTCCTCACGATGTTTTCCTTCGCCGTATGCCAGTGGTGTCTAAATAATTTAAAGAAGTACATATTGAGTTTAAGTTCGAAATTGTCAATCCCCCTTGAGTAAGCGTGTTAATTATTAATCCTCAAACCTTCTTCATGGGCCTTTGCTCAGCAGTGGGCACTTAAATGCTGATGATGTGTTTGATTTGAAGATAGCAGCGCTGGTGGACCTATGTGTGTGTCAACCACGGCGAGAAGAGGCCTTTGCTCAGCATTGGGCACTTATAGGCTAATGATATGATATGATATATGCGTATTCTAATCCTCTTATCAGGAGCTACTGGACTGTTCGAAATACAACGAGGGATGCGATGGGGGAAGCGTCATAACTGCAATGCACTACATATGCCACAAACAGATGCCGTTCGTTACCGATCAGCAGTATCCGCTGACGTTGGCAGCCATCCGAGTCTGCAAATTGCCTGATAACTCTACTGGCCGACGGGTTCGGGAATTCGCATATCAATGGTAGTATTATATGTTTTTGTAACGTCAAATTAATTTTATTTAAAATACATCAATAATATACATTTTTTTTTTAAGTTTATGACCGAGACAGATTTCTTGTATCTTTAACAGATGTAGGTACACAATACTTACAGTACTGTATGTAAACAAAATCCGTTGCGTAGTTTTAAAGCTGTAAGCATACATAGGGATATAGGGACAGAAAAAGCGACTTTGTTTTTATACTATGTAGTGATAACTTACCAGTTAGTGCCGAATTCGTGGCGAGATCTCGCGCCTGCGTCCCGGCGACACAGCATTTAACTGAGTACTTTTTTGTTGTTTTAAAAACGTTCCCTAGGAATTTCTCCTGTGTCGTGGGTGCGTTTACAAACATACAATTTCACATACATCACACCCAGACCCGGAACAACAATTTGTGGTTCACATAAAGAGTTATTCCGAGCGGGAAACGAATCCACGACATGTTGCGTGGCAGCCAGTTGCCCAGCCACCGAGCCAACCGTGCAGTCAAACCACTGGTCTTTTTGCACTTTGACGTACTTACATTTTTTTTTGTAATTTGTATATGTTAATTTGTATATTATTTTTTAATAAAGTTTTCGTGTCAAAATAGTTAACATTATTACATTGTTTCCTTTTCCATTTCCTTCAACATTTTTAGCCAAGGACCTGCAGCTACACCTAAGTTTAGCCGGCTAAAGATAGAACAAACTAACATTAACATTTCGTCGAAGATAAACCTAGGTTTAGCCGGCTAATCTTAAGTTTAGGTTCACACCTACCTTTAGCCGTAACATATACACAGCCTGATAAACGATTTCTCTTTCTTTTTTTTTAAATAAAAATCCTTGTTAATGTTACAGCGACTTAGATGAACATATAATGGTTAGGCAAGTGGCCAACCACGGACCGCTGGTGGTAGCCGTGGATGCTACCAACTGGCAGAACTACATCGGAGGTGTTATACAGAGGGCTTGCTGGTACGTGAGTCGTGAGTTTACTTCTAACTTGGGAATTAAAATTTGAATTTGATTAGTAATATTTTGTTAGAATTTGTGTTCTCTTTGGTGTAGTGATAGAAAAAAGACTGAGTTTTTATTTTTTGCATTTTAATAATTTCTCAGTGTGTCAAACCCTTGTGTGCTTTAATTTTTTTAAGTGACGGACCGCAGACAATCATATACAGATTACCTGATGGTAAGCAATCGGGAGTTACGAGTCCGTTGCCGACCTTTTGGGGATTAGGAATATGTAGATTTTGGGATTGGGGGAGAGAAAGGATTGGCTCCTGGTAACCTCATACGCACGACGAAACAAAACTCTGTGTTGGTTTTACGCCGATTTTCTGTGAGGCCGTGGTGTCATTCTGGTCGAGCCGACCCATTCGTGCTGAAGCCTAGCTCTCCCAAAATTGATGTTATATATAAACCTTCTCGTATGTGACATATAAACCTCCCTCTTCAAACATTCTACCTAGTAAAAAAACTTGAAGTTTTTAAAGATTTAAGCTTACAAAAGGATATAGGGACAGAGAAAGCGACTTTATTTTATATGTATATACTAGCTACTCTTGCGCGGTTTCACCCACTGCTCGGCGGCTCTGTTTAATCGTAGCGTGATGTTTTATAGCCTATAGCACTCAGGAACATTGTACCTATCTATCAGTGAAAGAATTTTGGCAATCCGACCAGCGGTTCCAAAGATTACCCCCTACATACAAACTTACAAATTTTACCTCTTTAAAATATTAGTATAGATATCAGCCGGGGTTACGGGGTAAGCGCAATGAGGCACAGCGACCTCGGCCCAGAGCAGGAGAAGGAACAGGAGGTTTTTAGTCAGTAAGAACACTGATGATCTGACACTCCCTCCCGCCCTGCCCTGTGCGGAAGAAGTCATTTGATGATTTTCCCCTCACAAAAAAAGTGTAGATATAGATGTTGTGATGATATTAATATACGCCATTTTAATCCCCAGGGCTGGTATCTCGAATCACGTAGTACAATTAATCGGGTACGTTGGTTACGGGACGAGTAATAACTCAGTAATCCCCCATTACATCTTGAAGAACTCATATGGTGAAGATTATGGCGAGGATGGCTATGTTAAGATTGGGATGTATAAAAATATTTGCGGGATTAGGGATCAAGTAACGGCTTTAAGTGTTATTTAAAATTAATTCACATTTACGTGCTGTCAATGTTATTTATTTAAGGGTTGGTTTTCAATAGTCAGATTAATATTATCTGAGGAATAAAATTGTTGCTGTCACTGTCTTATGCAAACTTTCTGACGCGACAGCATCATTATTATTTCCCAGATAACTTTTATGTAGCCATTGAAAAATCAGCCCTATATTGTAATTTTTTGGTCGAGAATATTTTTTTTTTATATTCGCTTAATATTTTGTCTTGGAGATGTAATTAAAGTTTTTATTAAAATGAGTTATTTACTAAATAAGTGTTTCATTTATATTCCTACTCTATTCCTGACTTTACGGATATGTGTATGGTAAAAGTAAATTAATTAGGTACCTGAATTCGCACTCATTTTATTAGTAATTTTTTGATGTGATTTTAATTAGGAATTTGACCTAGAATACAATATTGTTATCAAGATTTAAAAATATTTAGGTAGTAGACTATGGAAATATTTCAGAATATTCTTAACTCAGAAATTAATTATGACTTTGCAAGAGTTCCAAGTACTAAAACATAGTTGACACTTTTTTATGTAATAGATCGACAAACGAGCAGACGGATTACCTGATGGTAAGCAATCAGCGCCGCCCATGGACGCCCGCAACAGAGAAGATACGAGTGCGATGCCGACCTTTTCGCGATTAGGGATTTGGAGATTTAAGGATTGGGGGAGAGGAAGGATTGGGCCTCCAGTAACCTCACCCACACACCGATACACATCGCTGTGGTTGTTCCACGCCTGTTTTCTGTAAGGCCGTGGTATCACTCCGGTCGAGTCGACCCATTCGTGCCAAAGCATGACTCTCCCACACTTCATTTATTGAAATTTTACAATCATGGAATGTCTTACAAAAAATAATATTTAATTTTGATGATTATCTGCGCTGGAGTTCCTATCTATATTACGAACAATAAAATAATTTCGCTTCACAAATGCCAATTTATAAATGCAGTCCAAGATTAAGCTAGTATCCTTATCACGAACATATTAAGTTCTAAATTTCAAAACTTACAACTTCGTCCATATGAACTGATAAGTTTGCAAAACACTATCATTCGAAGCCACTGTTTAACTAGACTTATCTGAACAACGTGTAACCGTATCGCCGTCTCTATCGCTCGCCTTTGTTTAAACTATTTGCGTTTCTCTCTCGTACGACTTCAGAGGGGTCAAGGTATATTGGTCGTTGTGAACGCTTGATTGATAAATGCAAATAAATAAATGAGTTCAGTTCAGTTTACAGCCGTATGCTGTGGCGAAAGGACCACTGTAATCTTTAGGTACGTTGATTATTTTATTATTTTATGTTCAAGTTATCTGTCACTTTCGAGCGGCAGTTTTTAATGATAAATGTATGATAAAATCGAAGTACCTATATGTAGTTGTAGTATGTAATAATGTTTGTAATTTTACACTGATATTATGTGTGAGAATGAGAACAATAGTTAAATGGAGTGGTTTATTGTTGATAGCTCTTTAAGTGTTGTTTGTGTTCGAAATAATTTTACAAGTTTTCCATCTTGACTTGATTTTATCTTTGATAATAATAATACTTAGCTGTTGTAGGTAGGTATCTATTCAATAACGTAGTATTTAGGAGATTTTCTTGAAGAAAAATTATTCTTTGGTTTGTGAAACTTACTGAAAATATTTCATGAGATTCGAAAGCATATAGAAGAAAGATTTTTCTTTGCCGCAAAGACGGATTTCAGTCCCATTTTATATAAGTAGCTACTAACATGTTTCGGTGTAGGGGATCTAATCTAAAAGGTCTTCAATTATTTCTACACTTTGCTGAGGAAAGGCCTCTTAAACACGAAGTTAGATTTGATTTGAGCATAAGCCACTACGTTTGCTTAGCGGATTGGTGATAGAAAGAATAGACCACCACAGACGGGGCCCTAAAGGGCTGATGTTCAGCCGGGGTTGCGGGGTAAGCGCAATGAGGCACCGCGACCTCGGCCCAGAGCAGGAGAAGGAACAGGGGGGTTTTTAGTCAGTAAGAGTCTGACACTCCCTCCCGCCGGGCCCTGGGCGGGAGAAGTCATTTAATGATTTTCCCCTCACAAAAAAAGGGGTGGCCAACCGGTCGATCGCAACTGCTAGTCTAGTCGATCGTGGTAGTGATGAGCTAAATTGGTCTTCAGTCTTTGGTTGACTGCGCTGCGACGTATTTCTAAAAGCAAGGACATCCGCAAGTCAAGATTTCTGAGCATTGGTTTCCAACGTAAGATTTCCAAGTTTGAAAAAATGTGTTGAACAACTTCATTCGTATTTTGGTTCAACATATTTATGTGAGTCAGCATTTTCCTACTTTAAATTAACAGCTCAGGTGCAATGCTCACACACACACATAGGACCCATATGACGTTGAGTAAATTTAAGAAAACGATGTCACATGTGATATGAAAAGAGACTGTTAAGACTGGTCAATAAAAAATACATGATTGTGTACTAAACTATGCTGTTTCATTTAAGTTTTCAAGAAGTATGTACCTACTTGGTAGATCGCACGGGGTTTCATTAGTTAACAGTAGATCTTAGGTCTAATGAAGTTGGCTACCCCTGATCTATTCAGCCGGGGTTGCGGGGTAAGCGCAATGAGGCACCGCGACCTCGGCCAAGAGCAGGAAAAGGAACGGAGGGGTTTTTAGTCAGTAAGAGTCTGACACTCCCTCCCGCTCGGCCCTGGGCGGGAGAAGTCATTTGATGATTTTCCCCTCACAAAAAAAACCTCTGATCTATACCTACCTATACTTGGGAATATAAAAACAAGTTTTCATGTTTGTATAGCAAATATCGTAGGACCTACACCATTTATTGGAAAATTATGAATGACTCACGTGAATTGACTGCGAAAAACTGTAAGTAATAAGTAGTTACAACTCACAACGTGTCTCCTATTCAGGACTTGAAATAATTATAGTAATTAAAGTACCTATTTCTGTTTCCAATTGATTCACGGGATCTGTATTTGAAAGTTTTTTTCTTTAAATCTTTCTTTGAATATTTGCAGCGATGCTGACTATAGAAACAGAAGACTTTGGGGTGTATAAGGGGAAGACTGTAAAGAAAATAACTTGGCGGATCAGTGGAGGGGCCGAGGTTTCTGTCATATCCTATGGGGCTATAGTCCAGTCGTTAAAGGTAAGATTTCATCTTCCAATCGTGGTAATTCCAGATACAATTAAAGAACAAAAGGTGTTCTAACGCGTTCGCTTGGGGTTGATTAATTATGGATAAGGACATAGGTACTTTTTTATTATCGTTTATTTATGTTCATATAATATTCAAATTAAATCAAGATATATTAATAAAGTGTAATGTAAAATAAAGTAGATATGTCTACAAAAGTACAAGTTCTACATTAAAAAGCGCGTAGCGTTCCGCGCGCGCTTCGAAAAGCCAATAGACCACCACAGACGAAGCCCTATTCAGCCGGGGTTGCGGGGTAAGAGCTATGAGGCACCGCGACCTCGGCACAGAGCAGGAGTAGGAACAGGGGGGTTTTTAGTCAGTAAGAGTCTGACACTCCCTCCCGCCTGACCCTGGGCGGGAGAAGTCATTTGATGATTTTCCCCTCACAAAAAAAAAAGACGAAGCCCTATAGGGCTGATGTTCAGCCGGGGTTGCGGGGTAAGCGCAATGAGGCACCGCGACCTCGGCCTAGAGCAGGAGTAGGAACAGGGGGGTTTTTAGTCAGTAAGAGCCTGACACTCCCTCCCGCCTGACCCTGGGCGGGAGAAGTCATTTGATGATTTTCCCCTCACAAAAAAAAAAGACGAAGCCCTATAGGGCTGATGTTCAGCCGGGGTTGCGCGGTAAGCGCAATGAGGCACCGCGACCTCGGCCTAGAGCAGGAGTAGGAACAGGGGGGTTTTTAGTCAGTAAGAGCCTGACACTCCCTCCCGCCTGACCCTGGGCGGGAGAAGTCATTTGATGATTTTCCCCTCACAAAAAAAAAAAGACGAAGCCCTATAGGGCTGATGTTCAGCCGGGGTTGCGCGGTAAGCGCAATGAGGCACCGCGGACTCGGCCAAGAGCAGGAAAAGAACGAAGAGGCTGACATTCCCTCTCGCCCTACCCAGAGTCGAAGAAGGCATATAATTCATCAAACCCCAAGCGAACGCCGGCGTTCGCACATATTGTCTAACTATTGTGTCTCTAATTACCACGACTGAAATATTAATATATTTTCCCCTCCAAAACTAAAAAAGGTTCTAGTCAATACGGTAGTTTCCAACTAGGTAAATTCAATACTTTTAACCAAATGTCAAAAACGATACTAAGCTTTTCAGTATTTTTGCGTTAATTAGCTTACTTATATCTAAAACTTAGTGTATCGATCGATCGACGAATAAAAGTATAGTTAGGTACTTTAATTTGCAATATTTTATTGTATTGAAACGTCAAATTAATTTATTTTGACCTAGAAACTACTTAATTGTACCTATTTATAATTGATTGCGATTCTGTGGTAAGCAATCGAAAGTACCTATATATCTACATATGACCAAATTGTGGTTACATGGTTTTTATCTACTCTTCATGTCCTACACTTACCACGTGTAGGTACCATAAAAACAAACTTGATACCTATAACCAAAACCTACTTATTCATTTTATTTAATGACATTACATACTTAGACTTTTTTGACATTAAACGTTTTATAAGTTCTTGCAGCTGCATTAAGAGTGCTTATATTTCTTTATAATCTGCTTTTGAATCAACCTTACCTAAGGTAATATAAAAAAGATAAAAAATGCTATATTATCTACGTAAGCGAGTGCTTAGTAGTTGGATGAGAAGAGGTGAACATCGAGCTCAGTGGCGTGCAATTGGCGACCTATGTCCTGCAGTGGACGATATCAGGCTGATGATGATGATGATGATGAAGCAAGTGCTTTTGGAGCAAATGCAAAATATCTTTTTCTTTTAAACTGCATGTCAAGTATTTAAGTGATTGGGTATTACAATACCAATAACCTGATGTGCTTTTCAAAATACAGGTTCCAGATAAGTTTGGGGTCAAAAAAGACATTGTTCTGGGTTTTGATGACCTTGAGAGCTACGTGAAGAGGAACACTCCATACCTTGGGGCTACCATCGGCAGGTGTGCCAACCGCATTGGGAAGGCATCCTTTGAAATAGATGGGAAGACTTATAACGTAGCGCAGAATATTGGAAAAGACCACCTTCATGGAGGCATCGTTGGGTTTGATAAGGTAATCAACAGAAATAACTATATCATTACTTTTCCGTACATAGCTTCATCTATGTAGTCAAAATCAGAATAATAAATAAAAAACATAATTTTTAGAAATCACTCTATTACTTATCTATTGGTGAAAACAGCACAAAAATCTTTGTAATAGTTTTTTGTTTATCGCGTTCATATAGAATGAAACGCGAAAGTAGATTTATTTTGTAAAGCCAATTTTTTTGAGGGGATAAAATTATCTCATGGTTTCTCTCGTCTCGGGTGGGGCGGCCTGAGTTCAGACGACTTAAAAACATATAAAATTCTCATCAGTTATTGCAGCTAATAACTTGAAAGTCTAGAACGGAAAATAATTTTAAATCGTGTTACTAAAATAAGTTTCTAAAAATTCCAGGTTGTATGGGAGACTACTTTACTGGGTAACAAAGTTGTATTTACCTACTACTCCAAGGATTTGGAAGAAGGTTATCCTGGGGATCTGATCACCAGCGTTACTTACGAAGTGACAGATGATAACAAGTTAAACGTCGAGTTCAAAGCTACAACTACGAAGAAAACTGTTGTTAACCTAACTAATCATTCGTATTTCAACTTGGCTGGTCACGATGCTGGCGCCCAAGAGTTATACAATCATAAGGTCATCATAAATGCTGATAAGTAAGTTATATTGTGATACTGCTTAACATCATCATCATCAGCCAACGAGTGCCCACAGCTGAGCAAATGCCTCTTCTCACACGGAGAAGCTTTGAGCATTAATCACCACGTCTGCTCCAGGCAGATTGGCGATTTCAAATTACAAATTATAAGTCCAGGATTCCTCACGATGTTTCTTTCACCGTATGTCAGTGATTTCTAAATAATCATAGAAAGTACATGTAACTCGGAAAAAGTCACTTGCCAGGTTTCGATCCCGCACCCTCATGTCTGAGAAGCGGGCGCCTTAACCTACGGGTAACCATTTCGTTTGATACTGCTTAAATTAAAATGTATATAGGTATGACGTACTTACGTGAAATACAAGATAAAAAATATGTCGACTAGTTTCAAGTCACACCGGAGCTCATAATAAATCACGAGTAACACAGCGCGATGAAGTTTCAGCTAAAAGAAATATGCGAGAGAGCTATAAAAATGCAACGAGTAACTACCGTATGCACAATCTTATAAACTGCATATCAGATTTTCATGAATCTTGGCTACTGTACGCAATACTTATATGAAGAGAGAACTTGGCTTGGCTCTAACTTTATACATTTTTTACAGGATTACCGAAACGGATTCCAACTCCATCCCAACTGGTGCATTTAAAATGGTTAAGGATACACCATTCGACTTCTCGCTGTCCAAGAAGTTGGGTGATGCCATGTCAGCAGGACAGAATCTATTTGACGACAACTATTGCGTCATTAGCTACGGCCCTTCGGTGAGAAAAAAGCTTCCTCATTCCAATAAATTATACATTTGCTTATCTTTACCTATTAATACTATAAAGAGGTTAAGTTTGTATGTAGGGGGTAAACTTTGGAACCACTGGTCGGATTTCCAAAATTCTTTCACTTAAAGATAGCTGCAATGTTTTTGAGTGCTTAAGGCTATAAAACATCAAGCTACGATCAAATGGAGCCGAGCAGCGGGTGAAACCGCGCGAGAGTAGCTAGTTTCAGAATAAGTTGGTGGGGTCGTGATATATGTAATTTATTGCCTCACATTAGGATTTTCTCTTGGGTCGTGGATGTGTTTACAAATATATAAATTCACACACACATCGTACCCGGACTTGAAACATCAATTTGAGGATCCTATAAACAGTTGTTCCGTGTGAGGATTTTCCATGAGCGAAAAATCGTTTGTTTCTTGTAACAGATAAAAAAAGTCGCCCTGGTGACCTTTTGGAGATTAGGGTTTTGAAGATTTTGGGGAGGGAAAGGATTGGGCCTCCAGTAACCTCACTTTAGACGTCGAAACACTACTCTAGTGGTTGTTTCATGCCTGTTTTCTGTAATACCGTAATATCGCTTCGGTCGAGCCGACCCATTAGTGCCGAAGCATGGCTCTCCTACACTTAAAATCACTTAAATCTTGATGAATTATTTATAAACAATTTCCAGATCTTAACCTTCGTGGCAGCGGTCAGCCATCCATCCACGGGCCGTTTCCTCGAAGTGTACAGCAACCAACCAGGAGTTCAGTTTTACACTGCCAATTTCTTACCGTCTCCTGCAGAACCAGCTTTAGTTGGCAAAAGTGGCGCTGGTTACAGACGTCATGGTGCTTTCTGTCTTGAAACCCAAACCTACCCAGATGCCGTTCATCATTCCAATTTCCCCACCAGCATCTTAATCCCTGGTGATGAGTATAATCACCGCGTTGTCTACAGTTTTGGTTTTCTTAATGAAGATAAGGATTTTGAAGCGCCTACCGTCACGCCAGTTTAGTCGATTCTTTAAAAAATCAGTCCAGGACAATTTATTAAATGTACAAATTGTTTAGAAAAAGGATTTGTTGACTTTCTTTATTATACAGATTGCAATAATACATAAATGGTTTTATTTACAACCCTTTTATCTCTTAAAGGAATTCCTACATAGACATGAATTTTAACCGCTATTGTTGTCCACTTAGGGTTTCTGTTTTGAAGGAAAATGCAACAAAGGACTTTCCCCGCCAAGTCTGAAGCGAGAGAGGGAGTGTCAGACCCTTACTGACTAAAAACCCACTCCGTTACTTTTGCTACTTCGGGCAATAATGAAAGGGCTACGGTACATTGTTACCTACATGTAATACAGCTTCAAAGTGTTGCCGCGGTGTCCTGCGTGAGCGACGGACGCGATCAACTCAACGGCATACCCTACATTCGGCCTAATGAGAGTCTGCGGCGAGACGCGACGTAACGCGCCCTTGTTTTGAGGGTGACCAGATGCGACGACACGAACTATAACATTTTTGTGTTTTTTGATAATGTGTTTCTTTGTAAAAATATTATATATTTTGTTTTCTTTCTGTGATTTTTACGATATTTTTTAAAGTCTGTTTTAAATATGAACTTTCAAGCAAAATTTTACTGTACTTCGTTATGATTCGAGAATTTATGACCAAAATCATGTAGGACATTTGTCGCGTCGCATCGCATTACGTCGCGCTGTGTTGCGTCGCGTCGCGTCGCGTTCGTCGCTCACGCAGGACATCCCGTCATTGTGAGTCTGCGAGTTTAGCCCTCTGATTGGATGACTAAATTTGAGTTGGCTAATCAGAGCGCCGATCGCCTAAAAACATGTCGATCGTTTTAATTAAATTCGCAATAAGCACTTTGACTCAAAGCTTGTACTGTAGTAAAAATATGTTGTCTACCGTTACCGATATTTATTTTGTAATTTTATATAATACTAGTGGTGGTGTGACGAGAGTGCATAATGTAAGAAATGAGTATATTAGAGGAAGTTTGAAAGTGGCGCCAGTGACTGATAAGTTGAAAGGGAACCGTTTTGTATTGGTATGTCCATGTAAAAAGGAGGGAAAAAACGCATGTTAAAAAAAACCATGAGTATAAATGTGGAGGGTTGGAGAGGGAGAGGGAGACCAAAGAAAATATGGATGGATTGTGTGAGAAGTGATATGGAAGACAGAGGAGTTAGTGATAGCGTGACGAGTCACAGGAAAGAATGGAAGAAAAAAACATTTCGCCGACCCCAAATAAAACGGGACAAGGGCAGGAAGATGATGATGATATAATACTAGTAGGTGCCAGCTTTACCCCAGCTTTGGGAGCAATGCTGATACTAAATTTTTCCACTATTTAATGGAGGTTCATACTTATACCCATATATCTTACTTAACCATTTTCTTCAATAAAGAATCTGCAACAAAATCCGTTGCGTAGTTTTAAAGGTTTTAAGCATACATAGGGATATAGTGCAGCGAAGCGACTTTGTTTTAAACAAGGTAGTGATAGTGATTTTTCTAAAATAAAACTACAAGCTTATATAGGGTCAACTCCATTTTATTTTTTCTTAAAACGCAACATCAAGATTTACCTGTCAATTCGAATTATTGTCAAAATCTAATTAGCAAATACATTATAATTAAATTCGAGAGTTTTTACACTTATACTACCTACATACATATGGTTGCATGTTTTTATTGAATTACATAATAATTATAATTATACTTAATAAAATATTTGATATGAATAATATCAATATCATTATGCAGCATACAATATCGAAAATATTGTTATTGCAATTGCCTACATTTATTGATACTAATGCGAAGGCATTTAAATAACATAATTATTTGACATACCTAAAGATTTAATCTATCAGGGCATTGACAATATAAACCGCAAAAAAACAGATTTGATTTTGTAACTTATTCATGTTTACAGCTACAGCTGATCTTAAAATTAAAGAGGCAGTGTAAATTTTAGTCTACTATTCGATCATATCTAATGAGGACTATCGTTTTTCAATTCGATCAATGGGAGCGTTCGTAAATATTTTTAGACCAATCGCCTTCCGCAGAGGACATAAATCGCCAGTGGCGCCATCTAGGTATAGCAAAAACGATAACTCTCACAGTTTTTAAATAAAAACAAAATTTCTATAACCTAAAACAAAAAAAAAATGCCTGTCACAATTACTTACTAAAATAAAATTTTGAATCAAGAAGTCAAATCATTTCCAAAACGATGTTTCGGCTCCACCATCCCCATTTGTTTCTTTTTCCGTATTTTGCGAATGCGCGCCATTTTGTACGTTTTGTCCGTTTTCTTTGGCATTGTCGCCCCATGTTAGTGTGAGGCTTTTCTTCATGCCATCGTCTAATGGGGGTATCAAAGAGCGAGGTAGCAGGAACGTTGAAAGATTGAAAAGATCTAAGAAGACTTTGTAGCGGTCACTGGAAAGAAGATATAAGGTATTATTATTTTATGTGTTTTTCATGTTATAGGTCGGCAAACGAGCCAACGGAAGAAGTAACTATAAGTGCGTTGCCGGCCCCTTGTAGGTTATTAGGAGTTTTAGGTTAGAACTCTTTTTCTGCCAAAGTATTTGTTGTGTATTTGTTAGGTATGAGTGTCAAAGAAATCTTGTGTATGAATTAAGTAATATTTAGTAGATTAATAAGTACTTTTTAACTATTCTGCACTTATCCCAAAGATGACCCAGCTGTGTATTGTTTATGATTCTTATAATTATACTTTTTATAGATCAAAATTCCGTTACAGCTTTACGCAAAAGAGGTTTGGAGCCTTTTCTAGAGGATACTTTCCTCCAAAAAAGGCTGGTTGCAGAATTAATCCTTTTAAGGTTTATTACCGTTGGTAGGCGGTCTCTATCTACATATACTAATATTACAAAGAAGTAAAATTTGTACGTTTGTATGTAGGGGGGTAATCTTTGGAACCGCTGGTCGGATTGGCAAAATTCTTTCACTGATAGATAGCTAAAATGTTACTGAATCCTATAGGCTATAGAACATCACGCTACGATCAAATGGAGCAGCGGGTGAAACCGCGCAAGAGTAGCTAGTCGAATATTATATTTACCATGGTAGTAAAAGCGGTTGGAAAGAGAAGTTACCTGAGAGTAGAGCGAAGGTACTGGTATCCTGAGGAGCCGCCAGTGCCCAACTGCTGGGATCCAATCATACGCTGCACCATAATCACGTGGTTATCTGAATCATTAGATATGTATATATTATGTTAATACCTATATCCTTCCAAGGTCATGGTGGTGTCATACATGCGTAAGTTTTTTTTTTAGGTGGATAGAATCATTCTGTGGCTTCTGTCGCCCAGTGAGAGGGAGTGTCAGACTCTTACTGACTAAAAGCCACTCCGTTCCTTCTCTTGCTCTGTGCAGACCGCAGTACATAATTGCTTTAGGCTTGCATAAGGGTGCAGTTCCATTGAGGCAGAGCGGAGAAGAGAAATCCACATCGGAGAAGAGATGTCAAGTTGTCAAGCCATGTGATTGGTGAATCGCAGCACAGCTCTTCTCCGCTCCGCCTCAATGGAACTGCACCCTAAGGGTGTGGTTTCAGAACGACGCGATGTCAATGCGTACTTGCTTAAAACTACTGACTGACATTGAAGGAACAGTTCGTGAAGAAACCTGGACTTTCTGCAGTTTGAAATCGTCATACCGCTTAGAGCAAGCGTGTGGCTCACTGCTCAAACCTTCTCCTTGTGAGAAAAGGTGTTAACTCAACAATGAGCACTTATAGGCTGATGATGGTGATCCTTTCACCTTACTTTAAAGACGAGGTCTAGATAGATAATATATATTTCTTTTACATTAAATACAGGCTTATTCTTGTTAATTTTAATTATATGTCTTAACTTTTTGCCAAGTTTAGTAAAGGCTCAGAGGCCATCTAGAAATGTCAAAAATCACCTTATCTACCCATTTTTTAATCAAAATACAAGTTCTGGTTGAAGAGGAAGTCGGATTTGAGACCTGCTCAAAAAATATTTTATGCCATTATAGCGGGTTATAGTTGTGCACAATCTCGGAAACATGTAACAACTATTTGCTTACCTATGTCCCACAATACAACAATGGAATTTTGTATTTGTATTTGAAGATAATAAAATTATAACTGAAATATTTTTGTGGTGATACTCACATCGCCACTTGGTGATGAGGCTGTCGATATCCATGAGGAGTGTGAGGAGTTGGTGAGGTTGAGAGAACCGGGGCTCGTCTCTGTAGAACGTGATCATGATGGCTCCCTGCAGCGCTTTGTGGGATAACCTGGAATTCATGTTAAGTAATGGCTTACAATGCCTAAAAATTTGTCGGAAAATAAGTAAGTATAAAAGTTTAGAATAAGTTGTTAATTTTTTTTTCATTTTTATATTTAAGGGAGAAAGATATACAAAAAGAACAGGGTTCTCTAAAAAACCAATGACTCATAAATACCGTTATATAGATATTAAATGTACAATAGATTTGTAAAACTATTAATAAAAGAATTACAAAAACCCTTTTCTCGACAACGCCTTGACAAGAAAAGAAGCGTCATGAATACTAGAAACAAGTTTTTTTATCATTATCAATAGAAGCTTTTTTTACAAGATAGGTGGGCAAATAAGCAGACCTGATGGTAAGCAACCGGCGCCGCCCAGGTAGACCCGCAACTCCAAAGGAGTTACGAGTGCGCTGCCGGCCTTTTGGGGAATATTGTTTTGGATATTTAAGGATTGGGAAGGGGGAGATTGGGCCTCCGGTAACTTCACTCTTATGGCGAAAAACAACGCTGTTCTACATCGAATTTCAGGTCGAGCCAACCCATTCGTGCCGAAGCATGGCTTTCCCAATTTCTACTCCCATACTTTTCTTAAAAGCGAAAACAAACGCTCTTAAAACTATTTTCCTTATCATTCGTAATAACTTTTGCAAAGAAACACTTGATTTTCAAATTAGTTATGACTTGTATGACGATTGATATCTGACCTTCTTTCTCCCCTGGACCTGAGCGCGTCATGGACGGCGGGATCGAAGATAGAGCGGTAGATTTCGCGGCGGTTCTCAGCGTCCTGCAGACGATGACGACGAACATTTTCGTTGGTCTCTTGCTGAAATGGTAGAAGTGCCAAGTAGAAGGTAAGCATATTTTGCTTCTAGAATTTTGAGGATGCCATGGCATCTATCAAGCCACTCCTCAAAGAGGGGTTTTACCGATGCTATGCTACTGGCTACTGTACGAAACGACTATTTCTGTGAAATTGTATGTTTACAAACGGGGCAACAGAAAATCCTAGTTTTTTTTTTTAAATAGAACTTTTTTACGTTCTGATGGCTACTAATGATATGACCTTCATTAACCTCTTGTCTGCTGCTATATGAGACACAATAGAAAACACATTGTGTCTCGCGTGTATGCGCGTATACCACGGGTTAAAAACCAAATAATGTATTGTAACAAGTTAGATATAGGTATATCTAGTGTAGTAAGCTGTCGTTATACTTAGCCAATCGTTATGTTCTTAGCCGCATTCCAAATAAACTATGTACTTACAAAATAATATGCTTTTTACCAAAACGAGTTAATTCGTCGAAGATTCGTTGTCTGTCAGTGACTAATACTGTTTGAATTTCTCCCAGAGTAGTGGGTAAAGAAATATTTTATTAAACTACTCCTTAACCTTACCTTTAGCCTAGCCTTGCCAAATCATTATAACTTACCGAAGCAGCATCAATGTCATCCTTGATCAGTTTGCTGACTGCAGCTTGGAACTTGCCCCAGAAGTTAAACCCGTGCGTGTTGAGACCAGGTGTCCGTTCCAACCACCGCTCGATCAATGCCAACAGAGCTGGCTCCTGCTCTGACCTGGAAGCATGATTATTCATCGTCATCTTTACCATCTTCATCACCATCATCATCATTGTCATCGTCATCAGAAGAGCAAAATTAAAGATAAAAGTTCAAAAGACCTTAAACGCGTGTGATATTCTTTCTTAATATTGTCCATTGTATTGTCTTCTTCAAAATTGAAACCCAATCATTCTTCCGTCAATCCTTGGGATTAAGAGATTGGAGAGGGATCCAGCCTGTTAATTTCAGAAACCCTTAAGGTACCTAAGCAATGCACTTGAAACTTCTCTGGTTTTGCGGGCGTCCATTAGCGATGGTGATTGTTTAACATTAAGGACAATACGGCAGACGTATCTTGGCGAGTCTGAAGTTAGCTGTTTGTCTGCGCAATGGATGTTTTAGGAACAAAATTGTGTACTGCGCAGCTAATCGGCTAACTTCAGCCTCGTCAAAATAAGTTGGCGGTATTGTAATCTGTCTGCTCGTTTACCATTTTATCACATAAAAATGTTTTGGACAGTAATTATTTTTGTATTGACGTGATGAACTAGGCAGTTTTAGTCACATCTTCTTTTGGTCGGACCACAATTTGTTAATGATAAAACAGCAGGTGACTTACTTTTGCAGTGCGTCCATAGCTTCAGGGTCGTCTCCGAAAACTGTTTGGTAACTCTGGTTGTATTTGACACGCAACGCTTGCTTCAAACCCAACTGTAAACAGAATCAACAACATTGTTAAGGTAGATATATCATGTTCTTATTCTTGGTCAGTGTAAGGATAACTGGCGGAGGGCTTTACATTGGTGTTTAGACTACCTTGCTAAAGACGAGAATCGGAATCTTAATTTTACCCTAAACTTTTCCGAAATATTTCATAAGAATCTTTCTCCTGGCAAAAGAAAAAAGCTAAAATTGGCGAAATCGGTCAGGGCCTTGTGGAATTTTTGCTATTCATTTATTACATTACATTACACTTACTTTTACCAACAACAATGTTTATCTAAATTCAATGTCATATTGATCAAAATCAATTTATCAATCACAATGAAAATAAATTGAATACACATCAAATGGACGATCACGTAGTGTTCTTAAATTACCTTGTTTTCAAGCAAACGGAACTGCAAACTCTGGAACCCTGAGGCCGGACGGAGATAATTCCTGAAGTCCATAAAGTCCAGGGGAGTCATCGTCTCCAGAATCATGACTTGGTCCACCAGCAACTGTTGGAGACAACATCATTTATTTTTAAAATCAAGACGGTAGCACACAAATCTGGCCTAGAGCTAGAAGGAACGGGGTAGTTTTAAGTCAGTAACGGCCGGTTTCTGAAAGGCTTGTCAACGCTAAAATTAACTAATCTCCTGTTAAATCTCTTGTAACATTGATCGGCCTTTCGGAAACCGGGTGTTAGTCTGATTTCCTATCGCCCCGTCCTGGATGAAAAAGTTATTTGAAGATTTCACACACTATAAGAAAGCACATCATACTACCTAGCTACAATACCGTCAACATATCTTGGCGAGTCTGAAGTTAGCCGATTAGCTGCGCAGTACACAACTATGTTCCTAAAAGATCCATTGCGCAGACAAACAGCTAACTTCAGACTCGCCAAGATACGTCGGCCGTACGTACTGTAGCTAGCTTATAGATACATTATCACTAAAAATACCAAATTACCTTCATTTTGACAAAACTTTCTGTTTGTGGAATATCATCAAATAACATCTCTCGCCCTGTCTGACTCTTACTGACTAAGCACCACCACGTTACTTCTCCTGCTCTAGGGCAAAGTCGCGGTTTCTTATCGAGCTTGACTCGCAATCCTCGGTTTTCATTCATCCTTATCAGCATGCGTTTTTCTTCTGATTTTCAAGAAATAAGTATGCTATTGACGCATAGCACATGACCTAGCAATACACAATATTCAGTACAAAATTGGTAAAAAATTTGATCGATTTTCACAGTAGGTACAAATTGACTTGGTGTCATTAAGCAAGTCAGAACGTGTGATGTCATTAAGCAACACAGCATGGTCCTTCAGGACCAAGGCTTTTTGAAATCTAGGTCTAAACTATGGAGCCAGTTTTTGTATTTCAAATTGAAGGTAGGTCAGAATAAAATTCAAAATACAAAACTGAACTCAATGGTTTAAACCTAAACTAAAGATAAAGATTTTTGGTAATAAGGGGACTGATGTTTTTATTAAGCAGTATCATTTTATTAGGTCGGCAAACGAGCAGACGGATTACCTGATGGTAAGCAATCAGCGCCTTCCATTTCACACGAGTGCGTTGCTGGCATTTTAGGGATGAGGGTTTCAGTTATTTAAGGATTGGAAAGAGATTGGGCCTCCGGTAACCTCACTTACACGGCGAAACACAACGCTGTAATTGTTTCACGCCGGTTTTCTGTGAGGCGGTGGTATCACTCCGGTCGAGCCGACCCTTTCGTGCCGAACGAAGCTCGGCTCTCCCACACTTAATCATAATATAACCAGCTACATTGTATATTAAAAGTTTATCGACATTGTCTTCACATGTGTTGTGGTCTCTGAATTAATCCAAGACATCTCAAATAACAACTTTCTCTCCTACTTTCACATTATTATAACATGTCTCTGACACTAGGAAGTTGCATTTAATTTTTATTATCTCAATGTAGGTACATATGTTTTGGTTTTCGATGTCTACCTAATAAAGAATTGTTTAACAGGTTTTTTTTTGTATGTGAAAGGTCGGCAATCGAGCATACGGAATACGTGATGGTAAGCAATCAGCGCCGCCCATGGACGCAACAACACAGGAGTTACCTACGAGTGCGTTGCCGACCTTTAGGGGATTTGGAGATTTAGGGACAGGGGGAGAGGAAGGATTGGGCCTTCGGTAACCTCACCCACGCAGCGAAATACAACGCTGTGGTATTTTCGTGCCGAAGCATGGCTCTCCCACACTTATATGAGAAATCATCAAATGAGTTCTCCCGGTCGGGGTGCACCAGAGACGCGCAAAGAACGCAGAAAAAAAGGCATGCTTCCTAATTAGATATGCTGATAATTTATCAGCCTTGAGGATCGTAACATTTTTTAAGTCCGTAAAATAATTTAAAAAACAATGAAATATCATTTATCTCAACTGAACCATAAACGTAACTTACTTTTGAACTGTTTGTCAGTGATGGTTAAACTCTCAATAGAGTCTATAAATAAATCTTAAATATAAAATTCTCGTGCCACAATGTTAGTAAGCTCATTTCTCCGAAACGGCTTTACTGATTTTTCACAAATTTTACATTCATAAACATTCAGTACCTATGTCTGAGAATCGGCTACTGGGTGTTTTTCCTACCCCTAAGTGATGGGTTGTTCAGGCTCAAAGTATTTTTTCAAAATGTTTGCTAGTTTCTTATAGTTTTTATCATCATTAGCGCTAAGAATTTCAAATAGAATTAAATATTTTTCTAAAAAAACTGAGGCAACAGCATGATCATTGCTTTTTTAGGACGTAATATAACAGCGTATCACTAGTGCGAGCCAGATTGTCGATAAAAAATTACGTATCGATGTCGATAAAGGGGTTAAATGTCAGGGCACAACAACTATCGTGGTTATTATGCGTAATGGGTAACACAAACACATTGGTGTAACGTGACAATGGTTCCTTACATAATTTTTTTTTCTTATTAAAATGAGAAATTGTTTTAATATCCGTTTTATTAATTTACTGAAAGATGTTATAACCTTCTCTCTCGCCGTCTTTCAAAGGGAATGTTACCCAAGTTTTTCGTGTCTTTTCTTTGTAATAGGGCAGACGAAATACCGTAAGTACTTAAACCGTTTTGTGTTTTATTAAGAAAAAGCGAGGAAAGTTTTTTTTATAAAAATCGTTGTCATAGAAATGACTACCAAAATTTTTTAAACCAACTATTTATTCAGTCTGCCTTTACATATTTTTAGAGAGACAGCTGTCAAACATCACCCTAAAAAAGCTATGGCCTATGTCTCTCTCCAATATGCTGATAAAAAAAATATTATAAGTAAGTTTCACAGGACGATCCGTTTTATGTTTTGGAAAACCTTATAATTACTTCTTGGGGCAAGAGGGAGTGTCAGTCTCTTACTGAATAAAAACACCCATTATTTTTCCTGTGGCGACCGGAACTGCAGTCCATAATTGTGCTTACACCGGCAACACCGTAAAACGATCCGTTGCGTTGAAAAAACAAATTAACTTTTCCTATCTATTCTAATATTATAAAGAGGTAAAATTTGTAAGTTTTTATGTTTGTAAGTTTGTAGTTTGTATCTAGGGGGTAATCTTTGTAACCGCTAGTCGGAATGTCAAAATTCTTTCACTGATAGATAGCTACAATGTTCCTGAGTGCTATAGGCTATAAAACATTACGCTACGATTAAATGGAGCAGCGGGTGAAACCGCGCGAGAGTAGCCGTAGTAGTAGTCTACCTATAAAGTTAAGTAAGGATTATTTTATTCTAGGTATAATCTATTTTCTTAAAACTTAGGTACTAATAACTAGAAGCGATCAGAATGATAGCTAAGCGTGTAGAATATGTCACTAATAATCTATGCATATAGGTAAGTAGTATTTAACATTAATAATTCGACTGGTCTAATGACACACAAAAACAACATTGCCCTAATTTTGATCCGAAATGGCGTGTTATTAAATTAAAATTATAATCATTTTCATATCACGCATAAACAGACAATTATCCAAACGACCACAATTTTAAGAAAAGTTTTATGAAATACTGTTTTAGGGCACGCTTTCCGTCCAAATATAATTTAGATGTCTTCAAGGCTAGAGTGAATAGGCACTTAATAAACTAGTGCGCCTTATCATCAATGATTGCATCACTGCTTACCATCAGGTGGGATCGCAGTCAAGCACTAGTTTATATCAAGTAAAAAAAAAACGCTATTCTCTTCTTCCTAGAAGATTTCGTGGCGGGAGGATTGTGGTATATCTACCGATTCTCAAGAATCGATAGGTACGTAAGAAATTAAAGCTATTAACATAGAATAAAATGTTTATTAATTTGAAGCTGAATTCTTTGTTTGAACGCCGTAGTCTACCTACTCTAATTTTGGGGAGCTCCGTAACCCTAACCGAAACCATCGGATATACGATATAAAAACATATCCGTTACCGTAACCGAATCCGAATAAAAGTGTCGGATAGTATCGGATAGAAGCGGAGCCTAATTGAGACACGTTATGACTAGTTGTTTAATCGACCGGGCGCAGCCGACACACAAGCCGCGCGCTGCTGACTTAATATAAATGAAACCATTATTTTAACTATTTGTATTTTACTTATGAAATTTCTTAAAATCTTAGTAACCGAAATTATCCGAAACTAACGGATAATCCGAAATAATTTCATATCCGTATTCGAAATTTTATATCCATAACATCCCATACTATGATTTTCTTCTGTGTCGTGAGTGCTTTTACGAATATACAACTCATATTATAGGTATACATTATGACACTCGGACTTCGGAGAAGTTGTTGTATGTACGGGTGTATTAGATGTGGTAACGCTGGTTTTTTTTACTTGCTATAAACTAGAGCTTGACTGCGATCCCACCTGATGGTAAGCAGTGATGCAATCGTTGATGATAAGGCGCGCTAGATTATTAAGAGCCTATTCACTCTAGCCTTGAAAACGCCTAAATTATATTTGGACGGAAAGACTGCAGTCGGCAAACTGTTCCAATCCCTCGATGTACGCGGTATAAATAAATGACGAGGCAAAACGCTTAGTCCGGGCCGCAGGTGTCTCAACAACGTAAGGGTGGATATTTGATTTTAATATTTTTTGTTCTCTATAATGTATTTTACAAGGAAAGCTTATGTACCTATGTTACACTATAATATTATGGGTAATTATTTATTTATGTACCTACGTATTTATTGTATGACGTGTTTGTTACAGGGATTTTTCCATGGTCTAGGTATTTCCTGCTTTGATATGCAGCTAGTATCTAAATGTGTACCTATTTGTCTGTTGTTAAGGGTCACTATTAAGCTAATAGTTAACAGTTAGTCTATATACATAAATTTTTCCTGAAAAAACTTCCAATAAAATGTTGTTGTTTTGGTAAACTATCGGCGCCGCGCATGGATGAACTCCGTTATAATTAGATCCTCAAAGTACACCTATCTCTTACCTTCAAAATAAGCACGACCCTGTTGAGTCTCTTCAATATTTCCATGGTGTGGCTTTCGTCCAGTCCTTCCACATCCAAAAGTGCCCGCACAGAGTCTACTTCGAAAATTATCTGCTTGAACCATAGCTCGTATGCTGAAACCAAATAAAATGATTACAAAGTCAAAGCATTTGTTTCAAACAGTCACTTTTGAAATAGCTGAATCATTATCGTCAGTCAGTTTAAGCGTCCGTTGGGAAAGTTTATTTTTGGAATCATCAAATGACTTTTCCCGTCTAGGGTGGGATAAGAATGTATTTTAAACTACAATCTCTACTTGTCAAACTATGTTGTACCTAATTGTTTATTTCATAGGGTGGCACAAGGTTAGATTGATCACCTGATGTTAAGCAATTGGCGCTACCCATTGCCGCAATACCAGAAGGAGAGTTACAAGTGCCTTTTAGAGATTAGTAGATAGGTAGAGTAGATTTGGGAGTCTTAAAACCATCCCGTTCTTTCTCCTTCCTTATTCTATTACGGTTGCACCCACAACCCTAGTTGGGCATGGGCCCCATCTGCTGTCAGCGAAACTAGGTGCTCTTTCCAAAATGAACATATTCGTTTGGATACGAACGAGAAAGAAACTCTGTCGTTACCATTTGGAAATATGTGATTTTGGTTTTTTTATGTATCATACGGTCGGCATACGAGCAGACGGATTACCTGATGGAAAGCAGTCAGCGCCGTCCATGGACACTCGTAGTACCAAAGGAATAATTACAAGTCCGTTGCCGGCCTCTTGTAAGTTATTAGAGATTTAAGGATAGGGGATTTGAGGATTGAGGATGTTGGGGAGAGGTAAGAATTGGACCTCCGGTAACCTCACTGACTCCGCAATACACAACGTAAGTGTTGCTGGTGGTATTCTGTGAGGCCCTGGTATCACACCGGTTTTTTTTTGTGAGTAAGAAATCATCAAATGACTTCTCCCGCCTAGGGCCGGGCGGGAGGGAGTGTGACTCTTACTGACTAAAAGGTCGCGGTGCCTCATTGCGCTTACCCCGCAACCCCGGACGATTAGCCCTACAGGGCCCGGTCTATGGTGGTCTATTTGAGGCATGCGCGGAACGCTACGCGCCCGGTATCACTCCGGTTGAGCCGACCTATTCGTGCCGAAACATGGCTCTCCCACAATTAACGAAAGATTAATGCAAACGGGCTGACGATGATGCTAATCTATTTCAATCAAGCTTCTGTCTTGTCTTACCTTGATGGGTGATAATAAACAAGTGCTCATCATGCACTGGCTTAGAGGACTCGGAGCTGAGCATCCTCTGAGCTGAGAGGAGTTTGTCCAGCATCAGATACTCTCCGTACAGCATACCCGCCTCATTGCCGAGGTGGTTGCCTTCCTGAGCTGTGCTTTCATCCATCATAGACCTGCAGACAATTTATATGTTTCAGTATTGATCAATTCTGACTGCACAGTTGGTGTGGTACGGGTCGCCCGGTCCGATTCCCGCACGGAACAATTCTTTGTGTGATCCACAGATTGTAGTTCAGGGCCTGCGTGTGATGCGTTTGTGTTTTGGAAAAATCTGTTTACACTGGGGAGGGATAATTTTGGCAGTGGGCTTCACTTATCGTTAATATGGTGATGACGAGAGGTCATGAGGAAATAAAGGCTAAAGGAAGTTCAAAATGTTTTCATTAATATTGGACAAGATCCATCATGGGTCTTTAATTTTCGAAATTTTCAGTAAAATAGGTTAGGATTGGAATTGTAAACATGTTAAAATAATGACGCAAAATCACATCCCTTTTATTTTTTATTTGGTATTAAATTCATTCGTATTATATTAATCTCGCTCCGTGTTACACATAGAAATACCTAGTTTAGAAAATGAACTTCTAATTTTGAGTTCTTGTGTTAAGTTGTTAACTATCTTGACTAAGTTAGGGATATCAAAATTCTTACGCATGGTCACGAACAAGTAATTCTGGTTGAACTGGAATCAAACCTTGCTAATTGCTGTCAGCCAACATCGGGCTACCGGTTTTGACAAGTTCATGTCGAAGTCTCTATACATACATCAACAGCCTATTGGCTATGTGCAAAGCGAGTAATGGCGGACCAATAACGACCGCAGCGCACAACACGACAGAAAATGGAAACAAATGCGGATGATTAGCTGTCGGTTTTTATTATTATATTTATTTTACAGTAAATAACTATTGAATAAATTGCACTTACATAATGTCAACAATACTATTTTTATCTTTGGTTTTATTTGTGTCTGCAAAGAAAATTATAATGTTGACATTGTTATTATTTGTTAGCTTCCGCAAATGTTGTAAAGGCTACGCGTCGCCATACCGTCGCGCACATCTATACTAATATTATAAAGTGTAAGTTTGTATGTAGGAGGCAAACTTTGGAACCGCTGGTTGGATTGCCAAAATTCTTTGACTGATAGATAGCTATAATGTTCCTGAGGGCTATAGACTGTAAAACATCACGCTACGATTAAATGGAGCCGAGCAGCGGGTGAAACCGTGCGAGAGTAAGTAATAGCCCTTTTGCGGTTCGCCACACTGAGAAGGTTTGAGCATTAATCACCACGTTTGTTCAAGGCGGCGGTAATTAAAAATCATATTAAGGCAATACTGAACATTTATACCTAGGTATGTATTATAATATTATATATTATCTTAAATATATAAGGATGTCGTGGTAGCCCGGAGGTTAAGGAACCCGCTTCTCATGCACGCTTCTTATGCATGAGGGTGTAGGTTCGAAACCTGGCAAGTACCAATGTGACTTTTTCCGAGTTATATATATGTACTTTCTATGATTATTTAGACACCACTGACATACGGTGAAGGAAAACATCGTGAGGAAACCTGGACTTATTATAGTCTCTAATTATAAGTTTGAAATCGCCAACCCGCATTGAGCAAGCGTGGTGATTAATGCTCTAACCTTCTTCGTATTAGAAGAGGCCTTTGCTCAACAGTGGGCACTTATACGCTGATGATGATGATGATCTTAATTCTTAAATATGTAACATTTTAGTTTTATGTATTTTGTACTGGTTTCTTGAGCTTTACCTTGTTTTTACTTAGTGACATTTCATAATACTTATTTAGTATTTTCTTCTCTATTGTGACGTCATTTACCCATGAAAAATTTCACATAACTACATACCTAAATTCTAACCTTAAATTATAATAACTAGCGACCCGCCCTGAATAAACTAGCGAACTAAGTAAGTAATTAATATTCAATGATACGAAAATGTAATTGTGTTTATCTATTTTGGGGTATTTTATTCAAAACACAAATAAATATTATACTTACTTTAATTTTATTAAGCGCTATCGTCTTACGTTGATATAGGTACCTAAGTATATGCAAATAGTTTCTAAAAAGTTTTTTTAACATTTTTTGCATATTAAAAATATTAGCTACTTATACTAGCTTTCGCCCACATCTTCGCACGCGTAGCACTCAGGAATATCAAGCAGTGAAAGAATTTTGGAAATCCGACCATGTAGGGGTTCGAAAGGTAACCCCCTATGTATAAACTCACATGTAAAACGGGGTGAATAGAATTTGAGGGGTGAATAGATACACGAAAGGGGTGAATAGATGTTGGCGAATTTTCCCAGTATCTATTCACCCCTCTTCCATATCTATTTACCCCTCGAATTCTATTCACCCCGTTTTACGGTTACCTGTTTTTGAAATGTGACACAGACTAGTGCAGCGCACCCCTGCTTCGTGCGACTGTCCAACTAGATACTTACGTCAGTGTTAGTTATTTAAAAATACACGCGATGTTTATAACTTATTTAAATTACTTCCGAATTGTTTTTGTTTTTTATTTATTTTGATTAATTTATTCTAGACGTAGTAGGTACGTAAGATATTTATATTAAATATATTAAAAATACACTACAGGCACTACAGCTAACTTTGGCAGAATTAAGTAGCGTATTAAATAAATTTACAATCAGCATTAATTTTTTATTAACAATAAAATGCTGAATCCGTTTCGATAACAATTTATTATACTTATTTAACAGTAAGCAGATATCAGTACCTAACCATACTTTTGATCTGACTTTATGTCAATTTTAATATGTCAGATGTCTACACATACATATTTATTTACTTGTGCTTTTAAACCACCTAAACAGATTAACAATTGTTGAATAAATTTCGTGCTAAGTAAGTACCTATACCTAAATATTTTTTTATTTTATTTTATTTAGTTTATGTGATAGGTCGGCAAACGAGCAGACGGATTACCTGATGGTAAGCAATCAGCGCCGCCCATGGACACCCGCAACGGAGGATTTACGAGTGCGTTGCTGACCTTTTAGGGATTAGGGATTTGGAGATTTAGGAATTGGAGGAGGGGAAGGATTGGGCCTCCGGTAACCTCACTCACACGGCGAAACGCAACGCTGTGGTTACTACACGCCGGTTTTCTGTTGTTGTTCTTGTTTGTGTCATCAGAAACTTGTTTTTTTCTTGGATAGGTCAATTAGGTATTGAGGAAGGTCGTTTAGCGATAGGCTATATAAGTAAGTTAAATAGCTATGTTTCTAAGTCTTAAAATACAATTTGGTTGATTCCAGGTCTGTAAATCAGTTTTTATAAAATCTCTCAAAGAATGAGATTTGATTTGATTTGATGTTGTTTTTATAAGCCAACCCCCCAAAACTCTCGTAAGCCAGGATTTACAGTAGATACAACCACAAAAACAACGAAACAGTGCAGTTTGCATGAATGACTGTCTTAAATCACGCAATGAAATAGGCAAATCAGAAAATAATTAACATTACGTGTTTTTTTTGTGAGGGAAAAATCATCAAATGACTTCTCCCACCCAGGGCCGGGCGGGAGGGAGTGTCAGACTCTTACTGACTAAAAACCCCCCTGTCTCCTGCTCTGGGCCGAGGTCGCGGTGCCTCATTGCGCTTACCCCGCCAAACATTTACGTGTACGTTCATAAAACTTCATAATACAATGTCTTAAGCCCACCGAGAGTGACGAAGGCGAACGGACTGAGCCGTAGGAACGGCAACGAGAGTTGAGTATTTATCCCCGTTGAGTCGACTGTCTTCCTGGTAGACTAGGTAGGGCGCCCGCTTACGAGCGTGAGGGCTTAAATTCCGCCAGGATTTTAAAGTATTCATATGACTTTTTTCGTAGTTAAGTGTATGAACACCTAAGTTTTTTTTTATAAAAAAACATTGCCCTCTTTAGGATTTTCTCCTGTGTTGTGATCTGATCGACGAATAAAAGTATAGTTATTTTTCAATATTTTATTGTATTAACCTCGAATTAATTTATTTTTGACCTAGGAAACTACCCAATTGTAATTAAGTTTTAGCTCGATTCGTATCAATCATAGCAACATTACTTACCTGTTTTTATGTGGTAGAACCACAGATTATAAAACAAAAGGCCGGCCTGAAGCAGGACAAGGAACGGAGAATTTTAAGTCGGAAATAGTGTGACAGTCTCTCTCGCCCACCCAGGGCTAGAGAAGCCATTTTAGATGGTTTCCCCCCTCAAAAAAGATGACTCAATCTCTGATACAACTTACATATTTTATTCGAAGGATGCTTAATTTATGTAATAAAACAATAATTTAAGTGAAGGATAAAGCTCAGCCTAATTTAAATAGCAATTATAATACTGATTACCGCTAAATAACGTTCAATTAATCATTAGGTTCACAACATGTAAAGTTAAACACTCATAATTTATTCCTTATCAAAATTGTTTTGGTGTCACCAAGAGATTACACGTAATAATTATTTATTATGAATTAAATTTATGAGGTCACGACGGAGATAGAAATTTAAATCTTCACACACATCATGTTATCTTACAAATACATGAGACTTGACTTGTTTTGCGGCGGGAAGTGAAGCTTTGCTCTAGTGTTGGTACTATTATCTACAGTTGATTCCGTCATCATCATCATTATGATCATTATCATCATCATAGCCTGTAAATATTCATACTGGCACACGAAGTTTTAGAATTTTTTAGTAAATTATAAAGAAATAAGTAGATAAGCTATTTGACGCTAAAATGTTAGGTTAGGTTATGACGTCAAAACTCAGTTTTTCATACAAATTCCATAGAAAAGTATTGTTATAACGTTTGGATAAAAGTATTGAATTTGAGTAGTTGGAAACTACCGTATTATTTACAAACTTGTAAATTGCTTAGATTAGGTAGATACAATCCATATAACTACTTATCCAATAAAAATCAGTAAGAAAGTCTGCACCCAAGGAGTCCTACACCACAAAACGTGTTGTTTATCATAATAATAGTATTCTAATAATTATGCCCAAGTACCTACCTATAGATACTAGATTTTTTATATCTTACCTCCATTTTCAAATCCTTACGATGCAACTTCTACCCATTACCTACCTATGTCTATTTATTTAATTCAGGGGCGACGTTATAAGTTACACACCCTTTCGTAACCTTTTTCTACGAAGCAGTGACCTTTGGGATTTAATCGCTATTTTACGACTTGCGTACATCCGATATAAAGATGCGATAAAAAAGTTTGCTTTCGCCCGCCTTCATGCCTTCATTCCCGCCTTTTTTTTATTTGGTAGGATTTATATTGAAAAGTTTAATAAGGCAACATTAAAAAAATTACAATATGTAGAACAAAAAAGTAGTATTTTTGGAAGTTGTGAGTTTTGTTAAAAAGTTATCAATTATTTAAATTATTTTGTTTTGTTAAGTAATTTATTTATAAACCTATCTTTTGCATTAATAAACTACTTAGATAATTGTTATTCAATTTGGTGTCAAGTTAGTCTACTCTACATAATTCGCTTGTTAAAATGTGCAATAGGTTAAGTTTAGTTTTAGTTTACAAGTTATTAATATTTTACCTTTTTTATTTATAAATATAGTCGGGTAGTTACGTATAAAATTACTATTGTCTACCCACATTAAATATACCTAAGAAGAAATTGGACAAAAAGCGTCGAAAACATTATAGTAATTTAAGTTAAAAAAAAAATAGATCAATCTCGATAAAAAATAAAGGAAGTAAGTTCTAAGATAAATAACGTCAAAGCAACATCATTCTAAGTCATTTACGATCGCATTACATGAAAAAGAAAAATATTTTTTCCCCAGAGCTGATTATAGAAATTAAGTCCAATTTAAAAAACTTACCTCATAGGACATGCCATTTTCGAATCGAGTTTCTTTTTCACTTAAATTTTCAAAATAAGAACACGCGATCGACACGCGCTCACACGGTGCGCGGCAACTCGATACTGACTGCACACCGGTTTCGATTTCGTCACTCGTTATTGATAATGTAACTTAAAACTTATTTGATATCAATTTTCCGATGGCTAAGTTAAGCTAATGTGACATTAACGTGAGAAATTATTTATTGAAACGTAGTTCCTTCCTGTTTACGACAGTTAAAACGAGGAGTATGCGTCCTCCTTCCTCTATTGAGAAAGACGGGAGGGCAGATGCTGAAAATAGTGTGGTTGTTAGTAACCCTATATTTTTACTTCTGGATGTCAGCTGGGGGCCGTGAAGCAAATATTTAAGAAAGCTTCTTATTAGGCTTTTTGGGTGAATATCATAAGATAATGATGACCATTTTGACCAAGCCAGTCAAAATTTCAAACATAAATTCTTTTAAAAATACCTACAATTAATTTTTCTTTTTTATCCTCGAAAGTAGGTACCTAAGTACAGTGGTGTAAGTAGTAAAATTTTAGTAACGCTGTTTTGTAAATCAATTCAAAAATTTTGTTTTTTTATTACCTATTCAAACTGTTACAATAACTGCATGCATCGTAGAAAAGTATAATGATCTTATTATGTAGTTGGCTGTACAGCATAATCTTAATGTAGGTACAACGTCGGTATTAAAATGATAAATAAAAACTGAAGGTTTCTGATTTTTTTTTTAATCTGGGTATAAAAGCACCTGACCCATTTTTGAACAGCCCATTTCGTTTGCGACACTTAATCAGTCACAGTAGGTATAATGGAGTCAAAAAACTATTTTAACATATTTTTCTTAATTATAATTCTTGGAAAGTCTAGTGCTACCTACGTTTCACCCTTATCTACAAAATACTTAGGTAAGATGTATGTCAGTTTTTTTTAATATTTGCCGGATAAGTTTCCCGGACCCCGAGTTAATCCGAATTTGCAGGGTAATAAGTCAGTATTTGAAGTGTTTTAATCGGTAGAATTCTGTCAGGATATTTTCCGATGCGGTTTTTATGTAACAATAAATATGATATCATTACATGTACGTTGTACGTCATAAATGACGCGTTTAATAAAGTAATTGCGAAATTGTAAGTTTGTAATAAGTTACTGCCACGGTTGATATTAAAGTTATCACAGGTTTTATTATACCTAGTAGTTTGTTTTTTTACCTGCGGGTATTAAGAGATTATCATTATTCAACTCGACAAAATATCTTACTTCTAACTTATATTTTAAATGCGAAATTTACGATGTTTGGATGTTTGTTACTCAATCACGCCAAAACGGCTGGACGGATCTGGATGAAAGGCACAGGCATAGGATACGCTCCGGAATAGGATATAGTTTTAGTTTTAGACGGACGTTTTTTAAGTGTTTTTGCTATTTCCAGGTTGGGCTACATAGGTACAGGTACCTACAATGGAACGAGTGACATAGAAAAAAGAGGACACCTTCTTCAAACCCTTCGAAAAAAAGCAGTAGAAGGTACCTACTTATGTAAGTAACGTTACCTACGCATGTAAAAAAATATCTTATCGCTGTATTTTTTTTTAAACTTAAATGTTTGCCATAACCTTATCAATATTTACTTAACATATCCTATAAAAACATCGGAAATTAATCGTGAAGTAATATCGATAGAGTTTAAAAAGTCTTTGCAAAATCACATTGTCATTGCCTCAGGCAAAATCTGATGACACAGCCGGTTGGTTAGAGTCAGTTTATAATGAAGTATAATGTTACGTTGACGCACATTGAGCTGAGCTTGTGTGACGAAACTCATTATGTACGCTTTTACAACGCTATTAAATTGCGTTCGTTGTTAATATTAATAAGCAAGCAATAACCATGAATTATTTACTGGAATGTCATTTTGGTCTTGTGATAGTATGCGTGACTGCGAAGCGTGAGGTCTCATACGAGTAGTTTCTTATTGTATGCTTTTTGTAGATCACCTGGTGAGAAGTGGGTAACTGTTGTAATTTATGTAAGTATGTAGGTAGGTTATCCCTTTGTAAATTTATTTATACCGTCACTTTTAATAGTCAGCAGGGAAGGTGGGCAGGGAATAGGCAGGACGAGTACCTATGTAAACTTATAATTTTGATGCTAATGTCACTCGCGCTGACTAGCACTTCCCAAAAGAATTTTATTGGGGACTTGGGGACAAAGGACCGGCAGCGCGGGCGGCACGGCGGATGGTGCAAAAATGTGAACGTCTGCAATTGCCGGAATTTGAAAACGAAGTGAGATACACACATACCTATCCTCCGATCGTGCCGTAGCAGTATTTAGGGAATTTAGTATTGCCAGTAGCGATAGGGGGTGAATGTAAATGAGACATTACAATCCATGGAGATGGGACACATAGATTGGAAGTATCTTTGGCTAAAGTAACCTCTTTGCATCGACAATGATTACCTATTTTATTATGAATTATGATGCTTAGTGAACTGTCACTATTATTTTATAAACGTAACTTAGACGTATCAAATTCACACTACCTAATTGTAGTTTTTTTACGAATTAAATTTTATAGATTGGCTACGTTCGCCTCAAATAAAAATAGAATAGATGTACATTTTGAATAGGAAAATATAATTTCAAGTGTTATTTTTTAGTTTTTTTTAGGAAAATGATGTTTGGAACGTCAAAAATAATGAGGCAAGTGTTTTGTACTTTACTCTTGAGTTTTAAATTAAGTTTAGATAAGAAGTTATCTATATTCAACATGAATTATGTGGGTAGTTCAATAATCGTGTACGGACAGTAGTAGTGAAGGTAAGAAGTTTGTAATTAGTGATACATGCAATAAGTTATAACTTTAGCTAGGGTTTATACTTATGTGTACTCTTACCTTCGTCTAAGACTTTAATGTTAATGCTGCCTGCCAGCCTATTAAGTAAATGTTAAAAAATCTAGGTAAAGTAGTTTGTGAGAAGTATGCAGGTTTTCTAACGATGTTTGATAACCTTCTAATTCATATATGTATATTATATATCTACCTATTATTTGTTTCTGTAGGCTCCGACCGAAAGGATTATTATTATAAATACATCGTGAATTGATAAAATTATTAATAAATCTCGATATTGAAACAGGGGTGGACGTTACAAGTTTGTAAAATATGATTAGGTTTTTAACTCTAATTTTATTGAAGCAAGAATTATGGAAGTCATATGTAATTTCGTTTTATTTGTAAAATAAATGTTAAATCACGAAGACGATTAAATATATTATTATTTAGCTAGATTAAGTAGTTTTGTAAAAAAAACTACCAATGCATGAAACAATTTGTGGTTGGCAACATTAAAATCTTATGTCATTGATTCAGACTGACGTTTTTCAATCTTGTCTTGATTCTATTTACCTACGCATTTTCGTGAAATTTGTGAAAAATAAACATTGATTTGTTGTGAAACAAAACAATAACGAATAATAAAAGATTTTCTGGTGTCTAAAAGTTTCCTAGTGCATTTATTTGTATGTTTTGTTTGATACGTGAAGAATAACAGCGTAATAATGTAAGAGCTTTATCTTATCATTTTTTGTTGTTTTAAATTTGATAATTGCAGTTTATTTTGTGCTAAGTGTGAGATAAATGGACTGTACAAACAGCTACTATATTTATTTGTTGCACTATTGTTGTAGTGTTATTGTGAAAAGGTCTCTTTAAAGGTGATTTTTAAGTAAAATTGTAAATGACATCAGTCGTTAGTCATATCTGGATTTTCTGTTGATAATGTTGCTCCGAAACTGTAAGTTTGCGATATCCGATGTTCCCCACACGATTTACGATGCTCTCCTGTGAAGTTATGAATAATAATTTATATTTATAACATTGAAATCTTTTGGATCAATTGATTTATGAAGGTGTTAACTGATGATTTTTTGGAATACTTCAGTGCATTACCCATTTAGTAATTACCTTATTATAATCCTAAATATTCTTTATAATATTATAAAAAACTAAAGTTTCATATTCATAGCATGATTTTGTTGTTTATTTTGATCTGAAAATAGTGGTACTAGAGTGACATAATATATAGAGCCTATTTTTTTTTCTTTTTACTGACCATGTAATATCGAATTTTAACATAATATCAATACATCAAATAATTTTGATTATTTTCTTAGATAATAGCTAAAGCTGCAAGATAGTGCGTGTCCTACATTTAACTATCAATTTGTACTGCATAACAGATATTCACTATATTTCATACATTTCTGCCTAATCTTTGTTCAAAATCTTAAAGATATATAAAAAAAATAATCATTCTGAGAGATACCAGGGTTACCAAGGTTTTACAGAATTAGGTGTGTAGGGATGTTTCTGGGGATCCAAACCTCTCCCTATATTTAAATTATTATGGATATGAGGATCAGTCCTAAAATAAAATAATGTTATTTGCAGAAACATGGTCTTTAAGATCGGTCCTAAAATCTCTTAACAACTTGCAAAATGTTGGCGATACACTTATTATTCCTTTGGTATATAGGCGGTGCATCATGTGACCAGCCTACTTTTTACCCATACCAAAAAAAAACAAAAAGATTTGGTTTTACAAAGTGTGGGAGAGCCATGCTTCAGCACGAATGGGTCGGCTCGACCGGAGTTATACCACGGCCTCACAGAAAACCGGCGTGAAACAACCACAACGTTGTGTTTCGCCGTGTGAGTGAGGTTGCCGGAGGCCCAATCCTTCCCCTACCCCAATACCTTCCCAACCCCTAAATCCCCAAAATCCCTATCCCTAAAACGTCGGCAACGCACTCGTAACTCATTTGTTGCTTTGTCCATGGGCAACGCTGATTGCTTACCATCAGGTAATCCGTCTGCTCGTTTGCCGTCCTATCACATAAAAAAAAACAATTAGTAATTAATTTCTAGTGCTATTTAGTAAATTTAATTTTAATTGAAACACATATAATCCATCTTCTTAAATAGTTTAATTAGCATAGGTATTAATATTGTCAAATTGTTCCATAATGGATGTCATTAAGTAGGTACAATTGGTTCTAGTCAATTACATTGTTGTCTTAAATAATCTGTAACGATTAATAGTAATAAAGCATAGTGTAACAGTTTTAAGTGCTACCTGGAAATATTGGAGTTAAATTCTCTGTTAACGTAGCTGGTGATCTACATATGTATGGTGATCTACTAAACTATTAAATGCAGTTAGTGTATAACCCTTCACTAAAACCCGCTTGGGGGTCCAAGCGGTAACCGGTTGCCGGGCCTTACGCACTGCGCTGTTCAGTCAAACCCTAAGTGACAACCGGTTACCGCTTGGGGGTCCAAGGGTTAATTGACCCTGAGTGTATTACATTGGCTAGAAATGATTTCAAGCTATGCGAACTCTTCTCCTATGACTAGTAAAGTGAAAAGTATAAATTGGCAAAATGGTAATATTTTCTGTAATCTCTGAAAAACTGGCCTTAATCTTAATACCTAATTGACAGATTTTAAACAAACAGATGGAATACCTGATGGTAAGCAAACCAAACCACCCATGGACACTGGTAATACTAAAAGAGTTATTACAAATTCGTAGCCGGCTTTTTGCGAGTTATTAGAACCTCCACGCGAAACGCAACGTGAATGTCATTTCACGTCTATATTTTATGAGTCCACATGACCCTGGTCAAGCCGGATCATTAGTGTCTATTAAAAAAAAATTGTAATTTACTACTAAGCCCAAGTAAATACCATGTTTTCTTTATTTATTTTAGAGTAATGGGTCAAACCCTTTCTGAGCCGGTGACGCAGAAGCAATCGGCAACATGTCAGGACAGCCGCTACTTGGTCGGCTCATCCTGCATGCAGGGCTGGAGAGTGTCCATGGACGACTCGCACACACACATACTCTCCCTACCAGAAGATCCGGGGACCGCATACTTTGCTGTGTATGATGGACATGGTGGTAAGTTGGTCATGTTGTTAGAATTTAACTTAGTGAATGGTTTTGTAAGCTTTTGTGGGTGTTTATCATGATGTGGTTGCTGCTATTAAATTTATATTAATGGTATCTTGGGTGCATTCTAGTTAGGTAAATAATAATAATAAATAAATAAAATTTATTGAAGAACACATAATCTAGAAAATACAGTTTTGCTTAAAGCTATACCAAGTTCTTAATATTGGGTGCCTGAACTAGGACAACCTGTGTTTCAGGCGAAGGTCATCTAGACTTATTGTCTTCTATGCTTTCTTGTAAACATATTATAAATGTAGGAAATTGTAAGTATAGAAGGATGGATGTCTGTAACTCCCAGCCAGGTATGAATGGAATTTGGCAAAAGAGTACCCGTAGTAGTGGAAAGTGCTGGCAGAAGGATGAAAACAAAAAAAAAGATTATAGACACTGTTTAGGTAAATGTAGAGCTTGAGAGAAATGTCGCGATTGTCTTTTATTTAAAGCTTTTATTTCAAATTATTTCAAGGGTCTAAGATAGCTGAGTATGCTGGCAAGCACCTTCACAAGTTTGTGACAGCCAGACCGGAATACCACCTCGGCAACATTGAAGAGGCTTTGAAACAGGTAACAAATTAAAAAAATATATATTATTGAGCAGAATCAATACTGGAAAAATCGAAAAAAAAAACGATTCTGTAAATTGCTAACTGTGTACTAGTGTACTACTTTTTGAGCAGAAATAATAAATAAATATTTTTCTAACCAGTCTATCGTAGTAAATTGAGACACTAGATGCGCGAACGCCGCCGTTCGCTTGGAGCTTGATGAATTAAAGAAGTTATATTAGCAATGATGCAGTTTCTTGCTCGTAGGTACTTCTCCGTCGTTTGTTTAGTCGGCCAAATTTTTATGCCTACGTCATCCAGAGCGTGTCTGTGGCATGACCAAATAATTATCATAAACGCATCATCGTTATTTTCTACCTTTTTCAGTCCGACCATAGACAATAGTTTCAGTGTTAAATCCTTTGTGAATAAGGTCACAAAGGATGCATGTTCATGGCATGTTTGTATGTGATTCATTTTATTTAAAAACCTCATTACACGAAACTGTAACACGTGTTGTCGTAGGGTTGCCAAGTTGCCAAGGGAGTTAATAATAAAAATGTAGTGATTTTTTTGGTGTAAAAATTTATTTTCTCTTTTAACCGATTCTTTTATTCTACTGATATTATTGATTAGCTACTCTCGCACGGTTTCACCCGCTGCTCAGCTCCATTTGATCATAGCGTGATGTTTTATAGCCTATAGCACTCAGGAACATTGTAGCTATCTATCAGTGAAAGAATATTGGCAATCTGAACCCAGCGAGCGGTTCCAAAGATTACCCCTACATACAAACATAAAAAAATACCTCTTTATAATATTAAGTATAGATGTGAATGTTTGTAGATATCTAAGAGTAGACGGATGGATGTTTGTTCGTTACCCCTTTTACGTAAAAACTACTCATTAGATCTAAATAAACTTTCTTGCTCTACATAACCTAACAGACTAAAATTTCACCTTTTTACTCCGGGCGAGAAACAAAGCCGATGCGTGATTGGCAATAGGCGATTAACTTCTTACATAACTTGGAAGGAAAGGAACTGTCGTGTTTAAATAATTTCATTGTATTTATTTTCTGCACCTAAATGTAAGTATAACTTTCTACACCTTTAAAAAGTAATGCTTACTCCCCTACCCCTAACAACAAAGAAATATTACAAAAATAAATTCCCTTCCGCACTTAATTATTATTTCTCCCAATGCCACGCGACAACCCTAGCTAATGACGTGTATAATATTAGCTTAATAAACTTGACCAAGTAAAGTCCAACCATTTTTTTAACCCACGGCATTCGTTTCATGGCGTTTCGTAACAAAATATTTAATTATACATACACTTACTTTCTCCTGCGGCTTCGTCTGCATGAAATTAAGTTAAAAGGAAATATAAAAATATGTATTCACACGCAAATGAAGAGGGGAGGTGGTATCTATATTAAAAATGTAGTGAATTTTGGACTTTATCGTTTCGGTATGAAGTTTAAAATAAAATTTACAAAGTCGAGTTGGTTATTCAATGCAAGTTATCGTGGTGGCCCCGAGGGCGAGGCTCCCGCTTCTCAAGCTTGAGAATGCAGATTTGAAACCTGACAAGTGACGTTTTCTAAGTTTGAGACACCAAGAAAATCATTCATGAGGAAAACTGGACTTTATATAAGTTTAAAATTGCCTTTATCAAGCATGGTGATTAATGCTTATCTTACCTACACCGTGTGAGAAGAGGCCTTTGCTCCGCAATGGACACTTCTAGGCATGTGATGTGATATGATAATGTGATACAATGCAATCATACAAACATTTCTTTTTCATTACGTAAATATTTTTATCGATAGGGTACAATACATAATAATTAGGGGTGCGACTTTTATTTCAAGCCGTTGTTTTTAATTACACTCGTACTGTGCCAAGTATGTGGTATTGGCATTGTTGTTTCTTTAATTATTACAGAAGTATTGTTAGAATTGTACCATTAATTATAATTGGATTGTTCATTTTTATGTGGCGTTTTAAAGTATGTAGGTATGTCTTTTGGTGTTTCAAAGTGGGTATTTCTGCGTGGCTTTTTTGTAAGGAGAAAATCATTAAATGTCTTCTCGCGCCCAGGGTGAGGAGAGAAGGAGTGTCAGGCTTACTGACTAAAGACCACCCCGTTCAGTATCCTGCTTGAGGCCAAGGCCGCAACTTCTTTTTTTTTAAAAAAACAGTCGCCCCACACTAATATTTTCTGTGTGTTGGGTGCTCTTACAAACAGACAATTTCACATACACATCACATCCAGATCCGGAACAACAATTTGTGGATCACACAAAGTTGCTCCGTGCGTGAATCAAACCCGCAACACTTTGCACGGCAGCCAGTTGCCCCACCATCGCACCAACCGTGCAGTATTGCGCTTACCCGCCACCCCGGCTGGATATTGAGTACTTTGGGACTTATATGAGGTGGTCTAATGGTCCTTTGAGGCAGACCTGGAACGCAAGGTTGTGTGGCTGGGGCTGTGGGGTAAACGCAATAATGCACCCGCGGTCTCGTCCCGGAGCAGGAGAACAAATGGGGTGATGTTTGGTCGAGAGTTGTTATCAATTTCAAAACCCAGGGCCAGAGAAGCCATTGAATTTGATTTCCACTTTTTTGTTGAAAAAAAAAACGTTTCTCCCCTTTAGGATATTCTCTTGTCGTGTGTGCACACAAACATACAATTTCACATACACATCACACCGATTTGAACGGAACAACAATTTGTGGATCACAAAGGGTTGCCCAGCTATCGCGTCAACGCCTCGTTCTGGAGCAGGAGAAGGAATGCTTTTGAGTCTGTCAGAGCCTGGCACTCCCTTTCTCCCCACCCAGGGCGGGAGAACTAATTACATAACTTTCCCTCAAAAAATGTCTGTTATATAATGTCTAATACATTATAGGTTCCACATATTTCCAAGTGCGGTATATGTATATGTTGATATAATTTTTAATGGTGGTGGTGTTCATCTTCTCCAGGGTTTCCTAGACCTGGATCAGGCGATGTTGGAGGAGGACATGCTGCAGAAGAAGGTTGAAGGAAGCACGGCTGTGGTGGTGCTCATAAAGGACAATACCCTGTACTGCGCCAACGTTGGGGATTCCAGAGCCATCGCCAGCGTAAGGGGAGGGGTGAGTAGCTTCTGTGGCTTAGATTCGATATTCATGTGTTGTATTATGTTTAGTTTTGATTTATTTTACCAACGAGGCTTTTCATGTTGTTTTTCGTCATATATTTATCGGACGTTTTAAGACGTCTGACGTATTAAGCAGTTTGAAACCCATGGACGCAAAACTGATATAAATTGGGGAGACGCTGAAACGTAACTGGATTGTAAATATATAATATGTAAATGTAGGTACCGATGTAATATATAGTTCAGTGTATTTTGTATACTACAGGTTAACGGTATACTTAGTAAAATTGTCTTGCTTCCTGCATGTTTTTTTTTTATGTGATAGGACGGCAAACGAGCAGACGGATTACCTGATGGTAAGCAATCAGCGTCGCCCATGGACACCCGCAGCAAAGAAGGAGTTACGAGTGCGTTGCTGACCTTTTAAGGATTGGGATTTTGGGGATTTAGGGATTGGGAAGGGATTGGGGTAGGGGAAGGATTGGGCCTCCGGTTACCTCACTCACACGGCGAAACACAACGTTGTGGTTGTTTCACGCCGGTTTTCTGAGAGGCCGTGGTATCACTCCGGTCGAGCCGACCCATTCGTGCCGAAGCATGGCTCTCGCACACTTAAATGTGCCACAATGTGTGTGTATATACCACTAGATTGTCTCTGCATCACCCAAAGGTGGACTGGTACAGAATGCTTAAAGCAATTAAGTCCACCCCATGTAACTTTGATTGAGTGATCGCTTCGCGTCTTACATTGACGATCCCCGCGCCGCGCCATCCCCTTTCTGACGTCATCGATCCGATCGAAAGTTTCTAACCAGACCCTCTTTACTCATCTTATGACCTTCCTACCCAGGTGGAAGTATTATCAAATGACCACAAACCGAACAATGAGAAGGAGTTCCATCGCATCAAGGCTGGTGGTGGATGGGTGCATCTTAACAGGGTCAACGGAAACCTGGCGCTCTCCAGGGCACTAGGAGACTATGTCTTCAAGAGGAACTATAGATTGTCGCCACAGGAACAGATTGTCACAGGTTTGTTTTATTTTTTACCTACTAGCCATCTGCCCCGGCTTCGCACGAGTGCAATCTCATCATATCATCAGCCTATAAGTACCCACTGCAGAGTTAAGGCCTTTTCTCACACGGAGAAGGTTTTAGCATTAATCATCATTCATCATTAATTTCCTCGCGATGTTTTCCTTCACCTTATGTCAGTGGTGTCTAACGATCTTAGAAAGTACAGTAAGGGGCAAAAGTGTAAGCGCAATGAGGCACCGCGACCTCGGCCATGAGAAGTAACAGGGAGGTTTTTAGTCAATCTGACACCCACAGTGTGATCCCCTCACAAAAAAGGGTCAAAAGTGCACTTTACCAATGCTAGTGTCAATTTTTTTTTATGGCTGAAGGTTGTGGTTTCATAACTGATTAATTTGTAGCATAGATTCTAAAATAATTAAAGACAGGTTTTTAGATTCTTACACTTGTACTACTTACTTACATAGAAGTTTTACACATTTTCGCATTGGTAGAGTGCAATTGCACTTTTTAGCCTAGACCGTACATATGACTTGGAAAATCACATTGGCACTTGCCATGTTTTGAACCCGCATCCTCATGCATGAGAAGCGGTTGCATTTACATTCGGGCCACCAAGGTTATGACGTGCTTACACTATAAACATGTTGTATTACATATATACATATATAGGTATATATAATATTGGTTTTGTTCTGTTTCCGCAGCGTTCCCAGACGTACAAGTGAGGCAGCTAAACGATGACTGGGAGTTTATAGTGATAGCTTGCGACGGCATCTGGGAGGTCTTATCCAATGAGGTATGGATAGTTAGCTAGTCAACGAGGTGTTTTTCATACAAACAACACCAACATATCAAACTTTATAATTCTCACGCAGCCCTTTATATTTATAATATGAGTAGGATAGTAGCATTAGTAGGATAGTAGGATAGTAAGATAGTAGGATTAGTAGGATAGTAGGCTTAGTAGGATTTTACGATATATTATCGTATAGCTATTATCATGTATAATTTGCAGGAGGTGATATCATTCTGTCGTATGCGCTTACTAAGGGGATGGGAGCCGGCAGCGGTGTGTGAAGCGTTGATGCAATGTTGTTTAGCGCCAAACTGCGCCACGGGTGGACTCGGCTGCGATAACATGACCGTCCTACTTGTCTGCCTAGCCCCTTTCCCACGCATCGACCCAGCCGTGAGTATATTTACACATTTACCGTAAATATTGGTAAATTGAACTTTATCGCTTTTATGTTTAGGTTTGTTTTTGTATGGCTAAGTATGTTATTTAAAACAAATGAAGGTTTACTTTATCTAAAAGCTTCTTAAAGGAAATTATACTTTATAGGTTGTAATTTGAGGGTCAATTTTGAAGAATATAAAATGTGTGTATAGTTTTGAATACATTTTTAATGGCCAATTTCGGGTTAGTTTTACAGTAATATAAAGACAGTCAACTTAATGGCTTTGATATTAAAGATAATTTTTGGATAGACAAGTAAAGATTTCGACCACAAAAAGTTGATATTTATGATTAGTTTCATGACACAATAGTTTTTAGGTAGGTTTTTTTATACATATTTTTTTATCTGTAGTTACCGCAGATATAGATATGCTAGATAACGCAAGCACCACCAACCAAGCAAGCTATTTTTTTACTAAATATGACGAAACAAAAAGTATTTTTCATTGGCAAGACAAAAATACTTCAAAACGCAACGCGCCCCACAACAACTAAACATTTTAATATAAAACTTGACGTCAAACTATCTTATAGATCGATACAATAGCCGCTGCTATTAACGTTCCGTCATTGTGAGCGCACATACTAATGTCCCAAGCACTAGAACATTGGTAGCGGTAAAAAGACATGATATGTGTCACCTGCCAGTCGATGATCTCCGGCCACCTTAAGCGCGGGTCTGCGGACGGCGAGTAAGGACGCCGCCCGACCAGAACTAGACCCGAGCGTACGGCGCGTAGCGTTCCGCGCGCGCTTCAAAGAGCGGTTGCGGGTTAAGCGCAATGAGACACCGCGGCCTCGGCCTAGAGCAGGAGAAGGAACGGGGTGTTTTAGTCAGTAAGAGTTTGACACTCTCTCGCCTTAACCTGAGCAGGAGATTTCAAGGAATGATGTTCCCCTGACAAAAAAAAAAAAAAATGTGTGACCTAGATTCGAATAATTTTATTTGGTGATGTATGATACGGTAGCAGTATGGAAATTCGTCTGCTAAAGCATTTGTGCTTCTAGAGTACAAAAAAATATCGCAGGTTAGGTATAACCGCCGCGTTATACTGCGCAAGTTTCTAACGAATGTCATAAAGGGCGTGTCCGCGAAGGTGTAAGTCTCCATGTATTTTTGGTACGTGAAATGTTCTAGCGTTATCTAGTTATTTATATCTGTGATAGTAACTTGCCTATTGCAAATTTGCTATACGTTAGCACGATTACCATATTTATGACGTGCGGCGCTCTGATTGGCTAGCTCAAAGTTAACCAACCAATCAGAAGGCTAAACGCGATGACGTATGACAAACTTGCATGAGGCACTTTGTTTATGGCTTGAAAATAATCGTTTTGTTCTATGTTGCATGCCCGCATGATTACTACATTTGCATGTTGATTAATATTCTTATTTGAAAGTTTTATTCGGTAACGTTATTCATTCATTTTTGCTTCTATATAACTATGATTAAATAATAATTGTGTTCATACAATTTCCCTTCCCTAAATCATTCGTCTTATCCTTTGTTTCAAATAGGACACTAGAGGCACTTTTGAACATCAATCAAAAAATTATTATCAAAAAGTTCAAATTCGTCTGTCCTCTATTCAATTCAATTCTTTATTTGAATTCTTTCTAGTGAAGCTATTTGCTCGCTTCAAAGTGTAGATTCCAATTAGTTTTCCAATAGGGCTTGAATTTTATTCCCAGTGGACAATAGCGTTATTGAAATTTTCAGTTTCAGAAAAATCCTAGTAAATAACATATAGTGTAGAATTATTTTAATATATGTACATACATATGTTACAGAGTTAGCTGTTGTAATATTTTATTTATTTTAATTTACATATACAATAGGCATATTACATTGCCTTTATACAGTGTACACATAAAACGATTTAGGTCGATATTTTTTTATTAATAAATTTTTGATGATTTGAAATAATTTCTCTGACCAATCCCTATAAATAAAAATCGTAGTATATTATATATAATGTAATTTATTTCAGTCTGCATGCAAGTACTTAGAACCGGCTGGTCCAAACAAGTATTGGACAATGACACCGTCCCGGCGGTTCTCTTAACTTAAAACTCTGCCCACCCTACTTGGCGCACAAGCTTTAATACTTCTAGTGTCTCTATTACTGTGATTTTTTTAGCCCCTTTTTGTTATTTGGTTGATTTTTATAAAATAATTTATCGTTTGTTTTTTGAGTATCGAATTTATTGGTTACTTCTTAATTTAAAAATTTCTGACTAAATGAGTAGAGATAAGAAATTCCCAGTGAGGCTTCACCCACAAGGATTCTGTGGCCTTCAAGATGAAAAAATTGACAATAAAACATCTTTTTTCCAATTAAATATTTTTTTGTAAGTATATATGGTAAAGTAGAAAAAAATAACACTGTGTAAATACTGTGAACGGAAGTTTTCCAAATTACCTAATTGTATATGGAGTGGAAGGTCTTAATCACGTAAACCGTTCGAAAAAACTCTATCAATTTCATGGTACACTAGGGCATATAAACATGACCCGTGTTTGCTGCGAAAAAACTGGCAACCAAGCTCTATTCTATCTTTGGTTTTCTATTCCAGTTTCACGAGATAAAAGTAACAAAATAATAATAATATTGTACATTATCAAAGAATGATTAACATGTTTTAACGAAAGCTTTTATAAAAGTCAATCAAATAATAGTTTTATAAATATCTGGGTAATGTCTCTGTGATTTTATGAATTTAAATTATAAAGTTGTTATAAAGGCGATGGGTAACGCCCGTTTGACTGTTTAGTGCCATCTATGATGTTTTACAAGAAACACTTGTTATGTGGCTTTTGTTTTAACCGTTATTTAAAGTTGGAAACTTAAAATGGAGGTCAATGAAGGGTGAATAGAGAAATATTACTCTAATTTTTACTTATTACTTACAATTTTTTTTGTAATTTTAATCTCTACCGAATACAAGCTTTCATTTTTGAGAAGGGTCAGCTAAATATCACTTAAATACACACTTGCATTGCTACAAAAACTAGGTCGGCTATTTAATTTAATCATAAAATTTATTTTATTATATTCCCTCTTAATTTCAGAATTTATTTGTATCTCTTTCTCGAATTATAACGTTATTAATGGTGTAGCCATTTCCAGATACTGAACTGGTTTGTTCTTAAAGATGTTTTTAAAAGCTTTTTTCATCCTGGTACTTATTGTTCCATCTGATACAGCTTGTTTTTTTTATATTTTAAGACTAATTTGTTACCGTCTAATTTGAAATCTATGTTCTTCTGATTTCCCCTTTAGGGAAATATCTCTATTTACCCTTTGACCCTACATTGAGGATTTTGCTATGGATTTTTAAAGAAAATAATGACTTTTTTATTTCAACTGTTGAGCATTTTTTTGCTGTCTTATGGAAAGAAAAAGCCACATTTTATATAATTTATTGCCAATTTGTTAAATGTCAAAGAATTTTATTATACCTTAAGATTAAATGGTGAATATAATTCAACATCATTATGAAAATTTCAACGAATTGTTGTTAATATAATATTTTAAATTAATAAAAATTACCTATTTATCTTTTATAAATATTTGTTCTAATTAGAATTAATCATATTTTAGCCATAAAGTGCTACATTTCATTAACAGGTACTGGTTTTGTTTGATACAATATTATTGTTACCAATAATTTGCATGTTTTATAATAATACTTTTTTACTCAGGGCCTATTACACAATTTCTCTACTGATTTTTCGCTTAACTCGAACATTCCGTATAAATAATGGTCCTTAAAAATTATTTACCAGTTACGACTTACTACCGTTCTCGAAGATATTTAATGTTTATTTAAACTCGACTTACTAGTAACAATTTTATTTCAAAAAATATTTTAAGGACTTTGTTAAGTAATCATTAATTAACTCTGAGTACTGCGATTACAGAAACTTTATCGTACATTACGAATGATAATAACATCAACCATTTAAATTTGTAAAAAGATGGTATCACTATTTTTTCTACCAAGAGTTACAATTTTTGTAACCTGGTAGGTGGTAGGTGGGGTACCTATGATATTGCCATGTGTGTTTTTAATGTAGCGTTTTGCTTTAAAGTTTGTGTGTTCGATTTTTAAATTTTATTTGGTGTTTGCATGTATATGTAATCATGTTTTTTGTGTCAATGTATGTTCAGGTTTTTAAAGGAAAATAATCCTTATTTGCATGAATTAAAGTCTACTTTTAATGCCTTTTAAGCATGTTTAACCAGTAACAACTGAGGTATGCATGATACTCTTACATAAAGAAAATAAAGGTTGTCAAATATTTATGTTTTGTCCTGTGCATGTAACTGTGTTGTTCTTTTTTATATTTCGCTTATTTTTTACCTTCTTTTGACAATATTCCAAGATTTTCTTACGAATGTTAAAAAAAGTACTTTTATGAACATAGAACTTTATGAGATTTCCGTTGAAAGCTGTTGTAATTTTTACAATAAAATATCACTTTCTGCCTATGTACCAGAGTAAAAATTAATACAAACTTGCATTTTTCATGCAAGTAGGTAAAGTTTTATTAAGTTTTCAATGAAAATTTAAATGAAAATGTGATATTAGTGTGGGAGAACCTTGCTTCGGCACTAATGTGCCGGCTCGATCGGGGCAAACTAAGGCCTCACAGAAAACAAGCGTGAAACCATAACTTTGCTGGTTATTGGAGGCTAGATCTTTCGACATTGAATCCCTAATAACCCACAAAAAATCGGAAACGCAGTTTTAGTAAACTCCTTTGGTATTGCGAGCTTGTATGGGCTGTGCTGATTGCTTACGACCAGGTAATCCGAAGGCACGTTTGCCGACCAAAATAAAAAATGGGCGGCGCCTATTGCATGCTATCAGGTGAACGGTAGGCTTGTTTTCCCGTACCATAAACTGATATGATTTAAATAATATTACAAGTAAGTGTATTGGGATATTGTCAGAAGAAACATGTATCTATATATAATTTTAGTTAACACCGCCATTTTGTTTGTTAACTCACTTTGTGTTGCTTAATAAATTCGTTGAAAAGCATGCTCGGTTTTATTTATTTTCTTGTCTACTAGAATACTATTTCTTGAATGATGGCAAGGTATGTCAATTAAAAATAAATATTCCGTTAGTTAGATCATAAACAAATAGTAGATTCATATTTATTAGTTTTGAGTATAAAGAAAAAATTTTAAAGTTTTTGAAGTATTTGCTATAATTTTGTTTTTAAAAACTTGTGTTTTTTCGTCTTAATAGGTATCATAATAGACCAGTATTGTTTAAAATTCTGAAGTCTAGAGTTTCAATTAGGAATTACTAAGATAATGTCATTTTTGCCACCAAGTACATACCATCACCACGATCACGATCTGTCAAGAGTTCGATTAAAACGAATGCCGTTTCTATTTAAAAAAACGACAGTTAAAAATAGAGATTCTTTTTTATGTATAATAGGTATTTGATGGCGAATTTTTTTAATTACCTTTCCAGAGTCCCCCTCTACCCGTAGAACAGGAGTTAAACAGTAAGTTTATGACAAAAATGGAAGATCTATTGTACGTCGAAGACGACGAGGAAGACCTCAAATGAAATATAATATAATATCATATTTAAATTGTAAATGTGTGTACATAGATAGATTAGATGTTGAACTCTGTCGTTAACGTCCTAAGGTTGAGAATTGTGTGCATAAATATAGACATAAGACGTTCTAGCACAGTATTTTTGTGATGTTTTGATTGGTGCATTTTAGAAGTTGCCTTTTCGGTGACCAATAGGCTAGTCCTTGTTGAATTAAGCATTACATGATATTAGAACGTATTGTTATTAAAATATTTGATACATAAGGGTTTACCAATAAGGTACCTTTTGCCCAGGACCTCTAAAGCAGGATAATGATCATTATTTATAAAGCAGGCTGTCAAAAATCATTGTTCCTATCATCAAATTTATAATTGAGTTGAGTTTTTAGATAAACTTTAAATTTTGATTTCAACTGCAATTTTCCATAAACTTCAGATTTAAGACCTCTTTTACGACCTTATGCCAGTTGATGCCATAAAAACATCAAAACAGGCTTACATTGATTTTATCTTTGTGCCTGGCTTTCTTAACACCTAAAAGTATGTTAAGCTGTATTCAGCACTTATTTTTGTAAGTTCATCTGCATCAAAATCGATATTTTCACCTCGCAATAACACAAAAAGTAATTCTACAAGGCTGTAGATGTCTTGTAGGTATTTCTAGCTTTGTGCAACATCTTTTTTCTCTTTTTATCATGAAAGATAAAAGAGGACTACCCAATCCAGTAAAGCAGATACGGACCTAAGTAGCTCGAAACCTTAGAGCTGGCACTTTTGGAAATAAAGATAAACTGAGGGCCATCGCAAAAGATCTGTAGTAAGAGACTATAGGCGAATTGCTATGGCCTGTAAACTCGTGGGAAAAGAAATTTCTTAACTAAGGAATAGCAGAAATCCGAGTAGCGCACGACTATGATCTATTGATCCAGGGGATTCTGGACCTGAACCAGAACACTAGAGTCAAATAAGAGAAGTTCTGCTATTCATAATATCTCAAAGTGGAAAGAAGCTAATCATGCGAAATGGATCCGCAAATGGCTGAGTTCATAACAAAAGTGGTGAAAGCAATATGTGCTACTCTGCCTACATTCTCGGGAAAAAAGACGTGATAGAATGTACATACAGTGCGGCCGACGTATCTTGGCGAGTCTGAAGTTAGCCGATTAGCTGCGCAGTACACAATTTTGTTCCTAATTCCTAATAAATCCATTGCGCAGACAAACGGCTAACTTCAGACTCGCCGAGTTACGTCGGTCGCACTGTACACTCTAGTACCTAACAGAAGGCAACATATTTATATTAAGATTTAACTACTCAATACAGTAAAACGGATACGGACCTGAATAGCTTAATTAAATGCTAAATCGCTCTGCAGTCTTCTTTCCTCTGTATATCTTGGTTCTAAGTCTACAGTTCTCTTTTGAAGGGTCGGTAACCAATTTGAGGAATACAAGAAGTGGTTGTTTTAAATACAGCAGAACAGACGGATCTTAGAACCTTGAGAAAATGGAGGTGGTGACAGCAGACATCCAAGTAGTGCACGACAAAGAGCCAGGGGCCCCTTACACCGAATCTGCAAGCAAGTCAAAGGAATAAGGCCAATGTTATTCGATAATATCTGGGTTAACAACGTCATCGTCCTTTGTACATGTAGGTAGTAAAATGATTTTGATACTGTCTTAAAAATAATCATAAACTACTTTAACGTTACTCAGAGGGTCAATGAGGACGTGGCTACTCAATACAGTAGAACAGTGACGGACCTGAGTAGCTTTAAGATAATGTCCTCCTCCTCTTCCTTTATGTGTATCTTGGCTGCAAAGAGCTGTGGAAATAGGGGCCATAAATACAAAATTTGGACCCAACTCTCAAGAATGATACGAGATTTATTCGGAAATAGCTATTATACAATTAAGTCTTCAACTGAAAGAATCTTCCTACCTAAAATAAAACAAAGGATGTTTTAAATGGGGAAGGTTTCGTTAAACCGTCTCCTATAAATAGGTAAAAGTTGAGGGTCATTTGAAGACGTGGCTACTCAATTCAGTAGAACAGTGACGGACCTGAGTAGCTTAGAGATGGACCTAAAATAAATGTGATTGTAGGTGGTGATTACAGGCCTTTTTGTAATGGTCCGCAATCTCTTAGTCGTGATGCATCAGATCCAAGGGCCACTGATACTTAATCAGAAATGAAGCGAAAATTACCCGAGTGTCTGAGTTACTGGGACTTCCGCCTCTGTACTTCTCTAGACAGTAATATGTTTTGAGAGGCTCTCCTTTAAAACATCTTGAAACTAGTAAAATACCTACGTATAGTTCAGAGGTGGATGCTACTCAATGCAGTAAAACAGATACGGACCTGAGTAGTTGGAAGACTGGCCTAAAATAAATGCGAATATATCTGGAGACCACAGGGATTTTCGTAATGACCCGACTCCTCAAGAACTCCTAAAGATGGTAGGAATGGTCTTTGCAAACATTCAAGAAGTGGATGACAAATTGCTGTCAATCCAGGGGCCCCTGGTACCGAATCTGAAAAAAAGTGACGACAATGACGCAAAATCATCATTCAAGAAAAACTGGATTACTTCGACGACTTTCTTCGACTCCTCTCGTGGTCATTTGGGTAGTAAGATTTTTTAAACTTACCTATAAAGAATCTAAAACTACCTAAACATACTTCAAGGAGGGTCAATGAGGACACTACTCTATCCAGTAAAGCAGAGACGGATCTTAGTAGCTTAGAGTCAGGGATAAATAAATGTGACTGTGGCTAAGCTAGGTGGAGACTTGTTGAATAGGAAAAAAGAGTATGTGCAGATTAAAGGCCTTTTGGTAATGGTCCGAAAATCTTGTAAGGAATCGGTGGTGGTCTCAGTAGACAATCGAATAGTGCATGATAAATAGCTGTAGATCCAGGGGCGGGCTCATCGTATTCTGGTAGACAGGAGTCGAAGGAAAATCCTACTTCTTTGAAGGTTATACTTCATTGCAGGAAAGAAGCAATAAGGTTGTGGATTGTGAGGGTTTCCGTGGCTTCTGGCATGAAGTCTGGCAATGAAAAGTGGTCTTAGCTTTGAAATTTTTTTGTTTATTATTTTAGTCTTGTTTTGTGATAAATTGAGGACGTTATAAAGCTTTCTACTTCAATTGCAGTTTTCTAACCTATTTTTATAGGGTTGGCCCAAACTTTTTCATACGTTAAAATAGTGTAAACGGAAACTCAAACCGTGACTCAAACGCCACACACTACACCGTAGTTTTCTCATATTACTAGGTATTCTCATTTTTTATTCTAAATCATTCCGTAGTTCATACAATAGCAGGCAGTATTGTATAAATTATAATCTAAACACAAAATCGGTCGCATAAATATGCCATATTGAAATCTTAAGAGGTTATTGTGCTCGGTACCTGAACAACGAGTGGCGTTTGAGTATTGGGCCAAAAAGATTTTATGTTCTTGATAGGTACCCAGAAATTGTAAGGATACACAGGGATGGATCGACAATTTGTGGGGCCCAAGGTGGGTGCAAAGTTATAGTTTAACTTGTGACTTTAGGTCCCACAAACTGATATCCATCCCTGTTATACCTTCCTATTCCTTTCACCCCAATCCTCAAATCCCTGACATGCCACAAAAAGACGTGTGAGTGTTCATGGGCGGTGCCTTTAGCACTAGGTCATCCGTATGCTCTTTTGCCTACCTATCGCATAAATTATTGTCTTCAATTGTTATGTTTTTACATTATATACTATTCATTCTTTTCAAACGAAGATGTAGCTAATCCCTTTCAAACCGGGTCCCTTTTAACACGGTTGCCCTGTCTCGGTTGCACCCCAAAACCTCACAGGCAATTCCGGCCCTGGATAATTGGAGACGACATACTATATGTATACATTTTGTTGTGGTTGTGTCGTCAGTATTAAGTCTGTAAATGCATTTTTTGCGAATTATTTTTGGTAAGGTAAAATGTGTATTTTTTTGCTCCTAGCATGATAACAATGCTCCAAGGGACCCGAATTGCCCAACCCGTGAATGCAACCCCGGCCATCACGCTCAGAAGTCGCACTTGTAATCAAGGGGATGTTGAAACTTGGAGCAATATTGGACTTGCCAAAAAGTAAATTTCTTTTTTAATTATAATAAAAAAATCTCCCTCGAAAGGCGTATTCGGAAATAAACCACATTTTTACTCTTAATCATTGATGTACACAGAACAGACTAAACTGTAAATAAATTATCAAAAAAAACTAGCTAACAAAAATTAGCAGTTTTTTTTCGTATATACGAGTATCAGTTTTATTTTTTCTATGGAGCATTGTTATTGTTTAGTAAAAACTTGTATCTATGTAACGTGAAGTGTTTTTATTTTTTCTAAATTGTGGCTGGTCAATCCTACCTTCTGTGATACAAAACGCTTTTAGTTTTTATCATAAATTTTAATTTATGTAGAAGTTTTATGAATTTTATTTTGGATTAAATTGTAAAATAAATACACTCGTTTCATGATGTCGCACTAATTTATTTAGAAAAAGAAACGAATTGTTATTTTTTTATTTAGTATTTTTTTTGTTGGTTTTAAGGAAATAAAAAAGGTCTATTTAAAAAAGCATTTAACAGCAGACACATCTTTGGCGTTTTTATGTTTTTATTTGAAAATTATTTATAATAATTATGTAGTGGTTGGAAAGGTGTATTAAGTACCAAAATAAATTATTGTTTTGCATTGTTTTTTTATTTTATTTTTATTTTCGATGGTGAATTTAAAACCTAGACGTGTTTTTAAAATAATTCAAAAGATTTTTTGTGTTTTACTTTGTGTTATTCTTTCTATCCAAATAGATATATTATATTATTAATGATTTACTATTAATTGGAATAAGAAGTTAATTTTTTTTTTGTAATTATTGGGCGTCATTTTTGAACTGGGATTTTGTTATTATTATTTTTTTTGTTATTTTATATTTGCTTTCCGAGGTTTTCTTAAACTGGGGATCTGAAAAAGTAAATATCGTCCCAGTTGTTTTCAAACAATTTCTATTAAATAATAAATTATTAAATCTAACACGTGGTAAACCTAGTTTTACATACATTATTATAATATTATTCAAAGTACTAAATTGGTCTTCCTACCAAAAAACATGTGTTGAATTTGCTTTAAAATTAAAAAAAAAATAGGAATTCAAAAAGAAACTCTTTAGGCTCTGATGTTAATCAGAAACACGTTATTGTGTTCATTAACATAAAATAAGTAGTAAATTGAGCCTTATAAGTTAAGGTTAAAATTGCATATAGTTATATGATACTTAAGCCTTATTTATAATGGAGGCGAATTAATTAAAGTCAAAGGAAAAAGACGTGTAATTATTAAAAAATAAATATTACAAAATATTTTCCCGCCACTAGGGGCGCTAGTGTAGCATAAGGTCTCTTGATGTATAGAATTATGTCAAATGTCAAATCTTTAGTGAATTTATTTGTAAAACCTTAGCTGATTGGACTAATAGAACTTAGAGTACACTAGTGCCATCTCGTGAGCGCAAATTGAAAATAAACCTCTATTTTAATATGACCCAGGTTTTGCGTCTGTGTCGTTAAGTTTAAATACTAAATAATGCAATTCGATGGTAATTTTAAACCATCATGCAAAACATTAAGAATGATAAAATAAATATAATATGGCTAATGATAGGTAGTGCTATTTCGTAAAATTAACGAATTGAGATTTACTTCTCGTCTGCCAGTCTAAGAGAAACAAAAGAAATTACATAGCGTGGATAGGTAGCGCCTTGTTTAGGGGTACGTCCTGTATATGAAGGTCGCACCATACCAGGGATCGCAATGTGGCAGCCTGGCAGCGCGGCCTCGGCCCAAAACAGGACAAGGAACGGGGGGTTTTTAGTCAGTACGAGTCTGACACTCTCTATCGCCTGACCCTGGGCGGGAGAAGTCATTAAAAAAAAACATCATACCAGGGATAGGCAGTTCGGGAGAAATCAAGGACCGGTTGGAAATTATAACTTACACTTAAATAAATGGTTCTCTACATTATCTGAAACGTAGGTAGATAAGTTATTTATATTTTGGTGCATTATTTAGCTGTGTATAGAACCTTACTAATGAAATTGTTGATATTGTAAATACATTTAGGCACGAAGATAAATAATTATTGTATTATTATAAGCAATAATAAACCTAGTAGAATTTCAATGCCATAGTTTCATAAATTGTTACATCACATCATCCATCAGCCTATATGTGCCCAGAGCAAAGGCCTCTTCTTACGCGGAGAGGGTTTGAGCAATAATAAATCACCACGCTTGCTCAAGGCTGGTTGGCGAAGAAATTATAAGTCCACGTTTTCCTACGATTTTTCCTTTACCAATGTCATTGGGGGTCAAATTTGGCAAAAGCCATGTTGATACTCGCCAGTCGCCAGGTATCGGACCTTCATGGTTGAGAAGCGCCTTAAAATCCAGGCCGCCATGACACCGTTTTTGTTTATTACCTGTTTTGTTAATACCTGGAATGGCACTAGTCGATATACAGGGTGTAAGGGACAGCCCTCCACAAATTAACAGGGTGCATTCAGCTCCTTATTCTGAATCATATTCCAGTGAAAATTCTTTCAGGAAAATTTTCAATTTTTTTTTCGTTTTTTCAGTTCCTACACCTCTATTTCAATGTATAATTACATTCTATGTATGAAGAATAACATTAATGTAAATAACACAGCTAAAACTAAAAAATACGCAATGGTTGTGTGAATTCTCTAAAGAACTACGCATGAAATCAGCTGTTCAATTTCTACCTAGCGCTCAATTTTTAAATAATAATTTAATTGTTATTAAAACGTGGCGCGAGCGCGATTATTACATTGTCTTTTGTAAGTAATGCGGCTATCTTTTAAATAATAATTTATTATACTAACTTTTAAACTTTCGCGTTTCATCTTAAGAACATTATATTTACGCGGGTATTAACGCGGAAAATTATAATTTGAATACCTTGGTAGGCTTGACGTTTCGACCCGGTTGCACAGGTCGTGGTCACAAGCAGACTGAAGACGCGATGTCACAGCTCCCTGCATTCGGGTGATGAATCTTCATCTACCCCCTTATTTTCATTTTCTACCATATTAGGCCGTCTACACACTACGCTGATTATATCCACAGATGTGTTAACCGACTTTGAAGGAAAGCGAGGTTGTGTTTTGCGAAGCACTGGATTCCACGTCGACGACAATTTAAAGCCGTCCTCCCGATTGAAATTATTTGGGCATTTCTTTATTTCAACCGCTTCACGCACAAGTCTTGTATGGTAGTGGCGATCAGTGGAGAGAATTTGCGGTCGGTGGAATTCTACCCAGTGATTAGAACCAGCCTGGAGCAGGTGTTCTGCTATCGCTGATTTGTTGCTCTGTCGGTTTTTGACTGCGGCGATATGTTCTTTGAGCCTCTCAGCAATGGTCCGCTTCGTTTGCCCAATGTAGGAACTACCGCAGCTGCAGTTGATCTTATAAACACCTGGGCTTTGTAGCGGCAGTACATCCTTCGCCGTGCCTACCTTATCATGAAGTTTAGCCTCAGGTGTGTAGATCGTCGGGATCGAAAACTTTTTAAGGACGGATCCTATCTTGTCTGTCACACCCTTGATATAAGGCATGAAGGCAGGTTGTCTGCTCACGTTTGGATGTCTGGCTCTCTTCAGCGGTCGCTGAAAAAGTTTTCGATCCCGACGATCTACACACCTGAGGCTAAACTTCATGATAAGGTAGGCACGGCGAAGGATGTACTGCCGCTACAAAGCCCAGGTGTTTATAAGATCAACTGCAGCTGCGGTAGTTCCTACATTGGGCAAACGAAGCGGACCATTGCTGAGAGGCTCAAAGAACATATCGCCGCAGTCAAAAACCGACAGAGCAACAAATCAGCGATAGCAGAACACCTGCTCCAGGCTGGTTCTAATCACTGGGTAGAATTCCACCGACCGCAAATTCTCTCCACTGATCGCCACTACCATACAAGACTTGTGCGTGAAGCGGTTGAAATAAAGAAATGCCCAAATAATTTCAATCGGGAGGACGGCTTTAAATTGTCGTCGACGTGGAATCCAGTGCTTCGCAAAACACAACCTCGCTTTCCTTCAAAGTCGGTTAACACATCTGTGGATATAATCAGCGTAGTGTGTAGACGGCCTAATATGGTAGAAAATGAAAATAAGGGGGTAGATGAAGATTCATCACCCGAATGCAGGGAGCTGTGACATCGCGTCTTCAGTCTGCTTGTGACCACGACCTGTGCAACCGGGTCGAAACGTCAAGCCTACCAAGGTATTCAAATTATAATTTTCCGCGTTAATACCCGCGTAAATATAATGTTCTTAATAATTTATTGTTATTAAAACGTGGCGCGAGCGCGACCGTTTGTCTGAACGTAAGGTCGCGGCGCTGCCCATAGTGTAAAGTAATAATACTAAAAGCGCAGCCGTTCGCTGCGTGCGTTTGCGGTGGTAGCGATACATTGCGTGTAAGGTAATGAAACAAATCGGTTTAATTGGATTCCCATAACGTTCCTGAAATAATTTCATGTACCGGTCAACTTAAGACGATATACTGAATCCACCCTATCAGTTTGCGGAAGGCTGTCCCTTACACCCTGTATAGATACCTAAGTTAGTTGTGTATATAGAATGTAACCTTACGTTGAATGTATTAAAGTTTTACATTTTTATATTGTGTGTTTTATTACTATCGAATTTACACCTTTACAGCCTTGTTTTTCAAGCTGCAGCTGAAATAAGAACTTGTTCATAAACCTATAGACATTTTCAGTTGTTGGATTGTGAAACGTGAAAGCAGTTTTTGATAATACGGTACTTATAAGCTCCCGACTAATGAGGTGAACTACTGGCCGACTGGTCACAATTATAACTTTCGAAAAAGAGATCGAAGTTAGTGAGGTTTAACGTCATCTACAGAAAAAGTTATTATACCACCACAGATAACGCTCAATAGGGCTAATATTCAGCCTGGGTTGCAGGTGCAAGCACTATAAAGTACCGCGACTCCAGCCTAGAATAGCAGAAGGAACTGGATTTTTAGACGGTATGGGTCTGACACTCCCTCTCAACCCATCTAGGGC